CATCAGCAGAAAATGTCAAGGGGTCAAGTGCCTTATATACTGAATATAATAAATAGAATACCGCTATTTCTTTCCTTGTCTCAAAGAGAAATTTAATTGATTCTTGTCTTCAGTTCCTTAAATTTTCTATCAGAGTTAGACTTTCTGATCATGGAAAACAAATTAATTTTTCTGGTCAGACAATGTGATTTTATTAAGTCTTTAGTAACCATGGGGATAATTTGATGACAATAAACGATGATGCAATCAGGTTTTGTATTTTACCCTTTGTAAAATTTAGAATGTACTATTGGATGAACTGAAGAGATTATTTTTATCTTTTTGTGACAATAGTGAAGAATATTTGTATTATCGACAGTGCGTACGCAAATAGTCATTTGACAATATAAGATTTTTTGAGAACACGCCAATTATGAACTCTGATTAATCTTAGAAAAACGTTTATGGAGAAGATAAAACCAAAGCCTCTTCAGTTCCCTTTTCCCTGTTTGTCTGTCTGTTTTGAGCTGTGTCGTTTCGTACGTAGAAATCCAGATGGTTAAAGGCCACATTCTGCATGGTCAGCGACGTGGACAAGCCACTGACCAGTGCAACCCCGTGACGCTCTCACTATCACAAATTGGCAACAGCCTTGTTGATTCATGTGCCAATCGGGAAGAAAAAAATCAAACTTCCTGTTTGTATCGTTAAATCGCCTTCCTCGCGAGATCTCCAGCTTATACAACGTCCGTCCTGAGGGACATGTTTTCTTGATATCTGTGTTTTTTGGCTTTACCTCTCAATGCGTAGATCAAACTCTATTCGTTTCAGGGTCGCTTGCCCTCGCGCTGTATTTGTCATGACCCGCTGCCAAGTCGCAAGGTCCCTGCCCCATTCATAAACTCTCTCCGTTGCCTCACGATGACGATATTCCGAGGGTCGATGCTTCCAGTGTAACGATCCGTGAAGGAGAGAGAGAGAGAGAGGGAGAGAGGGAGGAAGGGAGAGAGGGAGGGAGAAAGGGAGAGAGAGCTTCAAAGCTTTTAACCATCCGCTCTTAATCATTCTGCCATTGGGAAGGAATGGAGCGAATGTGATGTGAGAAAAATTGAAAAATGTAGCAATTTTTTTCCTTCTAGACTTAATTAAGTTATAGATGTAAGCGGTGATTAGTGAATGCTTACAAATTTGCAACTGTCATACAGAGTCCTTGAAAAGAGTGTACTTATTTCCCTTTGCAATTATTCTGATTCATGAGATACTAGTGATTGGAAATTTTAATGAAATTCATGACGAATGAAGAATGCAACATTCAAGGGAAAGAGTGACTATTCACCAGCAAAAAGCACTAAATATTCAATAGAAAGAAGAATAGTACTTTGCCCTCAGTATATTATATGGCTCTAATTAGTATACAGTGCAGTTTACTAGGTATTGAAATTATGGGAGTAGGTATATTGTTAGTCCCTTTTTACCATGGAGATTCAATATTTATATGCATTCAGTTACTCACACATAAATGATGTTTAAGAATATCAATAAAACAATTTCTAAAGAACACAAAATAAGAGTTAAAGCGATTGGTGAAGTAAAGATCTTTTGTTTATATAAACATTTCACTATCAACAGAAGTCTTTGATGAGCTGCGTATTTCAGTGTATTTGTAATATGACTACATCCTGTGTTGAAGTTGTTATGTAGTAGAGTTGTAAACAGAATTAAACATAGTTATGGACACCATAAAGAAGCTCCCTATTTTTCCCTCCCCCCACACCAAAATATTGATGCTAAGTTTAGGTTGACTGTTTTGGCAATTCTTCTATTTTTATTTCTTTGAGGATACCCTAGTGACCATAGTTGTCAAAGCGGAAATCAAAGCTCGAAGAGGATATTTGCTCGAAGAAGTAAACAAGCCTTCTAAGAAAAACATCCTCTTCCCATTAGTTTTCCTCGCGAATAGGATGAGGAGCGTGGCATTAGCGACGTCTGCTGTGTGTTTTTGTTTCCCTTTGGACCTAACGCACGTCTTGAATGGGTTCTATTGAGGAAGTGACATGAACAACATCCTGTATCGTCATGTCTTACGTAGGTATCCGTCGTTTGAGATCATGTACTCAGATGAGGGGAGATTGCGACGGTTTCTTACTGAACGACGGACAGCGGTGGCAGGGGAAAAAACGGATGAGAGATGATGCCATTCTGGGTGAACTTTGGTATTTGAAGAATGGCGGAGGAGAGTGGAGTGGAGGAGAGAGAGTGTGGAGGAGAGTGGAGTGGAGGAGAGAATGAGAGAGTAAGAGAGAGTGAGGGGGAGGTAGAAGGAGAGGGAGGGAGAGGGAGAGGGTCCGAGGGAGGCAGAGGGAGAGGGATAGAGAGAGAAAGAGAGAGAGAGAGAGAGAGAGATGGGGAGAGAGAGGAGAGGGGTAGAGAGAGAGGGAGAAAGAGAGAGGTGGGGAGAGAGAGAGGGAGAAAGAGAGAGGTGGGGAGTGAGGGAGGAGAGGGGGAGGTACATGGAGGAGGAGAGAGAAAGAAGAAGATGGGAAGAGGTAAAGAAATGGAGAGAAAGAGTGGGACCAAAAGATGCAGAGTTGGAGAGGGACAGAGAGAGAAAATAGTAGGGGAAGTAGAGATTGATAAATCAGCGGATGACAGACAAATAAAAAAGGGAAGGGGTAGATGGAAATTAAAATAAAGGCAGAAAGAGAGAGAGAGAGAAACAAAGAAAGAAAGATGGAAAGGAAGAGACAGAGGGAAGGAAAGAGAGAGAGAAAGGGGAGGGAAAAGACAGTGAGAGAGAAAGAGAAAGAGATAAAGAGAAAGAGAAGGAAATGGAGAATCACAATGGAAGTCTTCCATTCTCTTCCATTCTCTTCCATCGCCATAGCAACTGAGTGGGAGATAAATTTTGGTACGAGGAGGAATATTGCGTGTAACTGAGATGCATGCGTCGGCATGACAGAGCATATTGGAGAAATCTCCGCACTGTACTTGACAAATACTGCCGATCACCACACATGACTCATTACAGGGATTCATCTTTTTCTTTTAGCCCAGGATCATGATTGCATGAATATTTAAGATTCTTTCTGTAGGAAACTTTATCACAGAGTATGTATTGATACCTGTATAATGCCCTTACAACATTTTAGAACTTGAAATTGTCTCCCTTCTCCAAAAACAAAAAAGGAAATGGAAAGAGAAAAATGCATAAGTTATTACTGAGCCTGTATAGATATGTGTAAGATGCAGAATATAGGGACAGAGAGAGTTGATGTACTGGAAGAGAGAGGGGAAGAGGGAGGAGAAGAGAGAAAGATACATTGTAGTAGAAAGGGAGAAAGAGAGGAAGGAAGAGACAGAAACAACCAGAGAGAGAGATACTGATAGAGTGACAGAGAGAGAGAGAGAGAGAGAGAGCCAATGAGCCAGAGGGAGAAAGTACTTGGCATGGCGTAATTTCAATTTCACTGAAATTGCAACCGGCAGCGGCCGCCGCACATGTGCACTGCCCTACTTTTGCGCCATTGAAGATCTGGAGAAAATTGACATTTAAGCAAGACGCACTGCGGTCGCAGGTAGGCAGGCAGGCAAGCATACATGCAAACCCCCTTCCTTCGCGAGATGGAGAAACTTTCTCTCTCCTCTGGCACCCTTCAATATGCTAATGATGCGGAGACGGAAGCTCTGATATATTGATGTGACATCATTGAAGTGTGAGACTATGCGCTTTTCTCCCAGCCCCAAGATACGACGTGCAGTACAGCAGGCAGCCAGCACCAAATTAATGTGCTTGTACTTTATAGTGTTCGCACTGTATGAGCAAAGAGATACCACAAATCTCTTTGGTATGAGTTCTAATGCAATGTGCATTTTGCTTTTAAGTTGAATAGTTGCTGGCTCATGTTGTGCCCATCCTTTGCTCTGTACACTGACATGGAAAGTGTTAATGAAATGATTTGTTTCGTTAACTCTTAAACTTCAACATCTCCCCCCCCCCTCCTCAAGACTAAAACTCTACATATATTTAGGACAATGTAGCAAATGATAAGAAGTGAAAAAATAACTTTGTTATCCACTTTTCCTGCACTGCACACATATACATGAATATCCATGTTGATGTCATAAGAAAAGTGTAACACATATAGGACTGAAGTCTGTATGTTTGTATTTTTTCCTGCTAATGTTATTCTATTACTAGCAGAATTTTCAACACAGATATTAACTAGATTGGCTGTTCAGATGATAATTCTCACACTTCCCCTGCTGTGACTGATCATGCTTCTATCACCATTGCCTATAGATATGAAACAGGAGAAGCCATTGTGATCTTTGCCATCATTTCTCTAAATATCAATTAAAGGTCATTGTTGGAGTTATTGCTATCAGTGGAGACCTTTAGACTAGGCTTTTCATTAAATGATTAAATGGTATTTGATCTGGCAATAATTGCCCCTCAGTCAAGTTCTAATTTTTGCCATATTCCCAACACTAGCCATGGACTTTAAAATATAGTGTATATAGAGTATGCCTGTTTTCATCAGCTCGAGTTTGCCAAATAACTTGATACTTCCAGACGTGGGATATTATCCCGAAACTCGTAATTGCATCTTCAGCAGACCAATACGCTCATCACAAACTAGCTTGGACGGGTGCAAATTAGCCCGCTATTTCCCAAATAGCATGATATTTTGGAAACAAGACCGAGATTTCTCTGGATATTTTCTAACCAAATATCCCGCTAATTGCAACTTCGGGCTGATGAAAACCCAATTTAAGTGGATAATTTGCGATCGGGATAGTTAAAATAGCGGGATAATTGGGCAATATCGAGCTGATGAAGACAGGCCTATAGTAGGAGATGTCACCAGAGCAAATAGGAAATCACCACCGACACCATTGTGCCAATTTCCTACTGAATTTTCTCATTCCTGTACTCATGTTAAGAATCACCTAGTACCGGTATCTATCCAGTATCCACCAAGTTTTAATTCTTTATCTTGTTCCTTTATGTGTGTTTACAGAGCCTTGGTGTGGTTCTGTACGTCCTAGTCTGTGGTGCTCTGCCCTTCGATGCAAACACCCTGCCGCAGCTCAAGGAGAGGGTCCTCGCTGGAAAATTCAGGATACCTTTCTTTATGTCACAAGGTATGTCAAATGAAACTACAGGATATTCTAGATACATCTGTCAAAGTGGCCTTCTCTTTAAGGAGGCCAACCGTCTTTAGAAGCTATCTTAATAATGTTGTCACCTATCATACAGTACCCCCCTGGAGGGATAAACTTTTCTGTTTTCCTGGGGGTATGTCCTATGTCTATGGCCCAACACATGCTTCAAAGATGGACTAAAAAAGACCATTTTGGTATGATGTCTTTGACCAGTTCCTCAAGTTAGTAGAAAAGTCATCAGCGATTATTCAAGAGATGATTGACCAATCTTGACCCGTCCATTTCTATTCTTTATTGTCCAGAATGTGAGCACCTGATCAGGCACATGCTGGTCATCAATCCGGCCAAGAGGTTGTCCATCGACCAGATCAAGAATCACAAGTGGTTTGCCGACTGCGGAGTGCCCGCCACCCAACCAGTCAGCCCCGTGACCGAGATCCCCAAACCCATAGGAGAGTTCAACGAGCAGGCGCTCAGACTGATGCAGAGTCTGGGAATCGATCAGCAAAAGACCATCGATGTGAGGACCTTTCTTGACCATTATATGCCATTGTTTTAATTTTTACAAAAAAGTGTATCAATGCCCCCAGAAACATATCTATATCATGCTTTTAAGTTTTGCCTTCTTAGTGTCTCCTACACAAAGAGAAACTTTTTGACCCACTAGTAATTACCTCAAGGTCCCTACTGTTTTCTTTGAATACTTCACTCAATTCTTGGCATTTTCACTTTGTGCTCAACAACTTTCTGCAAGTATTTTGTTTTTATTACTCATAGATTGCAAGATGAATAAGATAAAGAATCTTGTGAGAAGTTATTCCATTTCTGTAAAACTATCTAGAATACCACATTATCTCTCGCATTCAAGTTTAGGCGATTGCTTTTTAATGTTTTATATGAAGGATATTTTCCTTGCCATCAATAAATTTAGTATTTGTGTGCAAGTATATAGGCTTTCCTGATAGACATTGTGTTCTCAATCTAGTTTGTAACAATCTAGTTTTTGAAAATAATATTGCTAGTGATATTCGTTTGTCTCGCAATGTATGGTCAACAAGGGATCTAAAAGATCACAATGTTTCGTGCGCCGCTGCAACACTTTGTCAGGTGATGAAACATATTGTAAGCGTCTTTTAGATCCCTTGTTGACCATACATTGCGAGACGAATATCACTAACGATATTATTTTTGATACTATATCTGCAATGAGTAATACATTTAGCATTAATCTAGTTTTTATTTTATCTTTACAGTCATTACGAAGAGATGCCTACGATCACTACACAGCGATCTACTATCTCCTGGTAGAGAGGTTAAGATTACATCGATGCAGCTTTCCCGTTGAAGGTAGAGTCGACGTCCGTAGCCGTAGACCAAGTTCAATCGCGGATCATGCAATAATGAGAACTCATGCTGGTACCCTTACAAACATTAATCCTCACCAGCGAAACACTAATGCACGGAACGCTATTCAGGTCCAACAACAACCGTGCGTCAATACGTCCCAGCAGATGCTAGGTTTCCGACCGATTCAGCCTGTACAGCAACCTACGCAACAGATCGTGTCGGAGTCTGCGCAATGTGCGTTGCAACGGAAGAGAAAAGAGCCTCCGCTACAACCGAGCACGTGTATATTCAGCGAAGGGGAGATGGTTCCGGTTCCGCCAGCCGTTAGTGGAACGTTACTTGAGCCTCTGCCGAGGATGAACGTTAGGAAAGTACGCTCGATGTCACCTAATCATATGGTGGTGACATCGATTGATGAAGGCGTGGAAGCAGACTTGCCAGAGAGTGAGAATGAGATGGAGAAGGTCGGGTCAATGGAACATTTCAAATCGCAGAGAACGCACTCCCTTGCTGAGTCGTACGATATCCAAACAAGCATGGCGCCGAGTTTGAGTGATTTTGGCATTGAACCTCAAGAACTGTCCGCTTCGTTTGACTCGCAAGAGGAGATGGAGGTTGCCCAGAGTTTTGCGCATGTTCAAGCACTCTCCGATAGACTGTTTCCGTCAAATTGCAATTCGCCGGATCTGACGCAGCAGCAGACAGAGCCCATGATCCCACCACCCGCACCACCGCAAGCAATGTTTCAACATTCGGCATCGCTCGACCGCTCCGGAAGCCACTCGCCTGTCAGCTTTCGAGAAGGTCGAAGAGCCTCCGACGGGCTCATAGCACAAACAGGACTCTCGTATCGACAGGTCAGTCCAACTCCGCTAGCACAAGGACACAAAGATGCCAGCTTAGACGGTCATCTGAAAACAAATCTGAACATGAATTCATGTAGTCTTGCAGCTGATCAATTACAAATAGTCGGATTCAGCGGACAGCAGCTTACAGAAGTCAGCAAGGACAATGCTGACTTGACAAATCTTCCGTCCTGCCAAGTGGAACAAGAATTGGTGTCATGGCGCCGCTTCCCGGCTCAGGTCCAATCTATGGAACGGCGTCAGTACCGCATGCATGCCATGAAGCAAGGGGTTCATACTGAACCTCCTGGACACCTGACACACAGTGCATCGCTCGCCGGCCAATCGAGTCTTGAGGATATGCCCAGAGAGTTTCCGAACCAGATGCCACCAAACCCACACACGTTACAACGCACACTCTTGCATCAGAGACTGATGCAGAAGCGCCAACAACTCCAGAAGCAGTCGCAACTCAGCCAGCAGTTTGGTTGTATGCAGCTGGAGCGGCAGTCCAGCTTCGAAGGGCGCCCTCCCGCTCCTAACAGAACCGACTCGTACAAACAGGCACAGCAGCACCCCGTTCTTCCACAGTACGCCATCAACGACGATTCCTCGTTGAACAAGTCGCTCATTCAATGTCACAATGAGTTCAATCAAGCGACGTCGCTGGGCAGTAACGCCCCTCTACATTATGACACAACGTTAAATCAGGTGCCACAAAACTTTGAAGCGCCCTCTTACGAAGATAGCATGGACACATCGGACATCACTGTGCCAGTGTCGCAAGCAGGCAACAATTTTTCATTTACGCCCTGCTAGCAGTGACTACGCCACTTTTTCGTGGATCCATAGCTCATTTTTTAGATATCAGTTTAGACTGCTGGCTGGTACAGCGATTTTGTGTTGATTTTTGTCAATCAATCTTCAGGTTGATTTTTATTTTTTCGGTGTAGACCCTCAAGAATTTGAGGCAGAACGTACTTATTGAAGAAAAGATTGTCCAATGGAAGATGGAAACATTGCCAATTTTGGTGCAATTTTCTGTAGCCATCGTTGGCTAAAGAAGAGAAAAGGAAAACAAATAATAGTAAATGATATTTTGAAATGCCGATATATTTTAGCAATGATGACGGGAGAAATATTTGATTTTAATCGAGAAACCATACCAAAGTCTGTGTATATTTATCTTTTGATTGAAAGAGACGATGTTTTCCTCAAGAATATCACTCTTGCCAGGGAACGATCTTGTAGAAATTGATTTATTTTATACATTAGGTCGAGATTTAAAGATATGTGTGTTTTTAGAAATGATGCTAAATCCCTGCCCCATTTTATTTTTATCCTGTACATGTTTTAATGAGACACTGCTTTCTCTATGCAGCAAATTATCTGTTCTGATAAATCCATCTGCTTCACATGTGGATCAAGATTACAACTCAAATCAAAGGGAATAACGAATTGTCGATTTAGAAGAGATAGAGGGAAGTGGTTGGGGATGAGCAAGGTTTTCATCTTGGAACAATTTACCCGTTCTAGATTCTCTAGCTATTAGCTGCCTAGCAACACTGCCTCCTTCCAAGTCGTAAAACCTGAAGCTTTCGTGCGCACAAAACTTAACAAATTTCACTAAAGGCTCATGCCGCGACATAGGTAAAACGCCTATGTCACGGCAAAACAATTTAGGAAATTTGCCATGAAAATTGCTGTAATTAACTACCGGTACTTGCCACTGTCTCATGTCGCATAGGTTTCCGGTTTAAAAATATTCTCATATGGAATTATTAACATTCAAACAATTGGGGGCTTTCTGAACATTGTTGTTGTTGTTATGACTAGGATTTATATATACTGGTTCCCTAGTCTCTGTTTTTAAAAATCAAAAGATAACTTAACAATGCAATTTTCTTGGAAATCTGGCCAAGGAGTGTGTCCCATCTACTATTCATCTGTCCTAATGGTGCATTTTTAATGTTTTTGTAATCCATAAGTGTAGCTTGCCTATGAATTAGTTGAAGGAGAATTGTGATTCATGTTTTATTTTTGTTTTTGTTGGGGGGGGGGGTAGCTTATCTACTTATGAAGATCTCCTGATACTTAACTCAAAGGAGTTGTGCATTTTATGCTGTGTTCAGCACCATATCCAGGCTGCATGTAATAGGCATTTGTAGTCCATACGTGCATGTGCAGTGTCTGAAATAGTAACTCTATGCATGTATGCCCTCTGCAATATGTGTTCATTCAAAAATAGCTCTATACTCACAGTTGTAATGGCACCAAAAGTTTGAATCTGTACTCTTTAGATTTGATGGATACAGTTTCTTTTAATGTTAAAATTGAATATAGGTAAATGTAGGTTTCCTATCAGTTTATTCGGAGTAGCTTGTTCATTCAATTCCCACTAAGCCACAACTCATTCAAATTACAGTAGACCAATTCTGTTACACAGTTTTATTCACATCCATTATAAGGCATTTCTCTTGCTGTAAATAACCTAGCTCGGGACCTGTTTCACAAAGCTTTTTTTCAATGACAAATGACCAAAATCAGTGACAAATCTGCTGATAACCAATCAGAAGCAAGGATTTCACTAGCTTATAACAAAAACTGTCATTTAATTGTCACTGATGACAAGTTTTGTGAAATGGGGCCTTGGTCTTAAGCGATCTAAATCTTTTGCTTTGAAGGGTCATGTCAAAGTTGTTGATTAGAAATTGGTTTACCAGTATGTACAATGCTGTTTTAGTTCAATACATACACCTAATATTCTATGGGTTAACATTATAACATGCAGATGTACTCGTGTGGGTCGTCATCTTCAGCCTCTTTCAGACCTGGTGCAGTAAATCATCTTAAAAAACAAACGCTGTGGCAAAACGTTACTTACAAATGAATAAAAAGAGACAATATTTGGGGCCTGAAATCATCGCTGTAACTTCTCTGAACGACAGCCCCTATACATGTCCCATATAATGTTCATGCATATACTCATGTTATGCGCTATAGGCAACACTTTTCTCATATGCTGCAGGTTTTCTTTTACGTTTTTAAAAAAAAAGTGGTTTACTGCCTCAGGTCTGAATGAGCCAATAGCGTCCTCAAAGCTTGGCTTCCAAACTATTGCAGTTTTTGGAGAGAGCTTAATTGTAGCCATCCTGTGCCGTCCAACCATTCAATATAAATCTCATACTCTTCTAACGTTGTATCTAGTGCGAGACGCTATAGATGCACAAATCTCTATTTTACTACATATATTAACTTAGGATCGAAGCAGAAGTTAGTTAACAAAATTCTAGCATTTGCAATTATTTGAAACATTTCATCCATACAGATAGCTTTTGACTGTTGTTCATTGAAATCCAAACAGGCGTTGACCTGACTCTTGTAAAAATATGTGAGGTAGCAGTCTTGCAGTCTGCTAATGTTGGAAAAAATTGTTATTTTCATTTAACCTAAACTATTTTAACTCAAGTTTGTTTTAGCCTTAAAGGTAAATGTTCAGACACAAGTTAAGTTGAATATCTACAGTTATTAAGTTATTTGCATGTCATAGAATCCCAAAAAGTAAAGTTAAGTAGACTTAAAAACGTCCTACATGGTAAACTGTGGCAGTTTACCTCAGCATGCATGTACATGCAAGTGTACAACCTTTTATAGAAGCGAAATCTCTTCAAATACAGTCTTCGGATAATTAGCTTACGATATACCTCATTGTTTGAGTTCCAGAAGATGTACTCATGTACATATTCTCGTACTTGTAGTCACCATAGATAGAGCAGGGGCGACCTGTTAAGTCTACTGCTAACCAAACAGCATCAAGTATTCTGATGTAGCGTATTAAGGAGGGTTGTGTTTGGCTGATTAGTAGGACGGACACGCAAGTAATCAAGTATTGCACAGTAAATACCTCAGTGGCATCGACTCCATATCCATTGCAAACCCACAGATTCTTTTCCATTCAGGCCAATGGGACTATGGAAGTAATAAAATACAGTTCTTATAGTAACAGATTAAAATTAAATTGCACTGGTGTAACATGCTAGTAGTAGTGTGGTACAGTGTCATTTAAATTAGGTTACACTTGTTTAAAGGTTTGCAATAGAAATAAATTCACTGCCCAATATTCATTTATCAAGCTAGCTGTGAGATGCAGGCATGTAGACCAAGTTGAAACTGTTCATATAGGTTGTTACATTTATTTCATTATTTAAAAAATACAAAGATATAAGTTTTCTTGATTTTTAGGGTGTGTTACATCATCTGCTTAAAGCCAGGAGGGCGTTAGCTATGTATAAAAGTGTACGGGCTAAGGCCTTTTAGCTGTCAGCAGTTGATGTATCAGGCATTAATTGGGGAAGAATATATCCACACCACATAGGCCTGCAAACAAGCAACTCCTGAAACTGCTACTTTCATTTTAAAAGAAATTTATTTTTATGTGATGACAATGATATACTCGATAAGAAGTGTTTAGCTGTGCTATAGAAGCTGGAATGGAACTTGTGTAAGAGCTGAATCATACATGGTTGGAGAAATGTAAGAACGCTTTATGTTTAGAAGTCAGAGGAGATTTCTGTAGCCATCTTCAGGTCCATTTTACGCTTTGGTCCAAACATCACGTTATTACTATTGCGATTTAACCAGCATCGCAATCATTACAACCTTACGATGATAGTTCAATCACTGTAGCATTGCGTTGTTTGGACTGTAGTGTATATGGACCTCTAGTATAAGTTTCCATAGGCACAAGATGTTTTAGGTATAGCCAATCGATGATAGACGTAGCTACTCTTGGCATGCCGAAATGCAACAGATTTATATATTGATGTCTGTCAATTTATGTCAAGTTATGACAATTTTGGTGCTTTAATTTTGCTGGAGCAGACGTAGCTTAACTTGCTCGAAATAATTGCCATTTTTATTTGTAATCGAGACTAAACAAATCATTTATTTATTTATATATTTTGAAGCGAGAGAGAGAGAATTGTGTCCTCTTTTTTGTGTGTTGTATTTTTGTGTGTTTGTGAAATACTGTGGTATGCTTTATCGACTGTTTAGATAAAGATTAGCGCGAGAGGAAAAACTATTTTGAATATTTGTGCTGCGGTTTTGTCTGTTGCAGGTTTCTAGCCTGAAGTAGGCGTATTTTGATTACAAGAAACTTTCACGTTTTCATCCCCTTTAGATCAGTACTTGTCCAAAAACTTATCATGAAAATGATAGCGTGGAAAGTGTAGATAATTGCAACGCTTTTTGTTACTTGTCTTAATGAGTCACTAGGTATTTATGAAAAATTGACATATTTTTGTGAAATGTGACAATTAATGTTGTGTTCATCGCTGCAAATTCGTTGCCTACATGCAGCTCTGCAACTCCTCTGGTGCCGATTTGTGAGTCAGATGTTTTTTGAGTCGACATCGAAATGGGAAAATTACTTGTGCTTTTCATGACAGTCCGAGTTTGAATGGTAGATACGTTGGGAATGTGTATGAATGCCACACTACCATGTAAATACGATCGTACATTCGACAAAACAACAGGCATCTGTGATAATACACATTTTTTTGGAGAGCCGAAGAGCTTGATGTATTCAGAGGTTAAAGGCCACATATGCCCTATCAAAGCCATGAGTTTCTGCTTAAAATAGCTGGTTTGAACGATTTTTCATTCAGGACGATGGAATGAGAATCTGACATTTCATTTATTCATGATGAATAGATATGAAAATGAAAAGAGCTCTATCCATACTCTGAAGATGAATGCCACAACACTCTTCCAATTGACACAATGTAGGTTCCTATTTTTCTATTCACCACGATTAAGGAAAAGTTTGGAAAATTTAAGTTTCGCAAAGAGTGATCACTTTAAAAAAGGACATGGATGGAAAAAGATGTTTGAAAGTCATTCGCTAACATTGCATCGAGGCAGCTCTAGCCATTCTTAAAATTCAACCTCTATATTTTTTTTGAAAGGGTTGTAAAAGAATTGTAAGGCATAACTGAAAATGTAATGTATTTTCCTACTCTAACATATTATTGTTTAATATTCAATGGTATACTATTTCACTCACCGCCAGTTTATTGGCCAGAAATCGGCCGCAACGACATGATCTTGGTATTTTTAGTCCACTTTTTTGTCGTATGTTATTGTTTAATGTCATTTTATTTTTGGAACAGCAAGCTTAAAAGCAACTCAGATTTTGTTGAATATTACTAGTTGTACTTTGTGCATTAATGTACTTAAAAGTAATCAATCAATCGAAAATCGAAATGTATCCGTTGAAATTAACTGATTGAGTAAGTCACTAGTTTATTTGAATAGTGAAACTTTGTTTGTGAATTCTAAAATATGTGATAATGCCCTGCAATAGTATTTTGGAAGCAGATCAGTTTCTAGAAGGTCTGCTCTAAATAGTAAATTGTATAAATAAAATAACTACCTGAATTTATATATAGTCTTGCCGGTGGAGCGACGCTGGTAAAAGTCGGTGTTAGTCAGTGTAAGTATTGTACACATGATATTTATTGTTCAGAGACATAGCGTGTTAGATTTTGAAAGATAACTGTGGATTTCATGTCGACCACATAAGCAGCTTAATGAATTATTGATACGATGATGAAAAGGTGCACATATTTTGAGAAGATGAAAACATTTATTTTGATGTTTTAAAAAACAGTTTTCTGTTCTCTCTTTGAATATTTGTGGCAAGGTTTTGTTGTCAGCGAGTGAGGAAAAACAATGTTCGCCTGAATGTGGGATTGTAAATATACGAAGAGGTCCAACCGCCTGTTACAGGGGGTGATGGATTTGAAATAATTTAAGAACTATTTGTTGAAAATACACAACTATGTGCGCAGAGTAATCGAGTAACAAGGCAAAACAGATTATTTATGTGTGGATGTACGTTACTAGGGCTGTGCATTATTTTATTAAAAATATGGTGATTTCAGTGAATCTTTCTGGCTGTGTCAGTGTTTTATTTAGAAGTGAAGAAGACTTTCTTGATGCATCTAAAAGACGTTGGTTGTCAACTAGGAGAGAGAGAGTGTGAGAGGGGAAGAGAAGAAAAAAGGGAAAAGAAGGAGAGAGAGAAAGCAAGAGGGAGTGAGAGAAGAAGAGGTAGAGGGAAAAAAGGGTAGGAGAGAGAGAGGGAGGATAGAGAGGTGAAGAGAAAAAAAGAGAGATTCAGAGAAAATGGAGAAGAGGGAGAGAAGAAAGGAGGGAGAGAGCAAGAGAGAGTGGGAGAGGAAGAGATGGAGCAGGAGAGAGAGAGAGAGATCCCACTAGTATGCAAAGATTGTACGACATTTGCTCCTGTGACAATTGCTCCGTCTATGGTAATTTCCTACACTAAATAAATTCCCAACTTTGACCCTGGGCATGACACTATACCTATACCTAACTCTAACCCTTATCCTAACTTTGCAACCCTAACCCTAACTCGGCACTTTTGAAGAAATACAGCCTTGAGCAACCGTTGCCGGAGCAACTGTTGCCGGAGCAAATGTCACATCACCTTTGTGACAAGTTCTGAAAGTGCAACTCTACTCCAACTATGAACCCAAACTATAAAATTAATGTACATCAAATTACAGCATGTGCTACCTCACTGTTAAACAAAATACACTGGCTTCCAGTTAACTGAGATAAAACAATACCTGTTACTTGCTCAAACTTTTAAATCTTTGTCAACCACAGTTCTCTCCTCACTCTCTTTCAGGCTTTCAGCAACAGAACATCATAATTACTTTGATTTACATCAGCTTCTTCCTTTCTTATTCCCGAATCCTGAAAACAGGCTGGATTTGAGTTCAAATCCTTTCCTACTCCGATGGGACAAACTTTTCACATTTTTGAGAAATAGTACTTCACTTGACTTCTTAAAAAACTTACCTCTGCAATTATTAATTTGTCCTTAGACTAAGGGACAAAAACTTGCATCCTCTGGAAAATCAAATCAATAGATCCAACAATATTATTATTAAAGGGACTTGGCAACATTGTTTAGATGAGAGATAGTGGTTCTAAGGTAGTGACTTCAATGCTAGATGTACAATTAACTTGATCTGAAAATTTGAGTGAAAACAGACCATTATTCATCGTACAAATTGGGAAAAACTGATCTGATCGATTCCTTAATTCTCCCAACTATATTATTACATTTTAGGTGAATGGAAATCTCACAAAGCAATAAAATGGCTCTACATTCCATTCCAGACATTTAAGTGTTGAAAAATTTTTATAGACTGTTTTATCTCTTTTATTCATGGAAAAACGGTTGGGAAAATTAAAAAATGGTTGGGAGAATTTACTGTTAATCACTGTTAAAAGGTGTCATACATCGACGCCTTCAAAGAAAACAATCGATATCTTTGTGGTTTGAGAATTTTTTCAGGATTTTTTGCATGTCAGAGGGTTAGTACAGTAGAAGGAATATAGTAAGTAACATTTTATTCAAAAATTAAGCAATTTTTTTTCATCAACCTTCAACAATGTTACCAAGTCACTTTAATAACAGTCACTAAAATAATACACAGTTTAAATCACCAGTTTAAATGTCTTTAAGTTTGTACATCTTTTAATTCCATTCTCTCTCGTAAAATAACCATTACTGCTGCCATTGGGCAAATGTAGCAGATATAGTATAAATATACTGTGTGTACAAAATATTTTGTTTTCTTCCCCATAGTAAGACAAAGAGGTAGCAGCCCACGATATTCAAATCCTGATCACAAGTTCTCTGGTCCAGTCTCAAAATCAAATTGTTTTTTAAATCAACAGCGCTTCCATTAAATACCGCCCCTCACTAGTAGGTATACATTTAACTATCTTGATCAGGAAAAAAGTACTTTTTAAATTTGAGCTCCATTTCTATGATTTCCTCCGTAAAGAATTCAGCTTCTCCCATTTTGCAATTTGATGTCAAATACAGGTGTGTCTTCTCTAACTTTTCCAAACGTAGACTTTTCTCTGTACATTACAACAGCAAGTTCACGATACAAGCCAAAGGAGTGAACACTTCAAATGCCGAGCTCTGCTTTTCTCTCCCATCATGTCTGCAGATACCTGTATTACTGCAGGAACCAAGACAACGTGGGTCAAATAAAAGTTCTAGCCTTGATTAAACATCACAAGTCAACACATCAGGCAAGGCTCAAACTGTGTTCTTCATCAACTGTCCGATTGCGACGACTTGCTCTCGCTCGCCGCCGCCGCCGCCGACAGAGTTGCGTTGTCGTATTTACCGCTCTTCAAATCTTCGAGCACCTGCGGGGCCAAGCACTTGTCAAAGATGTCGCGAGGGGTCAGAGGGTCCTGCTGGGTGTCTGGGCATTTGTAGGAAACATAGGCCTTCAGCTAGAAATAAAAATAAAAGGGGAATAAGGAAAAAGAAAAACAAAATGGTTAATGGTTAATGTAAATGATAGATATACTGGTAGAGTAGGTAACATACTAAAACTGAACTTACTGACACTTTACAGCACAAGTCAAAAGAAACACTTCCATATTTACACCATGTGGAGGCATTCTGGTAAAATGTACAGTGCTTCTTTCGTTAATATATGTCCTTATGTGACATCGGTTAAAAATCACACCTGTGTCTTTACAGGCAAATATTAAGTATCTTTATTAGACTTCAAGTACTACATTACAAAAATGGCCTACGGAGGCTAGCACCATAGAGTACTGAAATGTGACGTCATATTAGCAAAGTTGTCAAGGTTGCTGGTTCCAAACAATGGCGTAGGTGGTGATCACACTAGCGCCAAACATTGACTTTGCCCTGCTCCAGCCCGTTGCTTGAATTATGTCGCGGTGAACCTCATGCGCAAGCTCTGTTGTTTGGAACCAGTAATCGAGATGATGAGCAAATATGACTGTGCTGATATTATGTAAGTCTTGACAACAGACTACAGTTCTCAACATGGATCATGACATTGAATCATGACGCAGTTTGGTTCTAATAAAGACACCTGTAAATACTAACCTCCAAGCCTCCGTATCATGACTTCTACAGTAGAACCATAACCAAAATATAATAATGACGTAAGCACTTTGGTACTCTATTAAAACTGCATTGCGCACTTTACAATGATTATGGAAGGGGGAGGGGAAGGGAGAGGGGAGGGGTGGTAGGGGATGATATGCTGGACTGCTGAACATGCATATATCCACATCTTACATTACATACAGTGAAAAGAGGCATAAAGTGTGACAGTGATATGTTTTTTTTAACCCATTGACTACTGAGGTCTGTCATTCCCATAACTTTAATATAGATATTACCAAGAACCCTTAGGCAATGAGTTACATCAATCATGTTAAAATGATCATCAGATAAAAACTTACTGGAAAATCTTCTAGATTAGGCACCACTATTTCTGGAATCATCTCCTTCACATTCTTCCATGTAGCTGTGAAGAAAAGGAAACAACACAATTATGATTTATGATAAACCTAAATTCTGGGGAATCCCCTTTCTTTGCTCATGCATTAATATTTAATAACTATCAAATATTAAAGAAAAATATAGAAGATATGGAAGAGTTATAAATTAAAACATCTTCAAGTCTATTGACTGATGACAGGTTACAGCTTGTTTTCTCAGGCTCTCGATCCATGTCTACAATGACCGAGACCCAACCTCAATAAAATCATCTCTTGCTATCCTTAATTTTTTTAATTTTGAGGATGAATAGGCACAATTTTTGTGAAATATGTTGCCTCCAAATTCTTACCATGAAATATTTACCATATGAAATCTATCGACCAGTGTAAATAATACCTCTCCTTTTAGTGGGAGCTCTTTCTCGGATTTGGTGTTGAATAAGTGCGATTTCTCACAGTGATATTTAAGTACTTTATTGTTTTTTTTTAACCAGAGCTCTTTTGACACTTTCAACAATTAATTTGAACAGGTTTGCATTTAATATTCAATAAATCTTTCAAAAGGTATGTTCACAATATGATAAATGAAGAATACTCATGATAGGTACATGTTATTTGATGCATACTTTTCCTAAAATTTGATAGCAAAAGAGACAGCTCTATTTTTTGTTTAATGGTCAGGACACAACCCCTAATTTCAATTTGATCAAGTTTGCATTTAATGTGCCATGAATCTTTCAAAAGGTACATGTATGTTTACATTCTGGAGCGTGTGTGCAGCACTTTGTAACTGCAAGGAAAAGGCCCTACGTCAAATATCTTTTGGATTGGATTGGATTTGATTGGACAATATGATTACAAATTATATTGGATTGTGCCATGAATCTTTCAAAAGGTACATGTATGTTCACAATATGATTACCGGTAATGAAAATACTCACGTTATTTAATGTTATTTGATGCCTACTTTTCATAAAATCCAATATAACTAAAAGAGACCACTCTATTTTTGATAATTGTCCAGACACAACCCAAGCTAATCCTACTGTAATCTTTAATATTTTCCCTGAAGAAATACTTACTTCTGACACCATATCCAGTGGGTTGTATGCGAGAGGCTGTGGGAAAATTAAAATAGGTAGAAATAAAACGAAATAAATGTTAATGAATGACATGTATAAACAAAGTACAAGCTTGCTTGGTATATGGACCTATCTAGTTATTTTGCCATTATATTTATAAACAAAAAAACTGTTCCTTGATACCGTTAGAATTTGTTTGACTTTATTCATATAAATTGTAATTAAATTTTAGAGGTTTGCACAACAAAAGCATTGCTTTTCTGACATGGCATGCCCCTCTGTTGGAGCTGGAAAGAAACCAAAGTATCTTTGCACCCTCAGGCTCAGCTCAGTGCATTATCATGCATACGAATTAGCATTGACCACTAGATACATGTATGTTGATGGTGTGGATTGGTTGCTTATTTCTCGAGGATGACCAAATTAAACAGAAGTTCCAACATATTAAGTCATAACAATTTCCTTCTCTTTGTTAATTAATGAATAATGGTAGAATACTGAATAGAAAACAAAAATAATAACAAATCAATGTCCTTTAATCTAGAGTCCAGACTAACTTAGACCTTCTAATTTTATTTGGTTAAAATCACACTCACAGGCAAACAACAGTTTAATTCTTAGTTATCCATCTCAGCTCAGGTCAATGCATCATCATCATCATCATCATCATCATCATCTAGTACAGGAAGAAGGCGTTGGCCTGTAATTCCTGGTCACTGCTTCTGGGTTTAGCATGTTGGAATTTTTTTATTCCATCAATTGATTCCATTTTCAATTCTTTTGACAAAAATGAAAAACACAACAATCGTCATTTTCAAACATCTTATTTTCCACTTACTGTTGGGATGAAAATTCTTGTTTCCACGTTTGCTCGTCATTTCCTTGTGTCTGTTGGCACCTCTCGTAAAGCCACGAAGCAGATCTCGCAAGACAGGCATTTTGACGATGAAAACCTCCAAGCAGCGACTTAGTTTCGAAAAACTGATAACATCAATTTCAGCATGTGGGACAAAAGCTTTAATGTCTCTTGCGCGTGCGCAGTACTACTAGTAATCTCAGAGGATGTCCCTAAACATCGCCCACAGTCAAACTCGGACGACAAATTAAAAAAAGCTCGTACTTGTCTGCATCTGTACCGCTGCATACTATATAGTCATATATAAAGAAACAACAGGAAAAAGAAAGAAATAAGAAAAAAAAAAAAAAAGAAGTGAAGAAAGAAATAAAGAAAGTAAGGAAAGAAACAATTAAAGAAAGAACGAAGAAAGAAAAAATATAATTAAGAAAGAAGGAAGAAAAAAGAGAAAGGGAGAAACAAAGAAAGAAGTAAGAAGTAAAGAAAGAAAGAATTAAGAAAGAACGAAATAAAGAAGAAAGGAAGGAAGAAAGAAAGAAAGAAAAAAGAAATATAAAAAAAGAAAAAAAAAGAACAAAAACGAAAGAGAGAAAGAAAGAATGAAGCTAAAAAGTGGAGTGGAACCTATTTCCAGTCAATTGTTTAAACCACTCGACCACCGTTTTAGACACCTCTAATTCACGTAGACCCTAATTACATCAATGCATGAGGTGTTGGTTTCTGTTGTCTTTCTGTAGTCAAGGCAGTGATGCCATTACTTTTCATTTTTTTTTTTTTTTTTACTACGAGTATCAATATACCATTGTCATCTTTATGTTCTCACGGCTCCAACGAAAAGCAATCTTGTCACTATTTGTGCTTTAAAAAAAAAAGGAAAACCAAGTAACATGAATAAATAATACAAACTAAATAAATAAATAGATAAATAAATTGATTGATTAATTAATTAGTCAATACTGGTAATCGAAAATAATAAATGAATAGATAAAAAATAATTAAAGGTAAAGACCAGTTATGGTCATGCGATTGCATTGTGAAAGAAACGTTGTGGAATCGATCAGAAAAGGTTGATCATCTAGCATCTAGCATCTGCAAGGTTCTGGAATCATCAAAATGATAAGAAATTTGGCCCATTCTTCGTAAAGTTACAAGCACTATACACAGAAAGATGTATATGGGACTACCCTATATCTCTCACAGACCATGAGAGAAACAAATTTACCAAATATATGAATTAGTAGGCGGTTTCCCGGCAAATTTTTTATCATCATGTATTAGTCAAAACATATTCTTTCACATGATTGGTAATTAGAGTTTCCATTTCATTTTTTGAAATTGGGGCGTTTCCAATACTGGTATTTACCTTTAATAAAATAAATAGATAGATAAATAGGCAAATAATCAAATGAATTCAAAATCGCGCCTTCCGGGGTCGTTGGCTTCTACCATCTTTTGTAAACACGTAGATCACATTGAATGCGATCCAAGTTTTTCCACTTGAAACGTGAAAAAGGGGTTTATAAGAGGGAAATTTAAACTTAGTACCAGTAAGTTCTCCCCCTCGAATCGCGGATCATTGGTCGGGTTCGCAGCCGGGTAATAAACCACGAGCCGTGATTGCTCATCTTGATTATGCATGTATATCACTTTCAGACGGATATGCCGTAGATCCTATATTTCTCTTTATGTATAGGCCTTTCCCAGAACCGACTGGGTTCGAATAGCAGTTCTAGGTGAAGACTATATAGGGGAGGAAGGGAGGGAGATCAACGAGGGGATCAAAATGTCATCAACTAACCCCTTTTTTCTTGATTATTACTAGATTTAAGAAAAGAAAATGTTTATGCAAGATTTCGAAATAACCGATAATTGTTGAAGTTTGAAGTCTGAAGTTTATTTGTTTCACATCCAAAACAAATACAGGTGTAATCCTTGTTTTCACGAAGTGACGGTAGTGAGGAAAATCGTAACGCAAAGTGAGTGCAATATTTTTCACTACCGTCAATTCGTGAAAACAGCGACGAGTAAAGCAACGAATTATTACAGGTAGACAACTTAATTGAAATACAATGTATACGATATAAAGCAAGGTGTTTCGACAGAAGTGTTGATATGACAAGCCAATATTTCAAAAAATGTAAAATATGAAGAGCCTATTTTAATACTATGCCACCTTAGATAATTTTGGAGAAAGTTGAAGCTTTTCAGGATCTTTTCTAAATGTAGCATCAAACAAAAGTATACAAATGTGGATCAAAAATGTGAAGGACTAAAAGGATACTGATTTTCTTTCACGATAATGCTCATTCATTAAATTACGTGAAGTAGAAATATTTGGCATAATGTGAAAGGGTATTACATTTCCGTCAGCATTTGTTAGGCCCTAAACAAAAACTGTTGCATAATATTATATGTAAGTCATGTTTAAGGAGGTATAACTGTGCATGTTTGAAGATAAAACATTGTTCATGTTTTGTTCAAATCTCGAAAAAAGCAAAATCCCCTTTGTAAGGGTAAGGGTTAACAGTTAACAAGCAAAAACAGACAAAGAAACCAAAAAGAACATTATTCTAGGAAGATCTAGGGTATAACCGTCTGCACATGATACGATTCAAGATGATAAAGTGCTGTTCAATTGCGGATCTTGTCAATCAAATGTTTTAAGTGGAACTGTGGCGATGGTTGATAGTTTTAATGGCATAGGGGGGGGGGGGGGGGGTACATGGTACTCACGTTTGGTATTAGTTTGCCCAAGAATTCTGTCGTGAAAGCAGAGTTTAATGCGGTTATCAAGAAGCTGAAACCCAAACCCAAACTTTAAAGAATATACGACAAATATTCAGATGTAAATATAAATGATAACAGAAAGAATGAAAGAATTAATGATAGAAAAAACTGTATTTTGTCGATATAATTATTATATTTCGTCGGAGGGGAAGGGGGCGCTCCCCTAAACCTATTCCGCTCTGCATGGTCGGCTGCCCCATTTGGGTTCAGTCTATACCATGAGAACGCTTATGAGAACGTGTCACTTAATTCCAGAGCACTCCAGAGGAAAGGAGGGCTTGATGACATCTCTCTCTCTCCCTCTTGCGAAAAAGCTGAACAAGTTTGTTCGATATTAACAGTTAATGAGAAGTTCTTGTAGTCGACTTCAGAAGGTTTCTTTCACGCTGACGACTTGAACGGAAAGAATTTTCGTCATGCACTTTGTGCATCATCTTTTGCTGTTTTTCAACACAACCAGCATCCTGTATGGAGGGAAAGGGTGAGAATAATCGGTTTTTGCACCAGTGCTTGGTACAAAACTATACAAAATATGTTCCATCTTAGACAAAATACCATTTTTTTTTCACGAAATCAGATTATACCAGAAAAAGTTCATTCTTTTAAAACACTTAGAACAGTGGATACAACTTGTTCACCTTATTGGGGGGGGGGGGGGGGGGGGGGGGGTCGCTAGAAAACTGTAAGAAACTAACGTTATGTCCGTCTCGTTTTAGTTTTAGCCCCCGCACTGTTTTTTTTTTTGGTTTCGTCCCTGTCTTGTTTTGCGTTTAACAAGAATGATAGAAAACGCTCTTCAAAGATAATAATATGTGAATCAGTAACGTAGGGACGACGAAATTGAGAAACAGGTTGTTTCAGGCAGCGAGGTCCATGAACATTCCTAAAAGACGATATTAGGATATCCGGGCAGCATGGCACCCTAAAATAACCCTTTTATTGTATTTTTATATAGAAATGAAATAAATACCAAACAAAGAGTCTTCATTCAAAATTGATAACTCTGGATCATTCCAGGCACCGAGATGACAGAATATATGATCTTACATTTTATCTAGTGTATATTGATAACTAAATAATTTTTTTGCCATGATAGAAGTGCAATTTTTTCGCCCGCTCGCAATATTTTTAGATCCGGTTGGTATATTTTCGCGCTAGAGGCCCTCACGCGCAAATGTGCCCATAATTTATGTCCATATAATATACGAGGGATGGAAAACAATTCTTGGATTGAAAGGACGTGAACATTGTCAACTCCTAAAAGGCTAGGGTACAGTGAAGAAGAAGAAGACGACAAGTTTGAAAAACGCTGATCTAGCTAGTAGACTAAAGACTGGTGTCCCACCCCCCCGGCCCCCACGTCTGAACCCTAGCTACGTACGCCACTAGTACTGCTGACAATGCATTTTAGAATGTGTTAACTTGGCTACAGCTGCATGTGGTGCGTGTTGCGTGTTGAGACCGACAGCCGACCACATAACGTATTGTTATTATTATTATCGATATATATTTAATAATAATTCATTATTCATCTTTATCGCTTTTGCCATCTTTTTCTTTATTGCAGTTTTCTAGTTGACGCACAGGTGACACAACCCCCTCCAGTCATACAAAATGACGGTAAGTTTAAAAAAATGGCTTTAATTCGATTAATTGATTTATTCATTCATTCGTGCAAGTTCACCTCGCCACCTCCTTTTTGTTCTCTAGAGAAAATACCTAGGAATACAGAAAATTCCTGGGAAAAATGTGGCTAATTTCAGCCAGCACGCTGTGCCGTGACCCGACTGCAAAACTATAAGCCAAACAAGGATAATCTAAATCTCAATTATAAAATTTAGCCGCCTTTGTTCTTTGAATCAAGCTATTCCTCCATCATCATTGATGAATATTATCCGTTTCGGGACATCATTCCACATTTTTGTGGTTTGGATCTATAACTTTAGATTTAAAGGTCTCAAAAATAGAGTAGAAAAGGCAAAAATATTTGTACACACCGTGTCCTTTGTTGTTGCATGACCATAATTGCGTCCGATGTCTTACTATCTCTTTTGGTAATTCAGGATCAAATCTGATGGATCATGACAAAGACTATATTTTTTAGCCGATAGTATCGAAATAATGAATTTGTCGCTTATCATGGTTTTATGAAACGGGTTTTCCGATTCCTGACATTCCGTGGGTCGCGTACAAAGATACGACTGTCATGGAATCGGTTTTGTGAAACGACCCCCAGTAAAAAAGAAAATAATCTTTAATAGCCTTGAATTGGCAACACGTTGAGGGTTCAAAGCTATAGTTTTTTCTCGATCAAATTGGCAATTTTTTAAACTTTTCTACCAAACGTTAAATTTTATTAGGGCAAAGCGAAATGTTTTTGTTGCCAACATGACTTTGTGATCAATTAAGTCTATTAGCTCCCCCCCCCTCTCTCTCTCTCTCTCTATCTCTCTCTCTCTATCTATCTCTCCCCTTTCTCTCTTCTCTCTTCATCTTCTTCTCATTCTCTCTCTTTTTTCTCGGAGCTCTCTCCCTGTTCCCCCTCTTCCTTTCTCTCCTCTCTCTCCTCCATCTCTTTCTATACCTTTATCAATTATCCCCTTTTCTACTTTCCTTTTCTTATCTCTCTATATTCTTCCCGCTTCCCTCTACTTCTCTACTTTTCTATCCGTATCTCCCCCCCCCTCTCTCTCTCTCTCTATATATATATCTATCCTTCGATCCCTTTCCTTCTTATTATTTTCTTCTTTTTCTTCTTCATTTTTCCCTTCATCTCCTCCCTGTTACTTAAAAAACAAAACCTCCATTATATATATATATATATATATATATATATATATATATATATATATGGATATATATATATATATTCCCCTTTCTCTCCGTTCATTTTCCCCATTATTTCCATATCTACCCGTCTCTCATCCAATCTCTCTCTCTCTCTCTCTAACAGAACTGCCTCTCTGTGGTAACAACATCGTCCTCCAAGGGAATGCCTGGGAGACCGGCTACCTCCTCTTACCGATGCGCGTGGCCGACTGTGTGTGGCACGCCTCTGCCCCGGAAGGACAACACATCCAACTGAGAGTCACTGTCATGGAAACGGATGCAGATGAAGAGTTCAGAGTTTATGACCATGGGACATCCGTTGATGACCAGTACCTCGTATCCACAATTCGAGGTGGGTATTATCAACAGTATGAAAGGATAAATGAATGGATGGATGATTGGGTGATTGATTGAATGAATTAATGAATGAATGAATAAATGGATGGATGGATGGATGGATGGATGGATAAATGAATGAATGAATGACAGGATGGATGGATGGATGGATGGATGGACAGATGGATGGATGGATGGATGGACAGATGGATGGGCAGATGGATGGATGGATGAATGAATGAATGAATAAATGGATGGATGGATGGATGGATGGACAGATGGATGGATGGATGAATGAATGAATGAATAAATGGATGGATGGATGGATGAATAAATGAATGAATGAATGACAGGATGGATGGATGGACAGATGGATGGACAGATGGATGGATGGATGGATGGATGAATAAATGGATAAATGAATGAATGAATGGATGGATGAATGAATGGATGGGTGGATGAATGGATGGATGGATGAATGGATGGATGGATGGATGGATGAATGGATGGATGGATGGATGAATGAATGAATGAATGGATGGATAAATGAATGAATGAATGAATGAATGGATTGAGTGAATAAATGGATGAATGAATGGATGGATGGATGAATGGATGAATGGATGGATGGATGGATGGATGGACAGATGGATGGATGGATGGATGGACAGATGGATGGATGGATGAATGAATGAATTAATAAATGGATGGATGCATGGATGCATGGATAAATGAATGAATGAATGACAGGATGGATGGATGGACAAATAGATGGATGGATGGATGGATGGATTGATGAATGGATGGATGGATGAATGAATGAATGAATGAACGAATGAACGAACGAACGAATGAATGCACGAACAAATGAATGAATGAATAAATAAATAAATAAATGAATGACTGGATATCAATATACTAATCTTACCCTCAGGGTATCCGTATATGGACGTCAAAGCAATCATGTCATCTGGCCAGGGTTTAACAGTCAGATACACAGCGTACCAAGGAAGAGAAAACGACCCTAGTTTTCGATTCTTTGCGCTGGTCACCACCCTGCCCACACGTAAGTAATAATAATAATAATATTTGCATAGATTTAGTGATCCCATATTTAAATCATGCGTAACCTCCTTATTATAGGCCAGATTATTTCAAATTTCGCCATTCTGCTTCTCTTATTTTTCTTCTTCCATATCAGTTATTACAAGGGTGAATTGCCCTTTAATGGTTAGTCGGGGGGGGGGGGGATAGTGTTCACAACACCCAACCCCCCCCCCCCCTTGAGCACAAAAGAAGAAGAAAACAATAGTAAAATAATTTTGTGGGCTAGGAGAGGGGGCCCGGCACCCCCTGGATCTGCCGCTGGTTATGGAATCCAGACCTTTATTTTCACCTTATTCATATTCTGGTAGAATTTTCGCGGAACGAAGAGGCTTGCGGAGGTCGCGTGCTGCTGACCGAGACTGAACAGACTACGATCGTAGCCCCGTATAACCTTCCTAATACCGGTCCTCATGCATACTGGTTTCAAACGACAGGGAGAGCTTTCAGAGGTGACGGAGAAGTATCCTGTGTCTGGACAATAGTGGCGCCGCCCAACAGGAAGGTCCAAGGTATTCTTCATACATTTCGTTTCATTTCTTTTCATTTAATTAATTTATTTATGGAAGTGCTCTTGACTCTCAATTAATATAAAGATATATAGACCAGTTTTGGAATCGCCCCCTCTCAAAAAATGGAATGAAAGCTCTTATACCAATCATGCGAAAGAATATGTTTTGACTAATACGTAATGATACACATTTTGCCGGGAAACTGCCTACTAATTGATATATTTGGCAAGTTATTATATCTATCCGGAACGAATAGATATCGCGCACGTGTAGCGTAGACCCATACACATCTTTCTGTGTACAGTGCTTGTAACTTTGCCAAGACTGGGCCAAATTTCTTATCATTTTGATGAATCCAGAACCTTGCAGTACACCCTAATACTTATATGCTAGATGATCAACCTTTTCTGATCGATTCCACAACGTTTCTTTCACAATGCAATCGCATGACCAGAACTGGTCTTTACCTTTAAGGGTTGAGAGTCCGAATCCAAGCCCGACACTATTAAACGTCCTTTGGCATCCACAAATTATTGCCACTCTCCACCCAGGCGTAGATGGGTATCTGGCAATTGCTGTAATTTGCTGGGGTAATGATAATTGCAGGACCGTCATGAAGAATAGCATTTATACTGATGAGGCTTCCCTGGGTAAACAAAATATTGTATTTCCATTTTTATTAAGTATTATCATTACTATTAGTATTACTATTATCTTTATTTTCAATTCCAATAAAATACAAATATAATAGAAATAAAGAAAGAACAATACAAAATGTAATACCTTTGAAAATGATAAAGTATAATATTTTCAGATTAAACTTGATCTATACTCTGATGAAATGGAGAGGTTCGTTGAAAATCAGAGATCGTGAAATGTTTACCCCTCGGACAATGATAACTAAGAACAGGTAAAAGATGAAGGAGAGTGGCCAACAGAGACAAAATTCACAGGAACACATAATTACCATGATTACTGGAAACAACTTAAAAGTACCAAATATACGATGGAGAAAGAACACATTGAGTGAATTAAATGACCAAAAGAAGCCATTTTGGGTTGTATGTGGATTAGAGGGAGATGAGAGAGAGAGAGAGAGAGAGAGAGATGAGAGAGAGAGAGAGAGAGAGAGAGATGAGAGAGAGAGAGAGAGAGAGAACGAAATACAGAGCGCACACAATTCTTGGAGGAATCTAAGAAAACAATAACAAAAACAAATCCCTTACCCCTCCCCCCAAAAAAAGGCAAGTGATGATGAGGTTTGAGATGAACAGGAAAACACAAAGTACGAAACAACAAGGTTCTTCCACCACAATATTTTACAAGATTTTTATAAGACTTTTTAAAAAGGCATTAATCCTTAGCACTGTCCAAGTTCACCCTAGAGTGGCACACATTTCCTTGGTCAAGACCTCGTTTTAAATGATTAATTTTTGTATTACATAAAAGCTAAACAGTAAGGGAGGGTTTTTGATATGCCATAATGCAGCCTAGTAGTATTAACAAACGAATTAAAAATGGAGAGGATATGATAAATATTTACTAATTAAGTTACAAAGTTTTAAAAAGTCTCGCATCATAATTATGTTGTCTCCCACTTCAACCCGTTCTCCCCTGTGCGTTCTAAACTTCCTTGTACACAGTGACATGGGACCATACAGACACGCTGAATGAAAAAGTCGGCATCTACGATCACGAAACTGTATCCGGCGACCACGAGGTGACCAGGCTCCAGGGGGTGATTGACTGGCAGATGCCTGTCTTCACATCATCTGGTAGCGTGATCGTGCTCTATCTCAAACAGGACGGTCTCCAGCCCGACGTCGGGAACGGGTTCCGCGTTACTCTGCAATCAACAGGTAATTACGTTCTCTCAAAAAATCTAACATTAAAGCCCATCTGTACTAGTGTACAGGAGGGATTAGAGCACCCTGAAAGGTCACATGACAGGTGGTTATCTCATCAAATCAACTCTCAATTAAATAAGAAAAAGAGGATCATGGCGGACCAATGGTCACCGATTAGGCATTGTTTGCTGTATAGAGGGCGCAAGTAGCTAGTGCAGTGGGGCTTAAAGGAAACCTAAACCCAAAGAATAAGTGTAGGTATTCTGAAAAATGAGATGTATTCCTGCCCTTTGATGTACAATATTCCTTACGAAAATGTACAAGATATATATAAATGAAGATATTCCTGTCATGATGTGATGCCTTCAGCATGATATGGGCGCAGCCATTTTCTTGAAAATGTGACGTACTTGTTGAAGTTGTACATGTATCATGCACCAAGCTTTAGTTGGAAAGAATTTTTAAATCAATAACGAAACCTTTACTTTTCAATAAAAAAAAATAATAAGTGAGGTGATATAAATTATATAAGGTGAAAAATAAATAATAGGGGCACAATTGTAACAAAATTCATTTATAAATACTACACTATAGCAGTTGACAAATCTATTTCATTTGTGAGAAACCTTCACCCCAGAAGGGCACTAACTTATTTATGCAATTTGCGTTCTGGCAATTATAGTACAAAGGATAATAGCAGGTGAATGAAATGCTTCATCACCACACACGTCTGGGAAAGAAGTATCCATAAATTTGAATACATTTTACTTGATAAACGACTTCGCATAGTACGTCACATTATCAAGAAAATGGCGATGCCCATGTCGTGCTGAGAAACTGTACTTTATACTTTTGCTTTATACCTCTCTCTTACACTTTGTTGGGGAATCTTGTAGATTTATGGGCAATATTATAATAAATCTCTCAGAATAAGTAAAGTTATTACTTGGGGTTCGGTTTCCTTTAATAGGAGCAAAACTTGTCAACTTACTTACTAAATAAGAAACGTGTGGTTCACTCCTGTCTGTCTTAGCATAGTGGGCACCCAGCCATGAACCTATTGTGCCTGGAAAAAGAAATGTTGGAAAATTACTTTGTGAATGAATCAATAAATCCACGATTATGATGAGCTCACAAACTTATGCTCCTAAACCTGACTACATGCAGCTAGGGGCTATCACAAGGAGATGATGCCTATTGGTCAATATACAAGTGGACTTAGACCGGTTCAACAAGAAATGTCTTCTGGGTAAGGGAATCAGGTGGGCCACATGGGCAGTAGTTGTGCGAGCAAATGAGACTATTCTCATCATCAATATCAGCAGTGTAAATTCATTTAAGTCAAGCTTAGAAAATGCATGGAAACCCAAATTTTGTTACTTTTTTTTATTTTTTATTTTTTTTTTTAACCCTGATGTTAATTTCTCTAATATCTGAAATGCCCACCCTGCGGCAATTAATACAACCTACAGGAACCTCACACAGGACAATGCAGAGGGGGAAATAAATTTCCTATACTTTATTCCTAACATCAAGATAAAAATTCAAGGTATATTCAAGGTAAATTCCCCCAAACACTTTTCTGCTCTTCAGACGCTGTCAATGTTCAGCCTGGCTGCGGTGGCTCTATCGCCTTGGATGAAAATGGTCTGGCCACTGCGACCATTCGCTCACCCTATTATGACGTCACAGAAACTACGGGCTCCAGCATCATGTGTTGGTGGTTCATCACTGCTCCATACGGCAATCAGGTCCAAGTCGACATCAATGACGTCACAACGACCACCAACGAGAGGGTAAGAATCACCGACGGGGCGACGCCATCGGATAATCCATCGTTCGAGCATACGTTCACCGGGACAGTCACAGTGGAGGAAAGGCTGTATTCTGGGGCCGGAGGTGTCATCATTGCTCTGGAAGATCTTTCTGTTGCTGGACCGAACGGACGTGGGTTTTCTCTGGAGGTATCCATCGCAGGTGAGAAGCCCATTTCCCCTGTCGTGTTCATCACGTAGCTTGACAATCTATATTTCCTTGAAAACAGTTCAGTAAAAGCGTAGGCGTAGTATAAAAATGGCCAGAACATTGGTAAATCATAACACTCAGATTTGTTGTTCATTCTCCTATCTACACCCCCCCCCCCCAAAAAAAAAAAAGAAAAAAAAAAAGCAAGAACCTTATGTCACGACTAAAGACATGTTGTTTTACGATAATAATGTCCGGATAGCTAGCGCAAGCGTGGTACCATGTTACGAATTTGTGACCCATATTGTCCGGGTTAGGCCATTAGCGACAACCTGCTGTTTCGGGTGATAGTACAAAGTCGATAAGGATCCTGACAGACCTTGGTGTCAAACCTTTGTCACCTTCCCTTACAGGGACTGCTGTTGTGACCAGCTATTAACCCATTGCTTACTGGAACCTGGTGGTCTCTCTGTTAAGTCTACGGGAATTAAATAATTCAGTAGTCAACGGGTTAACAAATTATCTGTTGATACGTGACCTGGCTATTGTCCGCGATTGCACAAATATATATATATATGTTTGTAATTAAAAAAAGACGTGCTTCGATCAAGGGCCACGACTCGATCCCTCAACGGGTCCATATATCACTAGTAATCAGTGTGTGCCATGGCCCATCTTTCTCAAGGACCTGGCTATTGCGAGATCGTGGGTGACCCCCACTACACTTCCTTCGACGGGAAGCGGTTCGACTTTCAAGGTGACTGCGAATACACCCTGGCAAAACCGTGCACACCGGAAACCGATCAACTACCCGACTTCCATCTCTGGGGGAACAACGTCAAATGGACACCTTCATCGAGGGTATCTCTTCTAAGGCAGATGTTCTTGAGCTACAATGGATCGACGTACTCCATCGGCCAGCCGTCGGGTCGGACTATCCGCGTTGATGGGGTCCAAGTGACCGCCCCCGTGAACCAGAACGGTGTGTCCATCACGTACGCATACCCACTTCTGGTAAGTGAGACACTAATCATAGAAAACGATGTCAAAGGAGTGATATATTAGTCACATTGATAAATAGATTAATAAATTAAACATTGACAGTTAGGGAGACAGCCGTTATTGGAGGACAATTGAAATCCTCCATTAACATGATAATTAGTAGACACGCGGGACCTATGAGTAATTACGCTACACGCTAAGGTGCTGCACAGCAACTTCATATAAGTGATTTGTCCAGAGTTTTTCTTTTAAAACCATATTTAAGACATTTTTTATTACCTACCGATTTCCTCAATGTTTGTTTATAGAAAGCTTTGTGTATCTGCTTTCACACTTTGGAATGGAAGGACCTTCTACGAACTCAAATTATTGATAATTTTGATTCCTTTTATTTCTTCTTTTTCTTCTGGACGTGTTCTCACATTTCTTTATTTGATAATAGGAAGAAAATAATACGGTTAATATAAACAGAGTTCTTTAATTGACCGTGCATATCATGTTAGATCTAAATGACGAATACAGTACTTTGCCTCTTTCATTCATCCTTCACACGCCTTGGTCAGATTATTGAGAGTGCCTTTTGTTTGAGAGTCACGTACGGTGGAGGCCATTTTTGAAAGATGCACCTCAGTAGAAAGTGTCTTGCAAAAGAACATTGGTGCCGCGGTTGGAGTCGGACCGCGCACCATGTGATCCAAAGTCCAACGATGTATCCACCCGATCAAAGACACCTCTAAACTTTGACCTTATTTTTTTTTTCTTCTTCTATTGATCAGATCATTGAGACGGACTTCTGGTTGAGGGTCATCACGCACGATGAATGCCATTTTGGAAAGTTTTACTAAAGATAATGTCTTTCCTAAGGACATGATTGATGCCGGCTTGGGTATCGGACCGCGCACCATGTGCTTCACAGTCCAATGACGTTTCCACCGGACCAAAGACACCTCTACACTTTAAACTTCCTTTATTTCTTCTAAATGATCAGATCATTGAGACTGACTTCGGGTTGAGGATCATGCACAATGGAAGCCTTTTGCGGAAAGTTTACTAAAGAAGATAATGTCTTTCCAGGGATATAATTGATGCCATGATGGGTTTCTGACCGCGCACCATGTGCTCCACAGAAGACGCTTCGACCTGACCAAAACACTTCCAAACTAATTAATTTTTTTCTTTCTTGTCATGATCAGATCATTGAGACAGAGTTCGGATTGAGAGTCACGTACGATGGAGCCCATTTTGGAAGGGTGTTCCTCAGCCCAGCGTTCGCCGGCAGGACTTGTGGTTTGTGTGGAAACTTTGACGGCAACACAGACAATGATTTCACTTTGCCTGATGGAACAGTGGTAAGATTTGAGAACATTACCGAAATACATACATACAAACATACACACATACATATTGCTATTCATATAGCGCCATTACATTAACATGCTCAAAGCGCTTTACATTAGTAAATAAAACAGAATATTATTTTGCTCTCCAAGCGCATACACTGTAAATTTGTTGTGTAAAGCTGTGTTAAGTTATTCAGAAAGCTGTGCGCCACATGAACCAAGCCTGGTTCATACAGTATAAAATGTCGTTCACGTCCCACACAACTCTACACAAGGCCTTGTCAAAAAACAATCACAAAGAAAACAAATAGGTTGTTTTTTATGAATATGTCATTGTCACTTGCAGTTAGAGGGCATGGCTTGTTGTGAGTGTTGTATGTACATATTGGCTTAACTGATTGTTTAAGCCGCCATTATAAGACAACTACACTGTGGAGAAATAGTATAGTGCGATTCAATGCACTAAAACTCATGTTGTTAGTATTCATATCATTAATTATATTCTTAATCAGGAAGATGTCATATCTCACATGATTGCGATTTCTTCAAAAGTAGGATTGCATGAGGCTCGTACAGGGAGTGTGTCATAGGCTTTACTCTACAAACCTTTACGTCGGGTATTTTAGAGGTGTCGCGGTATAGTGGTTCATTAACTTTGCTCTCTTTCCAAGGGTTGAGGGTTTGGATCTCAGCCAGGCACTAACAACCTTTGGAAAAATGTTTAATTCATTTTTTCCACCCTCCAACCAAGTGCAAATGGGTAGGCCTAGTCTATATTTGGCAGCCAGTTATAGCCGAGGTAATAGTTTTGGCGTAACGGATATACGAGTCGTATAAGAAGTCTATTGTCATTATTTTTATTATTAATATTATCATCATTTTTATAAACATTATTACTAATTTCATCTACAGTAGATGTGAAGTTATTAGTCACTGGACATAAATGTCAGTCTACCACTTTGTGATGCTCCTGAGCACTGTCCAAGATCACTCCGTGAACTCACACGCGGTCGCGTATAAAACATTACCCTATGAAGAAATCTCAACTCCCTGTCAAACAACACTTTAAAGGTATAGACCAGTTTTGGAAACGACCCCCTCTCAAAAAATGAAATGGGAGCTCTTATTACCAATCATGTGAAAGAGTATGTTTTGACTAATACGTGATGATACAAATTTTGCCGGGAAACCGCCTACTAATTGATATATTTGGTAAATTATCGTACCGATCTGGCCTGGAGAGATATCGCGCACGTGACGCGTAGTCCTATATACATCTTTCTGTGTACAGTGCTAATTGTAACTTTACCAAGACTGAGCCAAATTTCTTATCATTTTGATGATTCAAGAACCTTGCAGTACACACCAATACTTATATGCTAGATGATCAACCTTTTCCGATCGATTCCACAACGTTTCTTTCACAATGCAATCGCATGGCCAGAACTGGTCTATACCTTTAACCTGAGTATTAAACAGCATTTTCAAGAAATGTTTCCATTCATTTATTTAAGAGTCACTCATTTTGACAACATTTTCAACAACTGGTAGATTTTAAAAGCATTTTCCCTCGAAAAATGTGTACATATTTGTACAGGTTACCCCCCCCCCCATAAAAAAATGAAGGGGATATATAGTTCCCCCCCCCCCCCCCCCCCAATCACCCTGGGAAATACCCCCTTGTCGATACCCCACTATATTTTTTTTTTGGTATTTATTATTATTTTTTACAGGCAATTTTTTTAAGATGCCCTAATATTTGAAGAAGAAACCAAATCAATGATAATGAAGGTTATAACGTGGGAATTGTTGTAATGTTAGGTTATTAATGTTCAATTATTATTAATCAAGAATATGTAAATTATTGTTCTTATCAAAAATGCCTTTTTAAAATGGATGATCTTCCTTATGATTCAAAAGTAGTAAATATAAATGACTCTGAATTTGGATCTTGATTTGACTGCGTACCCCATGCAGACAGATGACGTCAACCTGTTCGGATTTAAATGGAGTGCGGACGAAGACTTCTGTACCCTGAGCATGGACCCTACGAACGATCCGTGTGAACAAGACGCGGCCCTAGCCGCCCGGATAGAACGGACCTGTGCGATCTTTGACCCCGTCAGGAATGGAGGTATACACAGGGCGCAGTGGCGTAGCGCAAGTCCGCCCAGGCGCGTAGCCAGGGGGGGGGCGGTGGGGCGGTCGCCCCCCAAAAAACGCCGGCCAAAAAAAAAAAAAGAGAGAGAAAAAAAAGAAAGGAAGAGGACGTAGGAAGAAAAAGGATTAAGAGTCGAGAACGGTACATCGAATCGTCTTCTTTCTCTAATAATTTAATGAAACGTCAAGGCTTCCGCGCTTCGCGCGGGAGGGGCGGGGGCAAACTGAATTCAGATAAGGATTAAGAGTCGAGAACGGTACAACGAATCGTCTTCTTTCTCGAATAATTTAATGAAACTTTAAAGCAAACTGAATTCAAACAATGATTAAGAGTCGAGAATGGTACAACGAATCGTCTTCTTTCTATAACAATTTAATGAAACGTCAGAGCTTCCGCGCTACGCGGAAGGATAACTTGATTCAAACAAGGATTAAGAGTCGAGAATGGTACAACGAATCGTCTTCTAATAATTTAATGAAACGTCAATAGAAACTGAATTTAGACAAGGATTAAGAGTCGAGAACGGTACAACGAATCGCCTTCTTTCTCTAGTAATCTAATGAAACGTCCCCCTCACCCCCCTCCCTGCACCCACCCCCTAGGGAGCGCGCTACGCGCGCTCTGAAAGTGATTCGCACGCTTCGCGTGCTCACTACCGCCCCCTAAAATAAAATCCTGGCTACGCGCTTGAGTCCGCCCATTGAGGGTTGGGGGGGGGGGGGGGGGTTGGGGGGGGGGGGGGCTCTGGAATGATTAGGGACACGGCTTCTCTTACTCAAAAAGTGAATGCGAATGGTTTTTTATTAACCCGTTGACTATTGAATTCTCTCATCATTCCCCACTGGGTTACAGGGGCCAACTGGTTCCAGTAGATGGCCGGGAGTTGTCATTTTTTTTTCTGCGGCACAGATTGGGGCTTTAAAAAAAAAAAGAGCTCTTGATTTAACCCTAACCCTAAACTTTCCCATAGGCTCAACACGCAGCTAACCCCAATCTGTGCTGCAGAAAAAGATAACGCGGCCGGGAGGATGCAGGAGGTGGTCCAGGTGCCTTCTTTACTTCTTCTCCCATTCACTTTCTCTTTTTTCGCTTTTTTAACTTTCATTTGATTATTTTACCACTTCATTGGGGGTGGGGGCGGGGTAGCACGTACCCCCGGGCCCTTTAGATAGGCCAAGTACGTGCAAAAATGATGTCTACTATCTACGACAAAACTGAATGATTACGTTTATGAACCTGCCTAGAAGCGGGTATGATATAACATAATTAATCTTCAATGCATGCTTTTTAAGAGACTTATTAAAGTTCACCTCGTGATTTTCTTTTGAAGGTATCTTTGGAGACTGTTCCACCTATGTTGACCACTTCAACTACTTTACGTCCTGTCAATTTGATCTCTGCTACACACATGAACTGAACAAAGTCATCTGCGCCAGCGTACAGGAGTACATCATACTCTGCCAGACCAGAAACCCTGGCGCTGTCATCGGAGAATGGAGAAACCTTATAGAGCAATGTTGTAAGTACATACTTCAGTTAGGGTTTCACAGGAAGAAGCCTTATACTGCAATGTGTTGAATACACTATACTACAATTTAATAAGGTTACACCATAACATTCGTTTATGGGTAGGAACCTTATACTGCAGTGGGATGAATATGTACTTGCATATGTAAAAAAACAAGATGGAAAGAACTTATGGCAACATTTTTATATTGTGTTATATTGGCTTGTTGTGTCTTAAATGTGTCAAGATTTTGAGTAACCACTAATATAAAATATAAAATATAAAGAAGTAGATAACTATATATGTTCTAATCTTGAATATACAGAGTGAGTGATTTCAAGTTCGGTGTTGTGGCTGGTGTTGGTGTTCTCACAACACCAACACCAGCTTTCAACACCGAACTTGAAATCACTCATTGTTCCGCGATAAATTCATGATTACCATTCTCCGGTTCATCAAGTTGCATAAATAGCCTCACCAACAAAAAATTAAAGACATTGTGGCTGGTGTTGGTGTTCTTACAACACCAACACCAGCTTTCAACACCGAACTTGAAATCACTCATTGTTCCCCGATAAATTCATGATTACCATTCTCCGGTTCATCAAGTTGCATAAATAGCCTCACCAACAAAAAATTAAAGACACGCCCACACTCGATGTACAGTATTTCTCTTTTTCATACTTTGCCACTCCAAAGTTAAAGTTTAATATCAAGCACCTGAAAAAAACTCTACCTCAAAAAAGCTTTAACTGGCGTTCAATAGGTAAACAATGCACAAACGTTCTCAACAAGACGTTTTAATGTCCACTGATGATGTATCAAAATTGCAATGTCTCTTTGTAGAAGTAATATTTGAAGCTGATATTTTGAATACAGTAAAGCCACATCCCCCATCTCAAGAGCAATTAGACATGACTGGTACACTTTAACTGATCTTGTTTCCATCAATCTGTTTTGAGGAAATGTTATGAAGTGTTACTCAAGATACATCCTGAATGAGTATATTTTTAATTTTTCAATTCCAGCTTTCGATTGTCCAGAAGGAACTGAATATCGGATGTGTGGTACCGCCTGCCCCAACACCTGTGCCGACAGAACGGCGGCCGAGAACTGCCCGCGGCCCTGCCATGAGACATGCTTGTGCCCCGATGAGTTGGTGCTGGATGGTGAAAAGTGTGTCGCGGTCGAAGATTGCGGATGCACCCTGCCTAACAATGTCTACCTCTCTGTAACTAGTTTTAATTTTTTTGTTTTTTTTTTTTTTTTTTTGTTGGGGGGGGGGGGGGGTTCGTTTGTTCAGTCTGTAGAGCGGTATCACTTAAGGGTTGTTCAGATATGGCACAAAAAAACCGCTGCAAAAAAGCGGCCGCTACTTTTTGTTTGTTCGGGTAAATGAATGACAACTGCGTGCAACGAAGGACTTACGCCTAGTTACAGAGCTCTTCATTATACGACACAGAAAAGTGAAGCGTATTAAGCTTTAAAGACCGTCAATACTACTGGGCCAGAAGGGATTAGACCACACAGCGAGGTCACTGACAGGTGGCTATCTCATTAACTCAGCTCTCAACTAACATAAGAAAGAGAGGATCATGGGGCACCAACAGGCACCGATTGGGAAGTTTTCTATATAGAGGGAGCAAGAAGCTACAAGTAGGACAGTGGGGTTTTAAGTCATCATAAACAAAACTTAAAACATTCTCTTCGCATTTTTCTGCTAAACTGCTTATTTTCATATACTACATTTACGCTGTTTTCATACTGTTTTAAGACTCTAGCTCTTCCTCTATATCACACAGTTTCAAAATGTTTTCACAATTTTTTACAGTGTGTTCACCTCATGTTCACACAAGTCACACAGTATTTAACATTGCATTTATAAGGGCTCCAATAAATATCACTTTCATGTTTGTGTGTGGGTATTACAGTCTGGGGACATCTGGATTACCCCCGAAACGTGCGAGGAAAGATGTGGGTGTGAAGGGGGAGTCGTGACGTGCCAACCTCTCGGCTGTGGAGAGAATGAGGCATGCGTCGTGAGGAATGGAGCCAGGGGTTGTTACTGCCAAGACAACTTCATCCTCAACAATGATGGAGAATGCGTACAAGGTACGTGGTAGAGTGGTTCAGTCACTTGACTCTCATTCCAAGAGTTGAGGGTTCGAATCCCAGCCCAGCACTATAATGCCCTCTGGCAAGACATAAATCAAAATTTGTCACTTTCCATGCAGCAGTAAACGGGTACCTTGCAATTGCTGTGGTAACAATAATTGTAAGGCACTCAGGAAGAACAGCATTGATGCTGATGAGGCTTCCCCGGATACAAAATAGTTTTTCATACTACCAAGTAGTAGTAGTAGTAGTAGTAGTAGTAGAAGAAGTAGTATTGTTGTTATTATCGATGTTGCAATTTCTACATCTATAATAATAATAATAGTGATGATAATAATAATATCAATAATAAATATACTGATAATACTACTAATAAAAATTATTATTATTATTATCACTATGATCACTATACAAGCATGACTGCTTTTTAGTGGATCCCCCCATTTCCTCAGTAATTAAGAATTTCTTGTAATAATTCTATTATGTGTAAAGTGTTTTTGTATAGTTACCAAGAAAAAATGAATTGTGTACATTCATTTCTTTCACACTTTCTGTAATCATATATGTAATACCTTTGTTTATCTTTCTGTTGGAAATGAAATAAATATTAATTGAATTATTATTAATCATCCTCATTCTTCTTCTTTTTATTTATATTTCATCTGACCAGCACCTGCTACCTGCACCATCTCCGGTGACCCTCACTACACGACCTTTGACCGGTTCACCCATCACTTCCAAGGTGACTGCATGTACACCCTGGTGAGGCCCTGCCAAGCCTCTGACCTCTACCCGGACTTCCACATCTGGGGGGACACCATCAAGACGAGCCCTGCCGCCACCGTCGCCTACCTGCAGACAGTCTTTCTGCTTCTCAACGACACCACGTATACGCTAGCTCAGGGCAAGGCTTTCCTGGTCGATGGCGTGGCGAAGTCCAGCGTCAACTACCAGGACGGATCTGTCCGTGTTTGGTCCGATGCTAGCTTTCTGGTGGGTTATTACATCTCAAGGAAATGCTTTCCCGTCGTCGGTTTTTAAGAGCATTAAAGGCTATTTCAGTTATGACGCGGTAAACCACTGTAAAAAAAGAAGAAGAAGCCAATAAGCCTTTTTAAGACCGAGAAGGCGAGCAGTTAATACTCCCCAAGGCACCTTGTTTAAGACGAGGAGAGAAGCACGTCGTTAAAGCTTGCCAAGACGCCTTGGTGGGCTTTAACAATTCACCTTCTCGACTTATAAAAAGGCGCCTTGGCGAGTTTTAACAAGTGCACGGCCGGCCTTCGCGCTGCTCCTTTAAGCTCCCGTACAGCTCATGTCCTTCCGAGAGAACTTCACCATGAATATTAGCAAGATTATTTTCTATTTCATATACAAAGCAAATCCCTCATAGCATTTATATTTCCAAAGCACCCACCAAAGTCATCTCTTAAACTATGCGAGATTACGCCAAAGTCCTGACGTTCGAAAACCTCTTTGTATAAGACAGAGGAGTGGGCTCTCATCATGTGGAATATGACACCATTCGGGTGTTAAACCAACCTAATGACGTGAGATCACCAATCGATGGAAGAATTTTCCCAGAATTTCAAGGCCGATGAATTGTTTTCAATTTCAAATGTATAGATTAGTGATTTTAATTCAGCTAAACTAATTTAGTAATCTTGATTTACTGTTAAAATTCTTGCAAAATAAGTCAACTTGTATTTGCATAAATGTGAACTTTTGATCTTACTTACTCAATTCTTTTTATATATCTATTTTTCCCCCCACAATTTTGAACCTTGCAAACATCCATTTCGTAGACCCTGGAGACGGAATTCGGCGTCACGATTCAGTTTAATGGTGGCTCTATAGCCTACATCCAAGTATCTCAGGAGTTCTGGAATAACACATGTGGTCTTTGTGGAAACTTTGACGGCGTCAGCTCAAACGAATATACAACGAGTGATGGAAATTTGGTAGGAAAGCTTTTAAATCTATGTAATACATATCTATTGCTTGAATAACTACTATTCATTCTGATGCGCATTTTCATTGGTTATTATACATTTAATCATATTGTATGTAATTACAATATGTTTTGGCTGTTGAGAGCGACTACAAGTTTGCTGTGTGCCTATTCGAACGGTCGGTCGGTGTTACTTTAAAGAATAAATGCAGTATTTTAATGGAAATCGATGCACATTTCCATTTTGGTTGAACCGTAACATAATTAATGCAAAATTCAATTGATAGATGAATATATTTTATCAAGGCACAAGGCCACCCTGGGCTTTTCCTTCGTTCTCCTATTTCATTTGAAGTCATGGTATAAACTGAACATTCGTTATATGTACATGTATATATATATACATGTATGTTTATTTGCATTTGCTGTGTTTTTTATGATAATGAAATTAATAAACGAACGAACGAACAAATATTGAATCTTGGAATGTACTGACATGTCACGTACTTCTTTTGATCCGATGTAGACTGGTAGTGTGGACGTGTTCGGTAATAGTTGGCAGACAGGTCCCGAAGAATGCCAGGGTATCGTCACTCCACCCAATCCTTGCGATGTGAATCCTGTTGCCCAAATAGCGGCTCACGGAGCCTGCAACAACCTCAATAATCTCAACGGTAGCGATGTAACGTTGACCTTATCCATGCATGCACTTAGGTCCTTCTTGATTGTTTATGATCAATGACAACTCATATTTTAATGCCATTATCAAACATATTCCTGTCAAGTACAAGAAATATGTCAGCTCGTCCCCGACATAGATATAACCATCTAGAAGGTATGACACAAGGTATTTATTTGCATAGACATAAGATCACACAGTCATGCATAGTTAACTTAATTATTTATACCTCTTTGTAGATTTGATGTCATTTTGTGTTTTTCGTAACTCAAGAATGAGAGGTGCAATGTTTGAATTACAGCCTTAGTTGAATACTTTGATTTAGATGTAAGCTTTAATATGTCACATTCTCATAAAAAATAAATCGGGACAATTCTATTTGTCACATTCTTAAAAAATTACAAAACTTAGTAAGGGTATGAATCTACGTTGAATCTTGGTAGACTGCATAGTACCTGGCTAAGTGTTTTTAATCCAATTGGTGAATTCCTTAATCTAAGTAAACTTTAGTGTCAGTAGCATATCATTGTCGAGAGTAGGTCTACCTTGTACGAATGCCTCAAGGCTTGAGTGTAGATGTATTGTGGTCTAGTGGAGAAGTTGTCGGGCTGTGGATCACAGGGTCCACAGTTCGAGTCCCGCTGCGGCACTAATGTCCTTTGGGAAGACATTAATCTACATTTGCCACTCTCCACCTATGGGTACCGGTAGGAAAGAATTCCTTGAATGATTTGAGCGCCGACATCGGCAGCCTAGCAGAGCTAGGAGCACCTTGAGCACCTTGCATGGTGGATATGTGCGCTTTATACATATCAAATATTATTATTATTATTGTAATTTCAAGCGTTTCGAATATTTCTTCAAACCCCAGGACCGTTCCAGACTTGCTTGGACTTTGCGGACCCGAGCGATACGTACACGTCATGTGTCTTTGACGCATGCGTACTTGGTGCCGACAATGACGCGGTATGTGACCATTACGAGCAGTACGCACAGATTTGTCAAACTCTTGGACAGCAAGCCGGTGATTGGAGGACTCCTCTAGCACAATGCGGTAAAGTGCCACTCGATCAGGGCACTGTTTCACAAACACTAAGATTGACTTTAAGTTGGACTTAACTATGGTTGGCCGTTCATGCCACTGTTTGCTATCACCATTTACTGGCATTGGTCTCTCAAAAGACGTACAAATCATGATCACAAATATACAGAATTTGCATTTTTTGATTATTCATTATTGAAGGAAAAGATATCTAAAGATCATAATGTTGAGAGCAAACAATGGCATGAACGGCCTGCCATAGTTAAGACCAACTTAAAGTCGAACTTAGTCTTTGTGAAACACTCCCTTGCTCCTTCCTTTACCCCAAAAGAGTTGCTTGAACTATTAATAATGATGATGATAATTGATAACAATAATAAATAATAAACGTACTAAAGATATGAAGAAAATGATGGCTCAGAGCATTTATATAGCGTCATATTTCTGTAATTTGACGTATGATATGACTTTTATAATGATCAAACAGTACTGCTCTCTCTCTCTCTCTCTTAAATTTCTTAGCCTTCACCTGTCCTGCAAATCAAGAATACAACCCATGCGGCTCGCCATGCCCTGCTACCTGCACCAACCCGACGGCCCCCGATACTTGCCCGACACCTTGTCGTGAAACGTGCACCTGCCCCGAGGGGCTACTGTTCGATGGGGAGTCATGCATTGAACCAGACCAATGTGGATGCAGTTACGAGGGTTCATACTATTCCGTAAATGGAACCTTTTAAAAAAAATACCCTTTAAAGGCCCACTGCACTACTTGTAGCTACTTGCTCCCTCTATATAACAAACAATGCCTAATCGGTGACCATTGGTCCCCCATGATCCTCTTTTTCTTATGTTAACTGAGAGCTGAGTTAATGAGATAACCACCTGTCCAGTGACCTTGCAGGCCGGTGTAATCCCTCTTGTAAACTATGGCAGATAAGCTTTAAAAAGAAAGTTTTTCAGCCATTTTGTTTCAGCAATTCAAAACGTGATAATGTTTGAACATGACTATAACATGATTAGAAAACAAAACAAAACAATTTTCAAACTTAAGAGCATGTTTAAGTTCTGGACGTCGTTGCATACCATTTACCATGCACTGAGGGTAACTTTAAGTTCCAGGCCTCATTGCATACAACTTACCACTGACGGTAACTTTGCCATCAGAATAAGCTGTCGTGGCAACATAACTCAACAGCCAATCAAATCAAGGTTTCCATGGAAGTTACCATTAATGGCAAAGTCACTACCAATGCTAAGTTATATGCAACGGGGCCCTATTAAGTGTAGTGCCATTGCGTTATAAAAAAAAAAAAAAAAAAAAAAAAAAAAAACCCTGTCTGAAAGCTTTTTGGAAAACATTAATTTTGTAGGAAATATGCCCATAATCATTGGTGTATGGCATTGGTGTATGTCGTCAAAATTATAAGCAAAGGACTCAGATTTGCTGAATGCCACATGCAGTTCACATAGATTATATGTGCAACAAACATACGTGAGGCATCCAATTATGGTCCTAACTTTCTGATATTTCCAGTCATTATTTGAAGAAAAATTTCAGTCAAGAAGGCATGTCTACCAAGATATAACGCGGTAAACTGCCACCCCCCCCCAAAAAAAAAAAAATGTTGCAGATTTCTTTTAACTTGTAAATCAGTGGCAACTGCACACGTAATAAAGGGCCTGCACGTCTGAGCTCTGTGTTTTAAAGGTAAAGACCAGTATTGGAAACGCCCCAATTTCAAAAAATGAAATGGAAGCTCTTATTACCAATCATGTGAAAGAATATGTTTTGACTAATACATGATGATAAAAAATTTGCCGGGAAACCACCTACTAATTTATATATTTGGTAAATTTGCTTCTCTCATGGTCTGTGAGAGATATAGGGTAGTCCCATATACATCTTTCTGTGTATAGTGCTTGTAACCTTACGAAGAATGGGCCAAATTTCTTATCATTTTGATGATTCCAGAACCTTGCAGATGCTACATGCTAGATGATCAACCTTTTCGGATCGATTCCACAACGTTTCTTTCACAATGCAATCGTATGACCATAACTGGTCTTTACCTTTAAGATACCGAAATGTAAAGCGGAGTACACTTTTCGTCTCATCATAAAAAAGCCGTCACGGTTTTTGCCGCGTCATATCTAACACAAGCCTCATCTTCTCTATACAGAACGGGGTGACTTGGACTAGTGTGGACTGTATGACGTCATGCTCGTGTGTGTCAGGTGACGTAGTGTGCGGTACAAACACGTGTCAACCGAGTGAGGAGTGTGCACTGGACGCTCAAGGAGTACCGGGATGCTACTGCCGACCGGGGCTTAACCGCACCGAGGGCGTATGCGTTGGAGGTAAATAATTCATTCATAACACTGATGGAGTTCCTATACAGTGCGTCCCAGAAAAAACGAAACTGAGAATTATCGATGTTTTATCATAACTTGGTCACATTTATAATTAATACATGACACATATTTGGAAAGCTTAGATCCTCCTCTTTCATTGGATGCAACTCATAATGATGCATATTCACGCATGAGTGATAAAAATGAATTTGAAGAGAGGAAACCAAAAAGTTATTTGGTAGACGGTATCTGAATTTCGATGAAAAATTCACATTTCTAGAAAGTTCAGTTTCTGCTCTTTCATATGACACCTCAATCAGAAAAAATGAGCAAGGTATGACAAAGTTCTGTTTGTTTAAAGTAGTGCTTGCATTTCCATAACTTTATCAAACGAATTTGTTTTCACTGGCTGCCTGCCGTAGCAAAAAGCAGAATTGACAAAAGACTTAACTCCGTTTCGTTGACAATCAGCCATGCATGAAGTCTTTGGTCTACGGCTGATTGTCAACGAAACGAAGTTAAGTCTTTTGTTTATTCCGTTTGTTAATTCCTGACTAATTCTCATATCTTATTTTTCATTTGGTCTTAACAGAGATTCCGCCATCTGCAGGTAAGCTATATATAAAACCCCTCAAACTCAAACTCAACTTTTCATCATTAAAGAATATTATAATTTATATTTTCATCCTCTCCTTCTTCTTCAATTTCTTCTTCGTTGTCTTCTCCTTATCCTCAATCCTGCTTGTTCTTATTATCATCATCATTTATATAACCATAAATGTCATTATCAGATATTAATCTTAGAAAGATATGAACATACTTTAGAGGAACATTGTTCCTAAGATATTAAATTCCAGGTCCAGAAATGGACTTGAAATGATACCACCCTGTTGAAATAAACTATAATAAGAAATTATGATAATCATTATCATTACTGTATTGTTATCATCACAATTATTTAAAGTATATGACAGGGAAAGACATATTATAATTAAGTGATTAAATCTCAAAATGTAGAATACTATCTATAAACTGTTGCCAAGTTAATGATCGTCTTCTATTCACCAGAGATACGCGTTGCTTGTGACGGGTTCGCTATGTCCGCCAATGTGAACGATGCAGCTATCATAGAAGATATCGAACGAGATGACTTTACCGCTGCAGATGTGGTGTGCGGTGTGTTCACCTATGATCAGACCGCGTTCACATTCGAGAAGTTCTTCGAGTCGTGCGACGAACATATCGCTCGAGCAGAGGTAAGGAAAATATGCATACCGTACAACATCAACAGGTTTTAATTTGATTGAACTTGAGTCTACAGCCCTCTAGACCGACAGTTTCATTTTCCTAGGCACTCTGACATCTTTCGGGATGCTTGAGACAGACCATCTACAATACTAGGGACTTAGAGTGGACGAGAACGGCGTGAACGTCGACTGATCATGCGTGTCTACGGCAAGCCATTTTAACATCTGTTCCTATTTCTTGATATCAAGAATTAAATCATTAATCGATTTCTTGATATCAAGAATTCAATCTTTAATTTCAAGAAATGACTTTCTGTTGTAAAGCAATGGTAATTCCTGATATCAAGCATTGAATTCTTGATATGAAGACATTGGATAAATGTTGAAACGGCTTGCCATAGACACGCATGATCATTCGACGTTCACGCCGTTCTCGTAAACTCTAAAACTCTAAAAGTCCCTATTGACAGTACGACTGACACACCAACAGGCCTCGAGACAGTTTCGTGGAGTCTGTAGGCCGGATGGGATGTGACACCTCCAGCTGTTCATTTTTTTCTACCGACAGAATTTCAATTCTTACATTCTTTTGGCAGTTGAAAAAAATGAGCAATGTATAAAAATTGTTTTCACAGATCAGTAGCTTATAACAAATTTTGTAATTTGTCATTGATTAACAAATTGTCAAACGTGGCCCGGGTCTCCTTTGTCAATTTCTTCCCATTACTTTTATTTCTTCCATGCATTTCCGAAATAACATTTTTTTAGAAATTAGTCAAAGTAGTATGACATATATATTATAATAGCATGCTAATATTATGTATGAAAACTTTTATATTATAACAATTATTGTACAGTTAAATGCCATTTTATCAATACTGCGTTATAACTTTATGGGCACAATTTATATCATTAGCTTTAGAAGAGGGACCATTACGGTTACAGTGATTTAGTTTGCTGTCCTCTTCCCCGGCAGCCAACTGATGCACTCAGAGGACCTCCAGGGAGATTGTGCATTTATAATTGACATTCTCTTAATGTTTGATTACTCATATCTACATGGTTATTTTTTTGTGAATTGGGGAATAAATAATAAATAATTATTATTTTTAAAAATTCTTTACATCGAGCAGGTATCAGAGAATGATGTTATCTTCGCTGATGTCGCCACTGCGCCACTAGATGTACTCACTGTGGGAGCAGCGAATCCGGGGGAGGATAACGCCCGAACCGCCATCTTCTGTGAATTCCGACCTGTGTTAGCCTAACTCTGATACAGGTGTCTTAATAAGCTACTTTGGGGACAAAAGGACCCCCAAATATCCACAGATCTGTTACACATGGAGACGTCCCAGTTTGTGCATTTTAGAATAATCACTTCCAAAGTGATGGATGTGCTTCATGAATACGTTTTATTAGCCCTCTCAAAAAGAATACTTCCACTTGTGTATCATAAAATGTACCACCGGTGCATAAAATGAATAATGATTACATGAACGAATAATGATTACATGAATGAATAATGATTTCATTAACACGTATCAAACAATCGTCTCGATGGGTATTATAGTTGTGTACAAAATGACAATTATCTGCCCATGCGCAGATAGTATTTCAGAAGTGGCCTGTTAGGAGGAAACTACTAGAAATGTGCAGCATTCCGCTTATGTTATGTTTTTTTGTTGTTTCTTTTCTTTATGGTTTAACTTTTTGGTTACATGTATATCATATTCATTCAAATAGAATATCCATACATTTGTCAATATTATCTACAAAAAAATATCCTTCGGATTCCTTTGGAAACAAGCTGTTTATTAGCTTTTAAATAGAACTCTTATCTTTATCATGTTTATCAATTATCTACGGTAAATTCTTCATTCTATTAGCTCTCATGTGTCATCCATCCATAAGTTAACGGCGTGTTATTGTCGTCATCACTCATGAAGGCAATATCATATATAGTTCAACCGCTGTTTCTCTCTTTGTCGTCATTTTAAAAGGGAAGCTATTACGAGCCTCTGGATACAATGTGCTTTTTGAATATAACAGTTTCATCTTTCGGCATGATAATGAAATAAAAGCAATCCCAAACAGAAGCAGACATTTTGGAAATATATTTCTATTCCATCAATTGCTATTTATTTTAGCTTTCTTTTTGTTCCTGATCAAACGATATAAATTATGATTGGAGCATAACGTTTCCTTGGATTGTATGGTTTCCAATTTCACTGAATCTACATTAAATTTTCCCTATCAGCATGAACATGTAGGCCTATTCGAAAATACTCAATCTGTATCTCTCTTTATACAATATTGATGATCAGGTTGATTATGGTGTTGGTGATGATAATGATATTTCTGGAGATATTAATGATGGTGATGATGATGAAGAAAACAACGATGGGATCGAGAGTGCTGATGGTGGTGGTGATATTAATGTATATTTTGATGGTAATTACAATAAGACTGATAATGACTCTGATAATGATAATGGTGATTATGAGGATGATAAAAATAGATGATGATGATGGTAATGCGGAAGACAATAAAGATGTTTTGCTTTGTTTCATTATTAATTGTTGCATGAAAATGAATCACACGTATGGATCTCGACCGTTTAAAGGCCAAGTCCACTCCAAAAATAACTTACTTTCAATAGAAGTTATCCGATTTTGCTCAACCTTTTTTGTTTGGTTTGTCTGATGTTTCTGCTTCTTTTGAAAGTTAGTTATTTTTGGAGTGGACTTGCCCTTTAAATAAAATGCACCTTCACTATAGTTTATAGTGCTAAGTTTACATAAATGCCTAGGCTATGATGTATATATAAGTACTCTAAATCTATAGTCAACAAATGTGTAAAATGTTAAACTTGTACAATCAAATAAAAGACGGTAAAAGACACAAATAAACCTTAAGTTATTACAGAGTGGTTCCTGTAAATTGGGATAAGATATTCATATTTGGACAGAAAAAAAAGAAAGAAAGCAAATCATATATAAATATTTGAAACAAGTTGAACTGGTTTTCATTTCGATACTTCTACTAGGTCAGACCTATTAAAAACAAAACCTAAATATTAAAGAAGTGGGAGAGACATTGGATAAATCAGTGATGATGAAATGTGCCATATTACCAAAAAATAATTGAAGACCAAAAAACACTGCGATTGGAAACAACTCTTGGACGATAGAAGAGGTGTTGAATTATCGTAGGGCGACTTCAGAGTTGGGTTCGTGACAACTAGCCCCTGGACTTCCGGTAATTTTCAATGGGCGGGGTCAAAGTTGCCTGACAACAATATGTAAATGAAGTGACAACAACCTCGTGAAGCATGATGGGAAGGATAATAGTAGACCGAGAAATCAATGCTCAAAATAGGAATTTCTAGGTCAAATATACAGAAATATGCCATGTCTTTCGTTTGTAATGGAAGTATGGTAGTAGGCAAACTACACATGGAATTCTGCAATTTTTCACTTTCTACAAACCTCCTTTGATGAGTTGTTAACCCCAGGATAGCGAGTATTTGGGATTAATTGAAGGGAGAAAATACGACCTTCGCTGCAAATTTTACAGCTCAGCCACAGCCACGCACAGGCGCATCCACAGCATAGCGAAATATGAGGTTACGCTGATCCGCTGATGTATGCAATGAAACGGATTTATGATTGATGTCATGACGGGGAAAAGATGAGTGCACGATCATGATTGACATGAATGTAAGTTCTTTACTTTATTCTTAATTACCCGATTCTACCATTAAAAACAATTAGAGTCTACAAATTGTAAGTGAGTTCATTGTTGTGTCATGAAATAAGTCTCAGTCTCAGTCTCAACAATAATTTTAAAGCCAACACCAAACTTAAGGGTTGGAAAAAATGAGACTAAAGTTAGATCTAGACCTAGTCTAGACCTAGACTCTAACTTAGATCAGGGAAAGAAAAAAAAGGAAAAGAAACAAAAGAGAAGAGCAGAAAGAAAGTGAAAAAAGAAAAAGAAAACGGAGAGGAAAAAGAAAGGAAAAGCAAAGAAAGGAAAAGGGGAAAAAAAGAAAATGAGTCTAGGGGGGGGGGGGGGGGGGGGGAGGGTTGTAATTGGGTGGAGTCATGTCGTTGAGAGAGCATAACAAGTGTCAGAATTCTCGCTCGATCCTTGTGTACTAGACTAGGTCTATATCAATGCAAAAGTGTGAACTCGGTTTGATGTAGAGTTGTAGACCTAGATCTAGGGACTAGTAGGGTGTCTGATCGCGCACTCGTTTTGTCTGCTAAAACCCTTCCCATAGACATTGCATGCACCCCCTATGCAGTCTATGAGTGATTTCAAGTACAGTTTTCGGTGTTGGTGTTGGTGTTGAGAGCTTGGAAAGGCTGCTGAACCGAAAAAGGAAAAAGGAAAAACTGTGCGCTAGCTCATGTTCGTAATGGCGTTATCACAGTTTTTCTTCATAATCATTTTGCCTTCAGCGTAGACTATAGAAGGGATGATATTTAGATGCTTCATGCTCAGCGAGAGTTAAAATACGTCTTGCAAGATTTTCAACATGGATTTCGATTTTGACCCATAATTTCCTAAAAAGGGACCATTAAACGGATTATTTCAGTCTAGTTGGTAAGTGGAACCGATTTATTATAGCCTAGGCCTAATTTACAATATAACATGCACAAGGTAAAATGACATTTGGGGGGATTTTTGGGCATAAAAATATGGCCACAAATGGCCATGGCGTTAGCAAGGGAATGCATATAAACGGTTTCCGTCTCTAAAGAGAGAGCCGACCCTACCCCAATAAGAGGCTAACGAACAAAAGAGACGGAAAATTTGGTCTACGATCACGAGTGCGTGCGCGCTATCGATAGCTCAACGCCGAGTGAGGTCTACTCTACAGGCGAAAAAGACTTGCGATAAAAGCATAATCCATTCAGAAATACCAATAAATAACACCATGTCGAATATCAAATGTAAAGTCATATTAAAAAATCAATAGATAAAATATCATTTCTCTTGAAATACATGTACATATGTACATGTTGTAGCTCCCAGGATTTACAGCTGTTTTGACTGTACAATTGAATTTTACCTTGGTATGATCGTGAGATTCGTGCCAGATGTTCGCATAGTTACCTGCGGTATACTGCAACACCAACACCAAACTTGAAATCATGAATTACCCAATCCCTAGGGGCTGGTGTTGGTGAATGGGAAAATAACATGTAAATCGTCAACAGCAACCGCGATACTCTGTTCAGCAGACGACATTCAACACCAGCCCTCAACACAGACTAGCGGAAATACTGTACGTCATATATCCTGAGGTCAATCCCAACACCAGCCTGATTTCAAGTTCGGTGTTGTGGCTAGTGTTGGTGTTCTCACAACACCAACACCAGCTTTCAACACCGAACTTGAAATCACTCTACATGTATGTGCATTGAAAATTCATTCAGACACCCTGGTAGAGACCACAGATTACCGACAAATACATTAATGCCAATGTGCCAATGTCTACAAATATTTAATGCTATAAACCCGGGGTAGGGGGCTAATTTTCCTACAAACTATACCCTGCATATTATGAAAATTCCTTTGTTGTGATTACTAAGGAGCATGAAAAGTACAACCTACATGTACAATGTACATCATCATTTTCTGACCTTATGAATTTGCTCTGAATTCATTCACATCAGGGAAAAAATTAATATTACTTTTTCGGGGGCTACTTTTCAAGCTTGCCTGCATGAAAATAACATTCTAAAATTTGTTTTGCATTGAACTCTATGCAAATTTACAGGGCTCTTTTCTGATTTTCGGGAGCTATTTCGCCAGAGCCCCCGTGTATTTTTTTCACTAATTTACATAGAAATATCAGTGCCCCATCCCCCCCTCTAAAAAATAAAAAAGGAATGTCAGTGCCCTCATAATGACTGACCCAAAAGTATGCCACTGGCCATTACTAATTGCCTTTTGATATCTTAAGAATTTCAAGAATATTTTGTAAATCTACTGTTGGTACTGTACATGTCTTTACAATATGCACAAGAATAAAAAAATAAAAAAATAAACACACATCAAGCTATCCAGAGTATGAATATTTCAGCTAGGGATAACAAGATTTGTTCCATTTGATTAAGAAAGCTAAGCAGCGTGTTACAAATGAAGAGAGATAGAAGAATATGGAGAACTTTGATGCTAGCTGGCCAGTATCTTGAACAGACATGCCACCTTGCAATTAAGCTAGCACTATAGCTGGCAGATTGCTTAGCACTAAGCTAGTATTCGTACAATGGCATTCTGAAGAGAAATGACATGCCATGACTACAGCGTACATGTACATGTAGGTATTGGAGTCACCATGTACAGTACATGTAAATTGTTGTTAGACCTTTTGGTCCGACATCCTTGGAGATATTGATCGGTTTCTCTGAAAAGAGTTATTGATTTCTAGCTTGTTTAAGACTATTGTGTAGACTGGACCTCTTAGGGATTATTCGGATATCTATTGATGGCGTTTGACATAAGGCGTGTTGTAGGGGGTTATAAGGGGCATGCAGGAATGCGGCTGTGCATGCCCTTGGGTGCTCTGGCTTTTTACTGAATTATTGAGTTAAATGACTCTATAGGAAACTAAGGAAGGTATTAACTACATTGTATGTACATACATTTACATGTACACTGTTGTGTGTTGAGCTGTTACTAGAACAGGTGAATTAATGTGGATTTACCGAATGTGTTTGTGGATTTAACAAATGTATTGACAATTTAATTTTTTTGAGTTGAATTAGTTGACAAGTTGGTCCATCAAATTAACAACGAAAACAAACAAATCGAAACAAGTAAAATTTAGGAACAACATACACTGATTAACATATATGTTTTATAATATGGGTTATTTAGTGAATTCTACTCAGCAGAAATACCTAGACTTTTCCTTCTTATCCTTTAATAATTGTTTTTGGTAAATTACATTTACATTTTTTGTTTCCCTTGAAAATGGTTTCTCATTGAAACATACTAAAGGAACCTGTCTACAATGAACACTTTTTGTGTTTCCCTTGGGCAGTCACTATAGACTGGTTTGACTGTACTACATTTACCACCCCTCTAATACACATATTAGATTATTACATTATTGTCCTCTTTTCTCTCTGTAGATTTACAAAAGGCTACTGCCACAGTGTCACAACCATACTGACGACCTGAAAGAGAATGGGTACTGATGGCATCATCATCAGGGAAGATCACAGCTCACAACCTACATCTCCTGCAGGATGACCCGGACGACGTTCCAGGAGACGGAGAAGGCGCAATGATGCCTGACAACGATTTAAACCTCAGGACGGAAACTGCCGGTAGTCTGTCTTCCGTCGACAGCCGGCAGATGGACGAGTCCCCGGTGGATGATAGGGCATCTCCAGCAAATCTCAGCGAGGAAGCGAAATACCAAGAGGAACTCAAGGAGCGAGTGAAGAAATCCTTCGCAGATTTAGGAATCGAGCCAGAGGGTGTGTTGTTGAAGGATAGTTTGGATGACACTCCAAGGGATCCCATTGAAATCAAGGAGGATCTGCCCTACGAGGAGGGGTCGCAAGGGGAATATGACTCTAGGAGGAGAAAGGAAAATGTTAATAATAATGTGAATGAGGATGAAATTGATTCCAGTGAAGAACTTGGTGATGATCGTAATGATCTTGACAATGAGGAAGAACACCCATTAGACGATGATGATAACTTCCTTGCAGACTCTCTTGAAGCTGCTACACCTAGTCATCAAGGACAGCCCGACCACAGAGCGGAGACTAAGAATATTCCTTTGCATCCTGACGATGATAATGTGCAAGAAAGTGATGATAATCCCCCAGAATTTGGAGTGAGCGATGAGCCTCATGTTGAGGAGGATGAAGACGAAGATGATTTTGTGAGAGACTCCTTGGAAACAGGCAGGGCCGAATCAGAGCTGCATAACCTTAATGATTCAAATCCCATCGGCCTTGGAGATGAAGGACAAGAACCATTTGATGGAGATGCATCAGATAGCTTCCCTACCCCTATAAACCACACCATTCCTGATGATGTTAGTCCAGAAGAACGTGATAAACAATCTCCCCATTTGTCAGAGCCACTGCAGCCAGAGGATATAGTTGATGATGGAAGCGCAGAACCTCTCCATGTAGGAGAGGACATAGCAAACAATCATGGTGAAGAGGAAACATTCAATGACGCTGTGGAACCTGATGAAGCAAGAGCTCCATCAGAGCTAGCATATGAAGATTTGACACAAAGGACGTTAAATGGTAATGATGATGATGCATTAGATGGTGGATATGGCAACGGTGGACCCGAGAATGATGCGCAACTACAAATCGGTGACCGGAATGAAACTCCACTAGAACATGATTATGATGATGATGAAAGGCAAAGCTATCCTTTGACAGGTGGATCTGTGCTGTCTAATGGAGATCACATTGAGGATGGTTATCCCAATGATGTTCAGAGTACAGGCAAGAAACCCATGTCTAGTGATTCAAGGCAACAGGAATCTAGAGAAAATTCATCTTCGCTTTCAAATTTAAAAAACAATTCCAAAGGACCTCATGGGAGGCCTCCTTCTGGTGGATCAATACACTCGGTTCTCAGTAACTTGAACAGCAGGCAGAGCCCTAGCAGGCAGCGGGACCCTGTGGGTGTTATCCCTAGTCCAGGGCACCAGACAAGTTCAGGGAGTCGTACTCCCGTGAGATCACGAGATAACTCTAGGGAGAGAGGAATGTCTTCCAGGTCAAGACAGTCGCCAAGTGACAGGTCAAGACATACACCAGCTGATGGGGTGTCTTCTGCTACATCAAGACCTCTTTCTGGCAACAGGAATGGATCATCTAAGCCCAGATATGGTTCAGGAGGTTCAAGACACCCTGACAGCAGAGAAGGAGAGAGGGGTCGTAGAGGTTCAAATGATATAAACATTCCAAGATATTCACGCAAAGGTATGAATAATTCAGATATTGATAATGAAAGTTTGAGGGAAAATCTCAGGAATACTGAAAACAGAGAATATGGAGCAAGGAGCGGGTCAGGTAAATTAAAAAGACTGCCATCTGGATCAGAAAAATCTCGGAAGGAAGAACCAGCCAACGAACCTAATCATGCCGACCTTGCTATGAAACCCCCTCCAGGACCTCCAAGGCAAAATTTAACCTCTCCAATTGCATCATTGGCTACTAAAAAGCCAAGTCCTAGAGATTTTATGACACCGGGACAGCGAATGGAGGTTGATGAAAACAAACAGTTCTGGTCTGACATGCATCAAGCTGGTGTCTTTAACCAGCCTGTAAATCCTTCTGCTGTAAATCCGTCCACAAAACCAAGGAATGACCAAGTGGAGAAGATGCAATTAAAGAATGGGGAAAAGGTTAGAGTGGAATACATTTCTGATGACAGTGGCGATGAAGATCTTCACTTTGTAGACGAGAAAGGAAGTCCAATCGACCAACTTGGCAGACCACTCTTTGCTCCCCAAACTCCTGCAACACCAGATTTGAGGATAATGTATAGGATGAAACCATCTCCGCCCAGGCAAAAGTCAAATAAAAAGTCTTCAAGTGGAAGGCAACGGACAAGAGATGTGTCTGCAGCCGATTCATCAAGGTATGGAAGCGGCTTCAGCACCAGAAATGGATCAGGAAATAAGTCTGGTAGAGAGGGCTCCCGGATCCCTGTGAGACAGCCGGTTGATAGACAGGTTTCTCCGATTGAAGATGAAATTTTGTCAGTCGAAACCCAGCAAGAGGGAATCTTAGACACGACCATTCCAACAGCGCCACCGCAACAGGAGCCTCCAAGAGAAAGACCTGTGAAATCTGCTTCCCTTCAAACAGGTATAGATGATCCACCACCACCAGAAGATGTTGAGGAGTCTGATTTCAAGAGGCCTGTTCAAGAAGCGTCCATTCAGACCGTGGCACGTGAAAGTGCAATTCAGACATCTGATGGGGACTTCACAGGGAATAATGACAACACCTTGCCTTACCAAAGCCCTCTTCAGTCTCCGAGGCATACAAGAGAAGTAGCACCATTTGGACAAGTGCGGGTTGCTCCATATCAGCAGCAGCAAGGTCCAGGGTATCAGCCTCCTTTACCAGGTTATCATCAACAGGGTCCAATGCCGTTTCCTGCAGGTGCGTACGCACAGCAAATCCAAGGCAATTACCAGGGTAATCCACAGGCACATTGGCAACCTGTCATGGGACAACAAGGCTACCCAAACCAGGGCCAACAATTCGCTGCCCCTCTTCAGCCGCAGTTTATGGATCCTTTGATGAGTCCAGGGATGAACCAGCAAATGCCTCCACAGATGATGCCAAATTACCCTGGCCCACAGTATCATCCACAAATGCAGAATCCTACGCAACAAGTAGCCTTTCAGCCGCAAATGCCGCAACAGCCACATCCTGTATTGCAGAACCAATATCAGCCAGATCCACAGGGATACATGGAAAGTCCAGGTAGGCCATATCCTGGACAAGACATGGAGCAGCCCTACACAAATGAGAGAGATACTTCCGGGCAATCAGAGAGGAAACAATCAGGACCTAGGAGACAACAGCCAAAACCTAAACACAATTTCATTGACCTTAACAAAACATCAGCCAAGTTGAGGCGAGATCCTCCAAATAAAAAGTATACAGAGAATCTCAACCAAAAGAAAGGCTTCAAGTCACCAATGAACCCAAGGAAACCTCTGCCTCATATTTCGAGGGAAAGCTCCCTGGATGATAGCCAGGCTTCTTCAACTGGATGGACACCACATGGAAGTGCAACTAGCCGTTCAAATGACCAGTGGGCGCAGGCGGTGCAACGGGAACAGCAGATGATCCTGCTAGCTCGAGGCATGTCGGACCCCAACATCTATCCCCAAGGACAAGGGCCTCCAGGACACATGCGGAATGCATCCGTACCTGGCAGCTATGCAGGTGGGACTACATACCAAGGAGGCTATCCCACTCCTGACACCAATCCTAACCAGGTTAACGGTCAGCCGTACAGCTGGTCTGCTGACCGTGCAAACACCTATGCGAGAATGAATGCAATGCAGAACGCCAACCAAGCAGGAATGGGAGGTCCGTTCGGCATGGATCCTAGGGGTAGCTTTGAGGTGAACCAGACTAGTCCAAGACAAAGGATGGCCTACACTCATCCCATGCCCTCCAACACAAGTCCATTCCAAGTACTTCCAGATATCCACAACTCTGGAAGAAGAAGTGGTGAGTTTATGATTTTTTTGACATATGCTCTGTTGACATTTGCTCAGGTCCTTATTTCGTTCAAGTTGGAGGGTAATTAATGTAAATGGTAGTGATTGGTTTCAGTTATGTTAAGGGTTGTAGTAAAGTGTTTGGTCCAGGGGTTGAGGTTCATGTTTTATGTTAGAAATGGAATGAGGAGCAGTTATTGTGGAAGCATGGGCTGTAGAACTGTCTTTAAAGTTCTTATTTCATAGTCTGATACAAAATTGATATTTTGTTCGTCTATCTTTGTATATCTTATCCTGATTTCTATGACACATACAATTACTTCCTTCCTTAGAAATGCTGTTGGTAGATAAATACAATTCTGAAGTAGTATTGTGGTTAGAAGTAAATCAAATATATTCATACGTGACTAGAAACTGTTCACAAATTAATCAAATGTGTCATAAACATCAGGATGAGATGTTTAGACAAATGAAATACAAATAATTATACCACATTTGCTACTTTTGTAAGTGTTTTTGGCAAATGTACAATGAAATCAAATTTGAGAAAAAAGGTCAAAATTCTTTTTGAACACACTTACTTCTAATCATTTTTGCCCATAACTTGCTAACAGTTTTTGTCAAGCATCATTAAAGATATGTTTATAGTTATTTTTCATTCCCAAGCACAAGAGTTAAACAAAAATCATGTGTCCACTCATTCAAATAGTGGTTTCATAAATTCATATCTTCTCACTAAATTCTGAACTTTAAACTTTGAACTTTGAACCTACAGGAGAAGACAAGGAACTGAGGACGAGCGACCCAGATGGTTACCTCACCAAGCTCCAGAAACAGAAGCAGGGCCCTCAGTACAGACCGTACACCCTCAAGGACTTCCAGAATCTCAAGAAGGATTTCAAGCTTGGAGGACTGGGGCCAGACAAGGAGACTATGGGCTTCAGGGTAAGGCCGATCAAGTTTGATTTTTAATCCATTGCTTTAAAACCCCACTGTCCTACTTGTAGCTACTTGCTCCCTCTATATAGAAAACTTCCCCAATCGGTGCCTGTTGGTCCCCCATGATCCTCTTTTTTTTATGTTATTTGAGAGCTGAGTTAATGAGATAGCCGCCTGTCAGTGACCTCGCTGTGTGGTCTAATCCCTTCTGGCCCAGTAGTATTGACGGTCTTTAATACGGGAACCAGCTACATCCTACAGTAATCCTAGGGTAATTGTGATTTTTTAAATATTTTTTACCTGACTGCTAAGAAAACATAAATGCTTGTTAGTAAGCAACCAGAGGACCGACGGCTTTAGGTCCTCTCCGAGGGACATTATGGACTTTTAGATTTGCATGTACTGATACTTATGACGTCCATTCAAGGCAGTGCATTTAAAAGGGCATCGATCGTAGCAATCCACGTTGTCGTTGTGCAAATCTAAAAGTTCCTATTGATAATGAAAGACCACTTCAAGGGATCAAACAGTTACTTCCTTCTTTAGAAATGCTGTTGGTGATAAATAAGATTCTGAAGAAGTGTTGTGATTTAAATCAAATCTATTCATATGTGACTAAAAACTGTTGATAAACTAACAATATATACAGAAGGGTTTTGTCATATTTTAAAGGTTACCACAACTGTGCAGAAAGAGGAATAACATATCATTAAATTAAAGTGTTCAGCGTCAACTGTGCTTGGGAGAGGAAAAGAGAACTGAATCACTGTGACCCTCGGGTCTCTCTTCCCTGTATAACTGATTGGGGTTGTGCAGGTGGACCACTACACAGGTGTTTCCCCCTACTCTTTAATACGAATAGTGCTGTGGGTCCTTAACACGCAAAGGTGGTGCCTCTCCTCTACACAGGGCCTCAGTTTTACGTCCTATCCGAGGGACCGAGTGTTTTCCACTGTAAGATAGCCTGTGTCTATAAAACAAGGGAAGGGCGCGTTAACAAACAAGAAAAGGCTTCAGTCATATGCCTGGGTTGGATTCGAACCCACGATTTTCAGTTCGACAGGCAGACATTTAACTGACTAAGCCAATCAGGCTTCCTATATCTTTTATTGTTAGTTGATTTAGACATCATGTTTCCACTGCCTAACAAAGTTTGAAAATCATTGAGGAGATTATGTAATCTAGAATGACGTAGCACTTGATACAAATGTCTACAAGCGCTTTAAAGATGATATTAACCCACTCATCAATCATACAAACAATAAGTGACCCTTTTCACTCCCTGTATACCTGTATAAAATTGCATATTCAACTGCGATGCCTCCTGTATCCTCCCAGGGGGGTGTTTCACAAAGAACCTAAGTTGAATTTATCTTTAAGTTGGAATTGACAATTATGGAAAGCCATTAACACCTTTGAAAATATTTTGTAAAAGTTATTTTAAAAGGCATAACATGTTGATTCAAATCATTCATATTTTCTATTATCAATGCTACAAATGGCTCTCCATAATTTTTAAGTCCAACTTTAGAGTTAAGTTTGATTTAGGATCTTTGTGAAACCCACCCCCCCCCCCCCCCCCCCCCCCCCCCCCCCCCCCCCCCGTACCCCATTTTTCTCCTTGGCACAGAGGCAAAATTGAAGTCATCAAAAATATTTGCATAAAAAGCAATGTGAATTAGGAATCCATAAATGTCATGTTCATGTACATGTATTTGTTTTGTTCAGAGTGAGAAAGTGGCCAGACAGCGGGATTACGCCAGACAGGTGATGGAACAAAACAAGAAGATCATCAGGACCAACCCTAACGCCGGTAATACCCCAGGGAAGGACAGCCCACAGACAGAAGCCTCCAAGAGAGAACTGGTAAGAATCGTTGAAAGCTCTTTAAAGTCGTGACCAGAGAAGCCCTGTTTTGGACATAACTTGGAAAACTTTGAAAATTACCTGCAACAGCAAAATGAATTAATAAAGATTTGAGCAAAGTGAACTTGAAACTTCTGTATCGTGACTCCTTCAGTGCCACCAACTTTTTAAATGATCTTAAAGACATGTACACTTTCAAAGAGCTTACTGTTGACTGATCCTCCTTTGTTTCAATGCTAACTTTCTTTGAAATGAAATGATCTCTTTTGGGAATATATGCATCAGAATGAACATACCAAATTTGCTTCAGGAAGAAAACTGACCATTCTTAGTCCAAATAATTGAATCCTTGGCCATGTTTCATAAAACTTGTTAAGTTGTTATCAATTACAAAAAGCAATAACTTTTATAAGCTACTGAAATCATGGCATTTGATTGGCTAACAGCAAATTTATAATAGAAATTTATCATTTGTTATTGATAACATGTTTTTTTTATGAAACAGGACCCAGTTCTTGGGGGGTATTTGGCACCCACATAATGTAAAGGGTTTAACAAATCAATATGTTTTTTAATCTTTTGCAACAAATTAGCCTTTTGCTGTTTATTTACATAGCATTTTTTTTTTTTTAGAGGTGGGTGTTCAGTTTACAGTGTCTTTTCTGAACAGCCTTAAAAGAAGAGAACTTTTAGAAACATAATTACTAGCCTGTAGAATATGTTTTGGATTTAGCTTGAAATAAGGAAAGGGAATTGTTATTTTTATCTGCTTGGGAGGGGGAGGTATAGGAGAGGAGGATTTATTTGTGCTCTATTGCAGGGGTGAGAAAACAAATACGAACAAGAAGTGCCTGTGATTTTAAGATCAGTTGAATATGGAAATTCATTTTTGTTTTTATATAAGTACATAGCCTCTTCATTGGTATATTACCATAATTATAACGTGTAACTTGTGATATACACATGTATATGTTTGTAATTGTTTTTAAGGAATTTGGATTTTTTAAATGTCAGTTATATTTTGGAAGAACTATAAAACACAAACTTTGTAGTGCACTTTTTGTCATTGTTTTTTCATACTCTTTGAATCTATCTCACTGGGCCTACAAAGTGGTTACCTAATTTGATTATGGAGCACTATGTTGTTCACAAACTTTCATTTCATGAGTGTTATGCAATGTTCTAGACATTAGAAGTGATCATTTTCAGGCCTTTATAAATTATCTTTGTTGATACTTATTACCCCATAGTTCCACCTTTGTTCTTAGGCTATTTTATAATGTGTACAGCAACTATTGAATGATATATTTACATGACATGATCCATATTTCTCCCCCCTTTTAAATGAAATCATGCAGAGCAACTCATTTCCCTATGGGTCATTTAGATGACAAACCAGCAAGATTTTTTCAAGTTTTTAGACGTATTGGTGAGAGTGCATAACATGCAACATTTCCCTATCTTGTCATTTGTTTGAGGTTTTTAGTAGAACAAAACAAATCAAACTCACATCATTACTTACGCACATCTAACCATCACCAATTCTTTGCCCATTATACCGGTAATTGTTGTTCCCATATAAACAGATCAAGATTCTGATAATTTTCATTTAATTTTTTTCATTCATAAGGTGAATACATTTAGTCTTGCCCCTAATTTATATGTTAGATACTAATTTTGGAGTTTAAAAAATCAAAAGACCACCACAGAACAATGCAGTGATACTATACCTCATTGTGTTGAAATGGGGCTTGAATTGTAGCTGAAATTTTGGCGGGGCGTTATTCTCTGGCCCCATTCTTCTCTGCGGCCTCAATTAATGTCAAAACCTGTTTTATGCATTCTGTGACAATGTCTAATTCCTCTTATTTTCATTTCTTTCTCCTTCATTCTTACAACCTCCTCCCCTCCCCGACTTACAATCCTTGCCCGAAATGGTGGTCCTGTTCAAATCTTAGATGCTAACCTATGCCGAATCGGTTCCCCTTCCCCGATTAAAGAACGATAAGAGCCCTGCTGATCAGTCGCCCCGGGACACAAGATCTGTGGTCAGTCTAAAATGTTTTTTATCGTAGGGTGGCACATGCACTATCTTTAACATGCACATATAACGTAGTGTTTTGCAGTCCAAACTTAACCCTGATATGACAAAAAGACAAAAAGACTCTCGATGTGATTAAAGAAACAGAAGATTTTCAATGAATGTAATTAATTATGAGGAGGATTTTCATAACTTATTATAAATGATGAAAATTGCAATTTAAAGAAATGTTGTTTATGTTCTGAGGTGTGGGTGAAATTTTGATGCCACTAGTTGCTCTGCGCATAAGATCTTATGGCGCACCATCATCTCCCCATCCCCACCCCCAACTTAATTTAAAAATGTCTCTGTAGGTTTGACCAGCCAAAGGACAGAATTGGGATGAAACATGTACTTATATATGGAGTGCGGCGTTAGATGCCATGCAAAGATTGTTTAATTTATACAGCTTGTATTTAGCCGGAGAGTAAGGGTTGAACTATCAAATGCAGTCCATAGTGAGTAGATTTTCCGGCCCTCTACTGACTTACAAACCCGCAAACTGAGTAAAGTTATGTGGCTATGAGTATGGGGAAAGGAAAATCATGACATAAAAATGTTCCCGAGAGAAGTCTTTGATACTAATTTCATGCACTGACCTCTTCCTCCTTGTGTGGTATACCCTCGTCAACATGGAGAATTGTTATGTGTATTATTATCCATTCCACCACATTCAAAACTGGCAAATGTATGTATTTGTCACGGTGTGCAGTGAATCCGTAATCAGATTGTATTTTTGGGTTTTATTTTTTGAGCTCATTTGGGGGATAAACATTGCCTAGTCACATTCCTGTCATCTAATATCATAGTCGGGAGTTATACACACCCAGAAGTGTTTTACGTATGAACATTAGGAAAAGTTGTGTCAACTTGTGATCTATGTTACCCTTTTTCTTGATGTGAAGATTAAGACTAGGATGACTGTTGGGAAAAACTAACTTTGCACAAAGCCTAACATCCATTGTTAATGATTTGCAGTGAATTATTAATATCGAGCCTATATTTTGGAAATGATTTACAGTGGATGATTGTTTTGCTTCTGAAAAGAGCTTCTCTGGTTGCTCCACATTTTATGATTTTTTTTTTTTTGTGGACAAATTCAGTACTGATGGTTCATTCAAATAATGCCTAAATGAGTCCGGAAACCGAAATGTACATATTTTTATTTTTCCGTACACAATTATAGATGAAAACATAGTGTCAGAATCAGTAGCTTCATAACTGAGTGAGGAGAACCACTGCACATTTTCACTCAATACACATGTGAATGTTCTATGTCTTTTGTGCAACACCATGAAAACCATGAAAAGTATCTAGGTCACCTGGAAATAACAAATTCTAATATTCAAATAAATGTCCTTTAAGGAGAAAGTTGGTACTGTAATGTGAAAGAATAGTATTGACATGAAACATAGGCAAGTTAGGTTTTCTTTTTAAAGTTATCATAGTGAACTGCAAGAATGAACTAAATTATCTGAACGTAACATTAACAGATAAAAGTTATTACAAAAACCAAGCAAATTATAAAAGTAAGTGCTTTTGACTTTTTTTAGGCAAATTAGATTTTTTTCTTGTACAGATAAACTGCAAGGTTGAAGTAGAATGTTGGGACTAAACAATAGTATGGAAAGCAAAGAAAAGTACACCCCCCAAAACGTCCTTTCTTACGATGTAACCTGATAAGTGTCAGAAGCTTGATTTTCATTTTTGTTTGATATATATAATTCCTTAATAGATTTGTTCTAGACAGCATTCCTTTGTACTTTAACAAACATATCACCTCATTCCTCTTTCATTTCTACAGGCCTTAGAGTATGCAAAACAAATCCCCAAGCCCCGCATCCCTACGCCACCCGAGGTGCTCCACGACAGACTCTACGGCAGCGGGGCCAACTCCAGGAGTAGTGGAGCCGGTTCCAGGTCCTCGAGCGTGAGAGAAGAGACCGCAGGGACCCGTGACGAGAACACTGCGTTAGAGATGGCACGACTGCAGGAGCTCACGCAGAGGCACAATCAAGAGAAGGATGCACTTGATAGGTTAAGAAAAGGAACCTCTACGTGACATGTAACATATTGCAAAATCTTAGACCAAGTGTGAGACCTAGGCCTACAGGTAGTCCCAGTTTTAGAATTAGAGATTGCAATGTTTGCAGGAACTCAGAGGTGCAAGGAATACATGGATGAGATGGATTACTTGACAAAACGACTCTCAGCATGATGATTGACCTGTTTGCAAGTCTTGGACTAAGACCTAATCTTAGACCAAGTCTTAGAGATGGTAAGGTTGCAGGAACTCTCCAAGATATCACAAGCAGGCACAGAATAAACTGGAGAGGTAAAAGGTATAAGAAAAGGAGTTAAACCATGTTTTACCACTTTTTAGTTCTTAGACCCACTCTTGAAACCAAATCAGAGCTCAAGGCATGAGACTAAGTTCTTGAAGACCAAGTCTCAAACAAAGTCTGAGACCCTAGACTTAGATTTACATGGAATCTGAGCCCAAGTCTAATACTTGGTCTGAATCACAGTTTCAGGTCCTTGGGACTGAACCTGAGATCTAGTCTAAGGCCTAGTTTTCGACCTAGTCTGAGATCCCTTCTGAGACTGGGTCAAAAACTTTACCATTCTTCCAGCCAGAGCTCCTATCCTCTTCCCTACCCTCCCCTCTTTCCCCATCCTTCCAATCATATAATATGTAACCCATTTTTTCCCTTCTCATTTTATTGTCCGTTACTATCCTAATCCTATTGCATTGAACTTGTAATACATGTACTGCGACGCTGTCAGAATCATTCTGTAGATAAACTATATATTTTTTTAAAGATTAATTTTTTTGGTATACCTTTCCGCACCCATCTTATTACCTCAGCCCAGTATACATTTATTTTTATACCACTCCTGTATAAATAACAATAATGTCATTTAGTAGTCAGTGCAAGCATTTAACAAAATAACTTGTCAACCAACGATCAATATTACTTTCAGAACAAGAGTTGAAGGATATACATCCACATTTCACATGCTAAATAAATGTTTTGTATTGTCATAGAGCATATTAGGGTAATGTTCTGTCTAGATATTATAAATCAGGGGAACAAAATATGAAACGAACAGAAAATAACAAGAACAAGGATTCTTTAGAAGTGTACATTGTATATTTTCTGTATTTACCCCATAAACATCCTGTAGAAAAAACCCAATATCAATGTTTACTGCACAAAAATAGGCAAATATTTCACCAATTAATCGTAAAAGACAACACAATAATTTTTGTTACTCGTCATGTCATTGTAAAAATGATTGTATGTTAGTGAAGAATGGAGGGATTGTTATAGTTTGTCATGACAACAAGGTGTGAATTGTTTAAGGTTGGCAGCATCAATTTAGAAATGTGAAGAATTGTAATCCCCTCATGTATATATAAGGCTAATTTACACAGGCCAAAAACTATTTTTTCAAAAATCATCGTTTTATTTTCACTGCCATTCACACACCTGGAAAAAACCATTGGCGTTTTCTTATTCTGATTTTTCACTCCTTGGAAATGAGGAGAGACAATTAGTTAGTTCTGATATGACACGGTGAACCGCTGCATAAAAGCCAGTGCCGTGCTTTTTTTTTAAAACGTGTGAATGAATGGCAATTAGTTTGCGCAACAAATGTCCTCCACGTATTCACTGAGCTCTGTGTTACTAGATACAGAAATATGAAGCATATTACCTTTTACATCATCATTTTAAAAAAACGCAGCAATTTTGTGGCATGATATGTGAATGATTTGTGTGTGACTGGCCAGAAATTGTCACGCTTTGATTGCATGTTTGTATTTTGTTTGTGAATTGCCAGTTTGGGGTTAACCGTCCATTGTACTTGCCTTGTTGGTAGGCCTGAAGTGTCTTAATTTGGTCTGAAATATTGTCAAATGTCCTGTTCATTGTACTATAATGCAAAATACATTACTTTGTATATTAAATTTTTTCTCTGTGTGTTTATACTTTACTATAGGACATTGTTAGAATTGTTATTGATGTTGTGTGATGCAGCTGGTTAGGTCAGTCAAATAGGGAACAAGATTGCCCAAGAAAATGTGTAGCTCTCATGTACAATGTAACTCTATAAACAACCTACTCAGGGTGGCCCACAAGGGATTTAAACATGTAACAGTGACTGATTTAATTTTTTTATTTTATTGTTCAGGTTTGAAAATCAGCAACAGGTTGATATGTTCTCAACCAAAATTATTATATAGGAAATATCAGTCATGAATTCAAAAATACTTCAAGCATGGATCAAAGTGCATCTAAGAACCTTACAGCCCTTAAACAAGCCATGGAGTCTAGCTTCATGCTTCGCATTCATCACTTCGCATTCATCACTTCGTGCTCCTTCCACGTTCCGAAGTTGCGTGTTTGAATTTATTTTTTGTGGACCACCCTGGTATCAAACCTATCCATTGATTTACTGTGGGTCTTTAGAGAGATAAATACCTCGCAAGTACCATCAGCTATTCACAGTTTGTCACAGGTTGACAATTGTACTTGGATAGTCAGAATGCAAATTGCGTAACGGTACATTGCTTGTTGCTAGGTTGGACAAACATTACGGCTTGACATAACAACATATTGGAATCCATTATTTATGACAGGTGAATGAATTTTTTTTTAAAAGGCGCTTGTTTTGTTCAGAGTGAGAAAGTGGCCAGACAGCGGGAATATGATGGACAAAGAAAGCGGACAAAATATACAGTTCCTCATTCTACCCTCAACAATTGCTGTGGTAGACAAAGGAACATCCCTTCACCGCTATTATGTAAAAATGTGTAGAACAGGTGATATGCATGTGACACTTTCTTTGTCCGTCATGTTCATAGTGTTGACTGATGCATTTAAATACACCTTGAATATCATGTACTTCCTGTCCCGGACGCGCAGGCATTCTTTAATGTTTTACTTGCCTGCAATCTTCAGGTCGAGTAGTCTGTCTAGAGGACCATTCTGAAGAATCAAATCAATTAAGAGTTTGAAGAATAGCTACGAATACAGACCATACTGTACTGGAGTTTTTCATCTTGCACTCATCAGAGTCAATCGCATGAATGAACGGAAAGCAGATACTTTGTTCATTTTTGCGATTTCCTCTAATGAGCGAAAGACAAAAAGCTTCAGTTTGTCTGTATTCGATGCTGTTCTTCTATGTTGTAGTATGAATCGTCTCCTGAAATAAGAGTTTGCAAATGTTCTAGGTTTCAGTGTGAATATGGCATTGTAGAATGTAATTGTAGAATGATATTGTGTTCATTAGTTTAGCATAGTTGACTACATGTTTCGGCTACATATTGTCAGGCAAAAGTGTTATTGTGTGACTGACATATGTTGTAATAGTTGTAAGAGTATTAAAAAGTCCCACTTAATTGTAAAACCAGTAATACGCACCAAGAAATTAAATAATTGTTAATGTCAAAAGTAGGCCACTGATTGTTTTTATTATATGAACATACATTTACCTGCTTGAGTCTGGTTATGGATGTATGACAGTCAAAACTGTCTATAAATACCACCCAAGGGAGACAAGAAAAGTGATCTTTATAGGCAGGTGGTCTTTATGTACAGGTTCCTTTAAGACATATTTTCAATGAGAAACCATTTTCAGGGGAAACCCAAAATGTGGTATATGTAAACAGGTTGTCACTAAAGCAGGTTTGACTGGTTTGACAAGGATAAATCTGGCAGTGCTTGTCAGAAAATAATATCTTCAAATACCTGTCCTATTCTTGTTTTTCTGTGGCCAGCAAATTCTGCTTTTCTCAGTTTGAATTCGAAATGTAAACCTATATGAGAGGGTAAAAATCCACCAATACACTAAAGTAGGTCATTTATATGTTACTAACATGTTTCAAAGGATTTTTTAAAAGCAGGCCATACTTTTCCTTTTCTCTCCAGTGTAACTTTAACTTGTGAATTTTTATGAACTTTCAATGTTTTTTAAAATGAAATTATGTTCACTTATATTCTGCTTCTATCTTATACATGATATATATAATACCTATATAGTTTTATGGAAGTTTTGAATATTTTTATTTTGTATAGCAAACCGTGTGCCACATCTACATGTGACTAAATGTTATTATAGATATTGTGTAGATGAACAATAAACTGTGATATGTTATATGCAAGAAGTAATATAGAATAATTGTTGTATTCTTTTTGTGGTTGCAGTGTTGATAGAGAAATGTTAAATTGTTGATGTTGCATACATTCTGAATATTTTTTACAAGTTTATTGTTTAAGTTTAACATGGCTTAAGTGAACAAATTCTTCAGATTTGGTCCCTTTTAGAATGAAACAATTTTGGATTTAATCCAGAAGATCACTTCGCGATGTGGTCTTCTAGACCGGTTCGGTTCCTATATAGGTCGCTCCAGACCGATCTAGCGTGCAGTGTGAACATAAACCGTGCCAGGAAACGATCTTCAACTAGAATTGAATGTGTTTTGGCGGGAAAGTAATGAAAGCGAGAGAAAGAGATTTAAGAATACAAGAAAAAACAATAATATAAGGAGAGATAGTGAACAGAGAACAGAACTGAACAGAACATTATAACGCATGCCAGTTGATAAATGAAAAGGTCGACTTCAAAAATAAATTCATGCGCATGTCATCAACTGGTTTGCTTGCCCTGAAAAGAGAGAGACTAGCAATATGGCGACGTGTGCACTCGAGCGTTTATCCCCAACGCGTTCGACGGCCACACGTCGAGATCTGCATTGTGAATGGGGATGAGCGTTCTCTACGTATCTTTCAGTTCAGTGCATTTGAACAATTGGCATGCCAAACAATTTTAGGGGATTCCCTATGAGGTAATTGAGCGCCCCCGCAAGTATAGGGCGCGGCACTAAGGGGTGTACTGTGTTAACAATCCCAATGTCGCAGTCATTATGATTACGTCGTATTGTCAGCTAATTTCTCAATATTGACGTAGAATCTCATTGATTTGCATCATCCAAGCTGTATAGACAGAAATGACACTTTCGTGAAACAGGTAGGCCTACTATTCGCTCCGATCCGCTTCGTTTCCTTCTTCTACAAGTGCTAAAGTTCTAATTCCCTACCCGGCCACCACCCGCAATAGACTCTACACAGTCACAAGCTTGTGCATGCGGACGAACGAGTGGTATCCAAAACCACGATATACAGTCAGTCCGCATAGCCACAGCAATTACCATTTGGTAAGTACATCTACGTATGGAGATATCTTTATTAATCTTATTACTAACATTTGTCGGCTTATGCCGAAAGGGTGGGTAGCGTTGTGTTGCGGCGCGTTGACTTGAACGCGACCATTCGTCCAAAGCCCCCCGTCTGCAAGACTACGTAAAAACTAGTTTTATTTAATTTTTAATCTTTTTCTATCTTGATTATTTGAATTTAAACGACTTAAATTGCTTTTCCGTAAATTCTATTATAAACGGCTGATGTGGAAGACTAGTCAACGCACCCTTTCGACCAAACGGGGGGGGGGGGGGGGGGGGGGGGGGGGGGGGGGCTTTGGACGAATAGTCGCGTTTGACACGACACGACAATCCCAACGCACCCTTTCGGCCAAACCGGGGGGGGGGGGGGGGGGGGCTTTGAACGAACGGTCGCATTCAAGTCAACGTGCCGGGACGCCACGCTGCCCACCTTTTCGGCATTAGCCACATTTGTCAACCTTTTATAACTATGCTATCTACTCTTCTTTGTTGACCCATCATTCTCGTAACCGTAATTTCTTTTGTGTATTTCATTTTTTACCTTTACCGGCGAATCGGGACCTACCGGTTGCTAATATAAGCAAGTTCATAATTGCAGTCTGAGCATGAGCAGAGAAAGGTCATTGCAGACCAAATTGTGAAATTCACAAAGACAAAATACTGGATACGTGCTCATGAAAGTTATGTTATCATGATTCTTTATGCACAAGCAGCTAGTGCACCATGATACACAGGTGGAAGTATTCTTTGAAAGTGGAAACAAAGGTTATTTATGTAGCACCTCCTTCACTGTAGGAGTGATGACTTCAAAACTACAAAGTGGGATCTCTTCATGTTTTGAAGATCTGTGGATATTCAGGTCATTTGGGACATGTGCTAACCGTGACCTGGTCTACTGGAGTTGAAAGAATTCAGATTGGTGAAAGAGGAGAAATTGAACAAAGCATATATTGTCGGCCTAATATGCCTTTGGCCTCTCTAAAAATCAAAAGTTTGTGGTCATTTTTTTGTTTTCAATAAATATGTTAAAGGTAATACAAAGTTTTGGGAAATTTTGAAAATTGGGTGGATAGTGAATCTTTACAATTTTGATATATTTGGATGCCCCTGTGGATGTATTATAAGCACTAAAAAAATTAGCCCCTAAAACATTTCTGTTTTCGAGAAAAATTGAATATAAAAATTTACCGGTGCTCCCGGTAAATTTTGATAAATTTACCGGTGCTCCCGGTAAATTTTGATAAATTTCAAATAGCGCCTATGGCCGTACAATGGTAGCTGCGACCATGAAAATATCAGAATATTTAGTTGTAATATATAATTTCCAAACGGGAATATCTAATCGGTCGATTTTAGTCAAGAAACATTGTTTCAAAGCTAACTTTACATCTTGACCTTGAAAGGGAGCTATACAACATAGAGAGTTTATTATTTATAATTTCATAACTTCAGACTCGATTTCAACCGCGACAACGATCAATGAATATTGTAGGAATGCATATGCTTCCAATATTTTATTTTGAGCCGAATTCATGACCCCATACCAAAACTTTGTAATACATTTAAAGGTGAGACAAAGTGTTGGTATGGGGTCATGAATTTGGTTCAAATGAACATATTGGAAGCATATATGCGATCCTACAATATTCAGTGATCGTTGTCGCAGTTGAAATGGTAAAATAAAAAAACTCTTTATGTATATAGCTCCCTCTCAAGGTCAAGATATTAATTTAGCTATTAAACAATGTTTCTTTACTAAATTCGACGGATTGGCTATTCCCGTTTGGAAATCATTTATCACAGCTACATATGTTGAAATTTTCATGGTCGCAGCTACCATTGTATAGTCGTAGGAGCTATTTGAAATTTATCAAAATTTACCGGGAGCACCGGTACATTTTGATAATCAATTTTTCTCGAAAGTAGAGGTGCTTTAGGGGCTAAATCTATTTGTGCTTATAACACATCCACAGGGGCATCAAAATATATCAAAATTGTAAAGAATCACTATCCAGCCAATTCTCAACATTTCCCGAAACTTTGTATAACCTTTTAGTTATTAACTTAAGTTTTACATGAAATGTGTTAAATTTGTTTTGAAATATTCAGAAGTTTTCATGCTTGTGCAAAACACATGTTGGGGCCTTTTTGGCATATGGCTTGAATGTAGCGTATTTATGCCAGAAGGGCCGTAACCTACACGGCATTATGCCAAAAGGGCCCTAACCTGCTGTTAACCGTCTTGAGCGCCCTTGTGGCATAAACACATTTTCTTGTTTCGTGACATCTTTGGTTTGCCAGAAAGCCCCTGCTACGGCTACTGGGTCACGAAAAATGATAAAATTGATTAATTAAAATGTTAGAAAAAGTATTTTTTGATATCTGAATATTTGTATTAATATAATGCAGCTTTTGGTGAATTAATTTTTTAGAGATTGTACATTTAGGACACCTTTTTCGTTCTTTATTTTACATAACAGTCCCATACGTTGACATCTGCGTATTTCATGAATCAGTCGCATGTTATGCATCCACATCTACATGTAACTTAGATCTCACTCAGAATTCATGAGCTAAGTTCATGATATATACTTTCAGTGATTATTCTAAGTATGTTGTGTCTATAGTAGACCAACCATGTTTTTATGCCTCCGCCACCGAAGGTGGTGCCGAAGGCATCATGTTTTCGGGTTGTCCGTCCGTACGTCCGTACGTCCGTCCCGTTTGACCGTTATCACAATATCTCAAGAACCATTTAAGATTTAACTTAAGACTCAGGAATAGTATTTATCACCATAGGAAGACGATCTGATTAGATTTTGGAGTACGTAGGTCAAAGGTCACAGGTCACAGAGGTCAACTTATGAAATTCCTTGTATTGAGTTTGTTAGCGCGATATCTCAAGAACCATTTGAGATTTAAACCTCAAACTTAAGGATAGTATGTATCACCATAGGAAGACGATCTGATTAGATTTTGGAGCACGTATGTCAAAGGTCAAGGGTCACAGAGGTCAACTTATGAAATTCCATACATTGAGATTGTTATCATGATATCTCAAGAACCACTGGAGATTTAAACTTCAAACTTAGTGATAGTGTGTATCACTATAGGAAAACAATCTGATTACATTTTGGAGCACGTAGGTCAAAGGTCAAGGGTCATAGAGGTCAACTTATGAAATTCCATACATTGAGATTGTTATCATGATATCTCAAGAACCACTGGAGATGTAAAAACTTCAAACTTAAGGATAGTATGTATCACCATAGGAAGACGATCTGATTAGATTTTGGAGCACGTAGGTCAAAGGTCAAGGGTCACAGAGGTCAACTTATGAAATTCCATACATTCAGATTGTTATCATAATATCTCAAGAACCACTGGAGATTTAAACTTCAAACTTAATGATAGTGTGTATCACCATAGGAAGACAATCTGATTACATTTTGGAGCACGTAGGTCAAAGGTCAAGGGTCACAGAGGTCAACTTATGAAATTCCATACATTGAGATCGTTATCGCGATATCTCAAGAACCACTGGAGATTTAAACTTCAAACTTAATGATAGTGTGTATCACCATAGGAAGACAATCTGATTAGATTTTGGAGCACGTAGGTCAAAGGTCAAGGGTCACAGAGGTCAACTTATGAAATTCCATACATTGAGATTGTTATCATGATATCTCAAGAACCACTGGAGATTTAAACTCCAAACTTGTTTAAATTGCTCTATGGCGGAGGCATCATTTTCGACTGCGCGCAGTCAAAATTCTATCTAGTTTGATGATGTTTCTATTAATATTTATTGAAATAAATAGAAATAACAACATAATCTGTCATTGATAACAATTTTGCCTTGTAGGTTAAGGCCTCCTTTGGTGTAAGGAAAAAGTTAAGATACATGTTAGGGTCTTTTGAAATTCATAATTATCTTCATAAATAAATCGAATTTCAACAAGTGAAGCACATCATTTTAAAGGGATCGTTTAACAATGTTCAATCTGAGATACAAGGCCCTACGTGTTATCAGTGTCTGTGATATGGTGTAATATCGAAGCCCTATAACAACAATTGCGCTTCAAAATGATCAAGAAGTGCCTCAGAAAATTAAAAATCTTTTAGTGACCGGTTTTACCATACTCGTTTTCCCCAATAGACTGTAGTGTTATTTAAACCGTCAGGCAAACGGTTTTCAAAATTTGTAATTCCAATCATAAATATCTTGCTTATCAGACAGGCGATCGGCTTGTAAAAATCATGGGGTTCCTGACTGACCTAAAGGTTTGTAATTATGATTGCAGCATGAGCTAAATCCAGAATTTTGTTTCAGAATCTGAGACAAAGTTACCTTTAAAGAGAATGTTGAAATCTACAAGGTGATGTTAATAACTCAATAACCCCCCCCCCCCCCCCCAAATCCGGTTAAGGCCCTTTTGGCATAAGGCCAACCATATGTGAAAGTAATGATCTTTTAAAATGTGTAATCATTTTAATCAGTATATGTATGGGCAAATCAAATTGGCTGAAATTTCACTGTGATATTGTACCAGACAACTTTGCCATTTGTTTCAAAACACAAAAATGACTAAATAAGTGTCAACTTTTCAAAATGCAAAACTTAGGCCTACTCAGGAGGGTCTACTTTTCTTTTGTAGAGAACCTATATGATGGTGTGGCTATCCATATTGTGAGTATAAGTGCCCCAATGGAGAATTCCCCCATCCCCCATCATGAGGTGGTGCAATGTCATTATTGAAATCTATATATTAGTCTACCATTCACAGCATCTGATAACACCATGCTTTCTATGTTACATCTCATGATAGTTTATTTCTTTGTACAATACACCCTATACACAATCAGAATAATCCCAATATGATATTTAACTAGCTCTAACTCATAAACCCTTTAAATACGTTTGTTGTCTCTCTGCAGTAGAGATGCACGGGTACATCCTCCTCCCCCTCCCCCTTCCTGCAAGCTAGATCTTCAAAATGCATTTCAGCCCCTTTTATCTATGAATAAAGGTCGGTATTAAATCACATGAGTCAAGTCAAGAGGAAAATATTTTGATGAGGAATATATATATATATATATATTCAGGGGCGTACGCAGGGGGGGTGTTTTGGGGGTTCAAACCCCCCCCCCTTTGGTAATTTAATGTATGTAAACCCCCCGAAAAAACCTAAAACCCCCCCCTTTGGCTTTTTTTGTTAATTTTAATTTTTTATTAAAAAAACAACAAAAAAAAAAAAAAAAAATTATACCCATGGCTAACCTAAATAAGGTGACCTTACCCCCCCCCCCCATACGTAAAAAAATGTCAAATTTTGAAATTTTGAGACCCAAAAAAAAAAAAAGTGTCCGCTTACCCCCCCCCCCCCCCCCCACTGAGCGACTTTTCTGCCGGCTGAGTCGTTGCGATTTTTTTTGGCCTCCAAAAAAAAAAAAAAAAAAGTGTCCGCTTACCCCCCCCCCCCCCACTGAGCGACTTTTCGGCCGGCGCGATTTTCACATTTTCGGGAGCAAAATATTTTAAAACCCCCCCCCTTAAAAAAATCCTGCGTACGCCCCTGTGTATATTGAAAAATTTAACCATTTTATGTACACTGTACATGCGTGTCACTAAATATGAGTAATTTGAATAGTAAACAGAATTCCCTTATTTGTTTGTGTAAATTACAGGATGTCTTGCTGGGGCTATCATTCATGTACTTTCCCAGCGGACTGAGTTTCTGTCGAATGAGAAGGACATCTTGCACCATGGATGGATTCTGCCATCTCTATCTGCCCATGATTCTTCTGATGAGATCTGGTGATGTTGAAACCAACCCTGGACCAGACAGGTCAGTTTATTTGTATTTGAAGCTGATTTCCTTTTCTTAATTGCAACAGAATAAGCAGTAGGGATAATGAAGTGCTATCCTTATTATTTAAGCATAACATCACAAACATGTATGCCAATTTTTCTTCCGTATTTCAGTGCATTGCTTCATGAGGTTTCTTAGCCTTGTGTCATTGTGCGTGTATGCTTCAATATATACCTTTAAATCAATCTTATCAGTACAAGTAGCTTAATAAAATCAGGACGGTAAGCGCATGCGGCTAAGCGCATGAAGCTGCAGGTGCTGACAGTGGTCAACTGTAGGAGCTAGTGTGCATATTGTAGGTTGCATGGAGTAGTTTATTCTTCAATGTAGTCTGTTTCACCTGAATGCTCATCAGCAACTGAACTTAACTTACAAAGTATTATAGTTGCCTATGTTAATGTACAGTAGGGGTTACAACACAGTAAGACCTACTGAAGAGATGACTGATAAACATCATTTCTTTTAATGACAGGATCGTCAGTGATGAAGAATTCATAAAGCTTTCCACGCTAATTGCAACTTGCTACTACCATAAGTTGGGCGTTAATCTGGAGATTCCCATTGTAGAGCTTGATCACATCAAGGAATGTAGCCTAAATACCAGTGATGCATTGATAGCAGTGTTCACGAGATGGAGAATTAAACAGTCTCCAGGCAAAGACATCAGGGCTCTTCTTGCAGAGGGATTGAAAAATAGTGACTTAGGGTTCCTCTCTGGCGAACTACTCGCTGGCAGAATAGTCCCGAATAGGACAGGTAAGAATAAGAAAGAGATTGTGTAGGCTGCCCGCAAGAAGGCCTTTACTGCCATTGAACATGTATTGCTCTTGCAGGCAACCAACAAACACTGTCATTTGTTACTAATAGGGTTAGTTACAGCAGGACATCCCAGTTAACAGACAGCCCACGAGACTGATACTGACTGTCTGGTGAACCCTCACAATAGTTGTCAGAAATTTCATGTTTGGAACCACCACATTTTAAGCCTAGCCAATTTCTGATTTTTTTTTCAAGTCTGGCTCGTCTTGTGAAACCAAGCTTATGAAAGTTGGTCGTACCTCTCCAGAGTCTTTTAACCATTGTGACCTTATGTCAGCCCCAACATAGAGAATTCCATACTTTATGTTTACAAAACAAAAGGAGAACTACATTTCTCTCAGTTATATCAAGTGGAATTGTTCTTTAAGCTGTTATTAATAAGGTTCAGCATTATTGTCCATACTAGCGATGGAAATTGTGATATTTGCGTTGCATATATGGATACATAAATAGACATGTATGTACTAAAATACTAAAAGACAAATTCTATTGAGATATTTTTGAGTTGGAAAAGAAAACAAACATAGACATGTCATGCATCAACGATGCATGACATCAAATCATCAATGATGATAATTATCATTGTTCTCTATGAATCTTAGTCCAGATAACATCCTCTAACAGCAGAACTAATAAAATTGAAAATGTAAAGTTGTAAAGAAATAATAATGCATCAGAAATTTTTCATATGATCATGTGTATGTGTGATGAATATCCTTAAATGAAACATTTTGATATTCAGAAAACAATTATGTTGATCTAAATCATCACACTAATGCTATTTGATTTCAAGGTGCTTCTGTTACAATGCCAGGATCACAGACTCCACCACTTTCTCCTGACCAGATCAAGAGATGTGCAGATGATTTCAAATTCAAGTACCGAACAAGTCTCTGTAAGATCAGAGCTGATGCCCTCAACCCCGATTCCATTGTGCCATTCAATGACATGTACACAAACCTTCTCCTAAAAGAGGAATATAGAGAACACAAGCGACCACTTGGGTACAGGGATCTCTTTGACCTCAAAGTCAATGGAGAGTTCCCCAAGCGGATCATGATTCAGGGAGAGGCGGGGGCTGGAAAGACAACACTCTGTTCTAAGATTGCCTGGGACTGGATAACTGACAGTCCTGTTCTCCCAAAGTTTGTGTGGGTACTTGTTGTCCCTCTTTGTGAAGCCAAGCAATGCACGATCGGTGAGATTGCCAAGTCGTATCTCTCCAAGGACAACCCAGCAACAGCCAGCCAGATCACTAGGTACATCCGGTCATATCCAACTAATGTATTCATTGCGTTTGATGGATTAGATGAGTTTGATGGCAAGGTTGTACAGGAAGGAGAAGCTGGTTCAAAGTCAGAATTTCACAAGCCAAAGTCTGCTGATCAAACCAAGGCAAGATCAGAATCCAAGACGAACAAGACGAACGAGGCTAGTGGAAGTTCTTCAGAGAGAGGTGACATTGCACTTATAGACATTCTTCGTTCAGATGAACTTGACACTTGCCCGGTATTGGTGACAAGTCGCCCAAGGAAGGTCACAGAGATTAGATGGGATAATAGTCTAAGGAAACTCTACACTTTCATGTATGTGGAAGGTTTTAGCAAGGAGAATGTGGAGGTTTACATTCACAAGTACTTTGAAGACAATGTGGCCACAGCAGATCAGCTCATCCAATTAACCAAAGAAAGTGACATCATATCTGAGTATATGGCCCCACATCCTATCTACATAGCTATGCTCTGTCTTATGTGGAGAGAACTTGGTGACAAAAAACAAGAAAAGTTAAAGTCATTTCGAACTTTTTCTCAAATATTTGATGAAAGGTTTAAATTCCTGAGTGTGCATTATGCTCAGAAAAAAATTACAGATTTAGGCAGCCCATCATTCAAAGAATATCTCGCTCAAATTGAGAAGCTCTTGAAACCAGTTGCAAAAGTTGCTTTCATCAGGCTACAAGAAAACACTGATGTTTTCAAAGAAGATGATTTTGAACAGTGTTTAGAATCCTTGGAAACAGCTTGCAGAGTAGGGGTATTAGAGAAAAGAAAGTCATTTATAAATGATAAGAGCAGTATCGATCTGCAGTCTCAAATTGTCTTTCCACACAAACTCTTTCAGGAGTACATGGCTGGAGTCCATCTTGCTTCCTTGTATGAACTAAATCACAATGAATTCAACAGGCTGATTGAGGAAGTAGTGCTGCCTAGGAAGGAAGCTTTTAGGTATCTCCTGTACTTCACTGTATCACGGGACAAAACCATTGCAAACCATGTCATGAAATGCATGGTACAGGGTAACACCCCAACCCAAGAGGAGATGGATTTTTTGGTTGATGTATCATTTGAGAGTCAGGACCTTGATACCGTAGCCTTGTTGAGGGGTCGAGTGTCATCTCTGAAAATAAACTTCAGGACTGCACATACCATAGCAGCTTATGTATTCACTGGACTATATGTAGATGTGGTAAGTTTGATATCTTACAACATATACTGATAAGTATTATAACTTAAAGAGGAAGTCACCCTAATATTAAGTAGGTTTGAATAGAAGCAGAGAAATGAGATAAACAGGTCAGTGAAAGTGTGAGCAAGAAACGATTAAAAATAAGAAATTTATCAATTTTTGAAGGCGCAAATTAATCAAACACAAATTCGTAATTCTATGACATATCTTGGGAGCTCCCCTCCTTTTTGCCCTGTCCAAAAAACTTTAAAAATCTATTTTTCCCTTTACAAAATGTTCAATCATGCATTCACCCTACATGTAATTATTGCAAGTATGTTTTTATACAACCCCTTCATGATACAAATCTGTGCTGGTAAGAAAATGAAAGTTCATGAAATTTTCTGTACAGAGCAAATATGAGAGGAGCTCGCATGATACGTCACAGTGTTCACCAATTACAAATTAAAAAAAAAAAAAAAATATTAGGGTGGACTTCCCCTCTAATCGAAAATCCATCAGGCGTCTATAGATTTGCATTTTTTTAAGAATGGGTCTATAATATGCCTTTTTTAAAACTCTCTCTTACATCCATGACCTTATACCTGATAATCTGTGATATAATCAAATTGAATCATTTTATTTCCACTTTTAAAAAACATGTATAAAATCAATGACAAATTATTTCTGTAAATAAAAGTGGCATGGATATTAAAGACCACTACCCGTATACTACCGGTAAATCAAATTGAAATAGTATCAAATAATTCTTATACACCATAACATTTAGGAGAGAAGGAAACATTAACAACACGTTCGTACATTATATATGGTTACTCATGTCTTTAAGGGGATGTATTTTGTACAATATTTGACGACGATGATATTTTGAAGTGGTTAAATGGTAACTATGATTATTGACTGGCTTTTTTTTTGGAGGGGGAGGGTGGTGATACACAACATCTTGCCCTCATCTCCAGTCCAGACATTGTTATATTACTTAGGCAAAATCATTTTATATACCCATCACTGTTATAGGCATATGATAAATATAAACAGTACTATTTGACTTGTACCAATCAGTTTTATTGGTCAGAAAATAAGCCATCTTCTTGAAATGGCATAATAAACAGCAGTTTTAATGGAGGGTCAATTTGGGGGGGCCCTATGAAAATGGCAATCTTTTACCATACTGCATTACTGACTTAATGTTATACAAGACCTTCCTTTGCAAAAATAAACCATAGCACTACTCTGTTGATATGGACACATTCTGTAATCATTCAATACCAGGTAAGACAATATTTATGCAGGCCCAGTGACAGCAGCATAAACAACATTTCAGGTGGTCTTAGACTTTAGCAATGTACTCTGTCGGATTCTCTCATATCATCATTTTTTGTTTGTTTATTTTAAGATCGATCTTCAAGTGAATGATTACATGCTTGGACCAACTATATCGCATGATGTAGCGAAGATGATATGCTCTGCTCCCTCTCTAGAGAAAGTTTCACTATTCGGAACAGTCTTGGACAGTGACTTCTATGTAGTTCTTGCTAAAGAAGGAAACAAGTCCAAGGTGAAAATACATATTGTAATAATAATGATAATATTAATAATACTAATACCAATACTTCTACTATACGCCACTACTCTTACTACTATTACTACTAATACTACTAATAAAAATGATAACAATAGTGAAGGTGGATTCTTATATATAGCACACATATCCATTATGTCGTGTCATGCTTGGTGCTTCAACATTAAAGTGTACCAATCTCCTAAAAAAGTGATATGTGTACAGCTAGAATGTATATAAAATCAACATCAAAATCCTTCTTGAATATATAAAGCGACAAGGAACCCCAAATATACAGATTATTTGTGGATGATCGGTAAACTTTAAAACAGGTAACTTTATGACAATACAGTCAAAGGCTTACTCTATATAGTACACGTTTTACATTGTAACCTATGTGTTATGATCCAAGTTCACTCCCCCCCCCCCCATCCCCAAATCTGCCAGTGTTTCACTGTTTGTACAGATCAAGACTCCCTGCCTTCATGGTGTTGAGTGTCCTTCACCAGCCACATCACATGATGACAGCTAGTAAACAAAAGTTATATAAAGAGAAACATACTTGTCGATCTAGAAGTATACAGTATATGTGAATTAATGGAGACGAAGAGTCTATTTGACAAATGAACCTAAATTCATGTTAGTTGTGTTTAAGATTTGCTGGGTTTCACTCAGCATGCTATTTGTTGTTGATAAATGTTTTGGATAGATGCAATCACTCTCATGAATTTGCAGTAATGAAATGCACCACGGCTGTAATGGTAAAAGTCAGACATTTGTTTTTTTCAATGCATGCTCTATTGATAATTTTTCTGTGCTTACCATCTTGCATTAACCAAATTCTTAACTTAACCCTGCACCAAAAACTATACCTAACCCTAACACTAAACATAGGGTCAAACCTATTTGTAGCCTCATCAAATCCTATGAATATGACGTACTATATATGTTTATAAGTAAAGCCCAGAGCGATTCTCAGCAGAGCATAGACATACACATACAGGTATATCTGAGCACCCAGTTATATTTGCAGTCCTTCAATAAAAACAAGTAATCTGGTAATGTACTTGTATGAATCACTGTTTGCATACATATAGGTCCTAACTCTCTGGTTTCTGGATGTCATCTTGTCATCAGCCTCTTTACATCACCTAGTAGCTGTTGTGTTCCATGCCAAACCTGACTGAGCTGAGCCTAAGTGTAAAAATGTATACCTATCACGAAACCAAAGCTCAAACCTATTTGCAACCCTTATCCAAATCTTATATATTTGACAAAATAAAGCCCAGAGCATTTGTCACCTGACCATAGCCATACACATACATGTATATCAAAGCACCAAATTATAGTTGCAGTCTTTCAACAAAAATGTGTACTTATAGTCTTGTAATGTACCTGTATGAATCACTTTTGTATAAATGTAGGTCAAAGCTGTCACGCTTTTTGACGCTGGGTGTCCAACATCAGCCTCTTCACATCACTTCATAGATGCTTTGTGTTCCATGCCAAACCTGACTCACCTGACACTATGTGGAAAGAATTTCCAGGAAAAGTTCTATTCTACACTGAATGCAAAGGCATCAACCTTACAGGTCTGTATGTGTTTGTACTCTATATGCCATGATTAAATGAATTCATGTACACATGTAGCAGTGGAGATGAGTTTAAGGAGTTATGATAATTTAGCAACAGTCAATATTTGTTCAATGTGTGCAATGTCTTTTATGAAAATATATAATAGTCTAATACCCTTTTCTAACTGCACTGATTTTCATCGGATGCATCCGGACGCATCCGATAAAACGGCCAGTATGAAAGCAACAGAGAAGAAAAGGCGATTAAATAGCCGATGAAAAGAAAAGAAATAGGCGATTAAATTCTCCTGCTCAAGAGTAGGAGAAATTCTCATTCTATCGGTGTGACACCGATGAAACGGCCAGTATAACAGCATTCGGGAGAAAAAGGCGATTAAAATGGTCAAAGGTCGCAGTATACGCGCGCTTTATCGAAACCAGCTGTTTTTGTTGACTTATGGTTGAACATGCTGCATGCTAGCTAGATGGGCTTAATAATTATGCAATAATTCTTCACTTCTGGCAAGGGCTCGCCACAGCGAGTGAATTTCACCGGCAGTTTGAAAGCAACAGGGGGAAAACTGCGGTTTCACCTTTGTTTACATAAGGAAAATTCAATCAGTATTTTCATCAGTGTGACTCCGATAGAAGCCAGTTTGATAGCAGTATCAAGCATACAAAGGAAATTATATATACAGGGTCTTATGTGCGCAGTGTATGATACATAATACATATGAGTTGAAATTATGATGTTCTGCAAAAAAACTTCACTTTTAAAGGTTTACCTCAGATTTTTTTTTTTTTTTTTTTGAAGGAGACTAACTGGATGTGTTTAGGTAAGACTTTTGGGGGAGTGGAGTGTTGTGTTGCTACTCATGCATGAATACAATTCAGTATAAACAGATTACTGAGGTACTCTAAAGACAAGTATCTACAAATGATATGTTTGTAATTTTCATATTTTTAAGTTCAGAGCAATTCATAAGGTAGGAATTATGTCATTATTGGTCTGGAAGCAATATCAAAGTATACTTCAGAGTCAATACTCAATATAGGGGGATAGATATCTAGATCACAGTGTACTTATTTTAAGTACAGCTATATGTACGCACTATATGTATACATTCATCTATAATGCATACCTTTAATCATGAATGTGTTATTTATTTATTTAGGCAATGTAAAAAATGTGTCTAAATAATCAAAGCAATAGTTCCTTCTTTGTTTTATTAATTCTCCAAACACAAATGCAGCTTTATTTATTAAACTCAATCATATCAGTAATGTACATCCTAAAATTATGGACAGCAACCATGGTTCATATAGAGGTGTTTGTGGTTCAGTGGATAAGTGTCCAGACGGTGAACCACGAGGTATGGAGTTCAAATCCCTGCTGTGCATAGCACCAATGTTGTTTGGCAAGACATCAATCTACATTTGCCACATTCGACCTAGGTGTAGTAAGTGGGTGAATGTCCTACGGCTGTAAGTGTCGAACTCCCTGTTGTTCGATACATGGCCCGTCAACAATCTTCTGTGCTTACTACTTTGCACTGACAAAATTCTTAAATTTTATCCTGCATCGAAAAGATACATGTACCTATCACTAAACCTAATCTCAAACCTAATTACAGGTTTTATCCAAATCCTACATATTTGACTAAATGAAGCCCAGTTTCGTCACCTGAGCATAGCCATACATATACATGTACATTGGAGCACCTAGTTATTTTTGCAGTTACTCAATTAAACATGTACTCTGGTAATGATCTTGTATGAATCACTGTATACATGTAGGTCAAAACTATCGAGCTTTGGGAAGTAATTTTTCCGACATCAACCTCTACACGTCACTTCGTAGATGCTCTGTGTTCCATGCCAAACCTGACTGAACTGAGACTATGTGGAAAGAATTTCCAGGAAAAGTTCTATTCTACACTGAATGCAAAGGCGTCAACCTTACAGGTCTGTATGTGTGTTTGTACTCTATATGCCATGATTAAATGAATTCATGTACACATGTAGCAGTGGAGATGACTTTAAGGAGTTATGATAATTTAGCAACAGTCAATATTTGTTCAATGTGTGCAATGTCTTTTATGAAAATATATATTAGTCTAATACCCTTTTCTAACTGCACTGATTTTCATCGGATGCATCCGGACGCATCCGATAAAACGGCCAGTATGAAAGCAACAGAGAAGAAAAGGCGATTAAATAGCCGATGAAAAGAAAAGAAATAGGCGATTAAATTCTCCTGCTCAAGAGTAGGAGAAATTCTCATTCTATCAGTGTGACACCGATGAAACGGCCAGTATAACAGCATTCTGGAGAAAAAGGCGATTAAAATGGTCAAAGGTCGCAGTATACGCGCGCTTTATCGAAACCAGCTGTTTTTGTTGACTTATGGTTGAACATGCTGCATGCTAGCTAGATGGGCTTAATAATTATGCAATAATTCTTCACTTCTGGCGAGGGCTCGCCACAGCGAGTGAATTTCACCGGCAGTTTGAAAGCAACAGGGGGAAAACTGCGGTTTCACCTTTGTTTACATAAGGAAAATTCAATCAGTATTTTCATCGGTGTGACTCCGATAGAAGCCAGTTTGATAGCAGTATCAAGCATACAAAGGAAATTATTATATACAGGGTCTTATGTGCGCAGTGTATGATACATAATACATATGAGTTGAAATTATGATGTTCTGCAAAAAAACTTCACTTTTAAAGGTTTACCTCAGATTTTTTTTGTTTTTGTTTTTGAAGGAGACTAACTGGATGTGTTTAAGTAAGACTTTTGGGGGAGGGGAGTGTTGTGTTGCTGCTCATGCATGAATACAATTCAGTATAAACAGATTACTGAGGTACTCTAAAGACAAGTATCTACAAATGATATGATTGTAATTTTCATATTTTTAAGTTCAGAGCAATTCATAAGGTAGGAATTATGTCATTATTGGTCTGGAAGCAATATCAAAGTATACTTCAGAGTCAATACTCAATATAGGGTGATAGATATCTAGATCACAGTGTACTTATTTTAAGTACAGCTATATGTACGCACTATATGTATGCATTCATCTATAATGCATACCTTTAATCATGAATGTGTTATTTATTTATTTAGGCAATGTAAAAAATGTGTCTAAATAATCAAAGCAATAGTTCCTTCTTTGTTTTATTAATTCTCCAAACACAAATGCAGCTTTATTTATTAAACTCAATCATATCAGTAATGTACATCCTAAAATTATGGACAGCAACCATGGTTCATATAGAGGTGTTTGTGGTTCAGTGGATAAGTGTCAAGACGGTGAACCACGAGGTATGGGGTTCAAATCCCTGCTGTGCATAGCACCAATGTTGTTTGGCAAGACATCAATCTACATTTGCCACATTCGACCTAGGTGTAGTAAGTGGGTGAATGTCCTACGGCTGTAAGTGTCGAACTCCCTGTTGTTCGATACATGGCCCGTCAACAATCTTCTGTGCTTACTACTTTGCACTAACAAAATTCTTAACTTTTATCCTGCATCGAAAAGATACCTATCACTAAACCTAATCTCAAACCTAATTACAGGTTTTATCCAAATCCTACATATTTGACTAAATGAAGCCCAGTTTCGTCACCTGAGCATAGCCATACATATACATGTACATCGGAGCACCTAGTTATTTTTGCAGTTACTCAATTAAAACATGTACTCTGGTAATGATCTTGTATGAATCACTGTTTGTATACATGTAGGTCAAAACTATAGAGCTTTGGGAAGTAATTTTTCCGACATCAACCTCTACACGTCACTTCGTAGATGCTCTGTGTTCCATGCCAAACCTGACTGAACTGAGACTACGGGGAAAGGATTTCCAGGAGGAGTTCTATTCTTCACTGAGTGCAAAGGCGTCAACCTTACAGGTATGTATGTGTGTTTGTACTCGATATCCATTCCATCATGAATGAATGGACACATGTAGCAGTGGAGATGAGTTTAAGGAGTTATGATATTTTAACAGTCAACTTTTGTTCAATGTGTGTAATGAATTATATTTAAATATATAGAATATATAGAATAGGCTTAGCAGACAAAAGAAAATTATTATTTGTTGTGCCTCCATTTGTTGTGCCTCCTATCCTGCACTAATCAAATTCTTAACTTTAATTCTGCACCAAAAAGTATACCTATCACTAAACTCAGTTCAAACCTATGTGCAACTCGTATCCAAATCCTATATATTTGACTAAAAGAAGCCCAGAGCATTTGTCACCAGAGCATATACAGCCATGTATATTGGAGCACCCAGTTTTATTCCCAGCTATTTAATTAAAACATGTACTCTGGTAATGATCTTGTATGAATCACTGTTTGTATACATGTAGGTAAAAACTGTCACGCTTTTTGACACTGGGTTTCCAACATCAGCCTCTTCACATCACTTCATAGATGCTTTGTGTTCCATGCCAAACCTGACTGGACTGAGACTACGGGCAAAGGATTTCCAGGAGGAGTTCTTTTCTACACTGAATGCAAAGGCGCCAACCTTACAGGTATGTATGTGTGTTTATACTCGATATCCATTCCATCATGGATGAATGGACACATGTAGCAGTGGAGATAGGTTTAAGGAGTTATGATATATATTAACAGTCAATGTTTGTTCAATGTGTGTATTGAATTATATTTAGATTTATATTGTAGTCTTAGCAGACATAGGAAATTATTATAAAGAGGGTTTTTCATGTGAAGTGTATAAAAGGTTTATTTCAAATAAAGGATTTTGATTTTTGTTGTAGACTAACTGAAGGTGTTTAATTAAACACCTTTACGAAAGAGGAGTGCACTAACTGAATTTGTATGGTTAACACTGCACCAAAAATCAGATGTAACCCTAACACTCTTAGCTCAAGTAGTAATTAAATGCCCTACGGCTGTAATTGTCGGTCTTCGTGTTGTCGGACACATGCTCCGTCAACCATTTGAATTCAAATTCTTAACTTTAATTCTGCACCAAAGAGTATACCTATCACTAAACGTAAGCTCAAACCTATGTGCAGCTCGTATCCAAATCCTATATATTTGACTAAATAAAGCCCAGATCATTTGTCACATGAGCATAGCCCTAGATATACATGTATATCGGAGCATCCAATTATATTTGCAGTCATTCAATCAAAACATGTTCTCTCTGGTAATGATCTTGTATGAATCACTGTTTGTATACATGTAGGTCAAAACTATCGAGCTTTGGGAAGTAATTTTTCCGACATCAACCTCTACACGTCACTTCGTAGATGCTCTGTGTTCCATGCCAAACCTGACTGAACTGAGACTACGGGGAAAGGATTTCCAGGAGGAGTTCTATTCTTCACTGAGTGCAAAGGCGTCAACCTTACAGGTATGTATGTGTGTTTGTACTCGATATCCATTCCATCATGAATGAATGGACACATGTAGCAGTGGAGATGGGTTTAAGGAGTTATGATATGTTAACAGTCAATAGTTGTACCATGTGTGTAATGAATTATATTGGAATATATACAATAGTCTTAGCAGACAAAGGAAATTTGTATAAAGAGGGTTTTTCATGTGCAGTGTATAATACAGAATTCATATAGCTCGAGTTGAAAATATGGTGTTCTCTATATAAAAAAAATAAACCAAAGGTTTATTTCAGATAAAGGATTTTGATTTTTGTTGTAGACTAACTGGAGGTGCTTAATTAAACACCTTTACGGAAGGGGAGTGCAGTAACTGAATGTGTATGGTTAACACTGCACCAAAAATCAGATGTAACCCTAACACTCTTAGCTCAAGTAGTAATTTAATGCCCTACGGCTGTAATTGTCGGTCTTCGTGTTGTCGGACACATGCTCCTTCAACCATTTGAATTCAAATTCTTAACTTTAATTCTGCACCAAAGAGTATACCTATCACTAAACGTAAGCTCAAACCTATGTGCAGCTCGTATCCAAATCCTATATATTTGACTAAAAGGAGCCCAGAGCATTTGTCACCAGAGCATATACAGCCATGTATATTGGAGCACCCAGTTTTATTCCCAGCTATTTAATTAAAACATGTACTCTGGTAATGATCTTGTATGAATCACTGTTTGTATACATGTAGGTCAAAACTATCTTGCTTTGGGACATAGTTTTTCCGACAACAACCTCTACACGTCACTTCGTAGATGCTCTGTGTTCCATGCCAAACCTGACTGAACTGAGACTACGGGGAAAGGATTTCCAGGAGGAGTTCTATTCTTCACTGAGTGCAAAGGCGTCAACCTTACAGGTATGTATGTGTGTTTGTACTCGATATCCATTCCATCATGAATGAATGGACACATGTAGCAGTGGAGATGAGTTTAAGGAGTTATGATATTTTAACAGTCAATTTTTGTTCAATGTGTGTAATGAATTATATTTAAATATATAGAATATATAGAATAGGCTTAGCAGACAAAAGAAAATTATTATAAAAAGGGTTTTTCATGTGCAGTGTATAATACAGAATTCATATAGCTCGAGTTGAAAATATGGTTAAAAACACTAAACCAAAGGTTTATTTCAGATAAAGGATTTTGATTTTTGTTGTAGACTAACTGGAAGTGTTTAATTACACGTTTTGGGAAGGGGAGTGCACTAACTGAATTTGTATGGTTAACACTGCACCAAAAACTAGATGTAACCCTAACACTCTTAGCTCAAGTTGTAATTAAAAGCCCTATGGCTTTAATCGTAGGTCCTTGTGTTGTCGGACATATGCTCCATTAACCATTTGTTGTGCCTCCTATCCTGCACTAATCAAATTCTTAACTTTAATTCTGCACCAAAAAGTATACCTATCACTAAACTCAGTTCAAACCTATGTGCAACTCGTATCCAAATCCTATATATTTGACTAAAAGAAGCCCAGAGCATTTGTCACCAGAGCATATACAGCCATGTATATTGGAGCACCCAGTTTTATTCCCAGCTATTGAATTAAAACATGTACTCTGATAATGATCTTGTATGAATCACTGTTTGTATACATGTAGGTCAAAACTATCTTGCTTTGGGACATAGTTTTTCTGACATCAACCTCCACACATCACTTCGTAGATGCTCTGTGTTCCATGCCAAACCTGACTGAACTGAGACTACGGGCAAAGGATTTCCAGGAGGAGTTCTTTTCTACACTGAATGCAAAGGCGCCAACCTTACAGGTATGTATGTGTGTTTATACTCGATATCCATTCCATCATGGATGAATGGACACATGTAGCAGTGGAGATAGGTTTAAGGAGTTATGATATATATTAACAGTCAATGTTTGTTCAATGTGTGTATTGAATTATATTTAGATTTATATTGTAGTCTTAGCAGACATAGGAAATTATTATAAAGAGGGTTTTTCATGTGAAGTGTATAAAAGGTTTATTTCAGATAAAGGATTTTGATTTTTGTTGTAGACTAACTGAAGGTGTTTAATTAAACACCTTTACGAAAGAGGAGTGCACTAACTGAATTTGTATGGTTTACACTGCACCAAAAATCAGATGTAACCCTAACACTCTTAGCTCAAGTAGTAATTAAATGCCCTACGGCTGTAATTTTCGGTCTTCGTGTTGTCGGACACATGCTCCTTCAACCATTCGAATTCAAATTCTTAACTTTAATTCTGCACCAAAGAGTATACCTATCACTAAACGTAAGCTCAAACCTATGTGCAGCTCGTATCCAAATCCTATATATTTGACTAAATGAAGCCCAGATCATTTGTCACATGAGCATAGCCATAGATATACATGTATATCGGAGCATCCAATTATATTTGCAGTCATTCAATCAAAACATGTTCTCTCTGGTAATGATCTTGTATGAATCACTGTTTGTATACATGTAGGTCAAAACTATCGAGCTTTGGGAAGTAATTTTTCCGACATCAACCTCTACACGTCACTTCGTAGATGCTCTGTGTTCCATGCCAAACCTGACTGAACTGAGACTACGGGGAAAGGATTTCCAGGAGGAGTTCTATTCTTTACTGAGTGCAAAGGCATCAACCTTACAGGTATGTACCGGTATGTGTGTTTGTACTCGATATCCATTCCATCATGAATGAATGGACACATGTAGCAGTGGAGATGGGTTTAAGGAGTTATGATATGTTAACAGTCAATAGTTGTACCATGTGTGTAATGAATTATATTGGAATATATACAATAGTCTTAGCAGACAAAGGAAATTTGTATAAAGAGGGTTTTTCATGTGCAGTGTATAATACAGAATTCATATAGCTCGAGTTGAAAATATGGTGTTCTCTATATAAAAAAAATAAACCAAAGGTTTATTTCAGATAAAGGATTCTGATTTTTGTTGTAGACTAACTGGAGGTGCTTAATTAAACACCTTTACGGAAGGGGAGTGCAGTAACTGAATGTGTATGGTTAACACTGCACCAAAAATCAGATGTAACCCTAACACTCTTAGCTCAAGTAGTAATTTAATGCCGTACGGCTGTAATTGTCGGTCTTCGTGTTGTCGGACACATGCTCCTTCAACCATTCGAATTTAAATTCTTAACTTTAATTCTGCACCAAAGAGTATACCTATCACTAAACGTAAGCTCAAACCTATGTGCAGCTCGTATCCAAATCCTATATATTTGACTAAAAGAAGCCCAGAGCATTTGTCACCAGAGCATATACAGCCATGTATATTGGAGCACCCAGTTTTATTCCCAGCTATTTAATTAAAACATGTACTCTGGTAATGATCTTGTATGAATCACTGTTTGTATACATGTAGGTCAAAACTATCTTGCTTTGGGACATAGTTTTTCCGACATCAACCTCCACATATCACTTCGTAGATGCTCTGTGTTCCATGCCAAACCTGACTGAACTGAGACTACGGGCAAAGGATTTCCAGGAGGAGTTCTTTTCTACACTGAATGCAAAGGCGCCAACCTTACAGGTATGTATGTGTGTTTATACTCGATATCCATTCCATCATGGATGATTGGACACATGTAGCAGTGGAGATAGGTTTAAGGAGTTATGATATATATTAACAGTCAATGTTTGTTCAATGTGTGTATTGAATTATATTTAAATATATATTATAGTCTTAGCAGACATAGGAAATTATTATAAAGAGGGTTTTTCATGTACAGTGTATAATACAGAATTCATATAGCTCGAGTTGAAAATATGGTGTTCTCTATATAAAAATTAAACCAAAGGTTTATTTCAGATAAAGGATTTTGATTTTTGTTGTAGACTAACTGAAGGTGTTTAATTAAACACCTTTACGAAAGAGGAGTGCACTAACTGAATTTGTATGGTTTACACTGCACCAAAAATCAGATGTAACCCTAACACTCTTAGCTCAAGTAGTAATTAAATGCCCTACAGCTGTAATTGTCGGTCCTTTGTTGTTGGACACATGCTCCGTCAACCATTTTAATTCAAATTCTTAACTTTAATTCTGCTCCAAAGAGTATACCTATCACTAAACGTAAGCTCAAACCTATGTGCAGCTCGTAACCAAATCCTATATATTTGACTAAATAAAGCCCAGATCATTTGTCACATGAGCATAGCCATAGATATACATGTATATCTGAGCATCCAATTATATTTGCAGTCATTCAATCAAAACATGTTCTCTCTGGTAATGATCTTGTATGAATCACTGTTTGTATACATGTAGGTCAAAACTATCGAGCTTTGGGAAGTAATTTTTCCGACATCAACCTCTGCACGTCACTTCGTAGATGCTCTGTGTTCCATGCCAAACCTGACTAAACTGAGACTACGGGGAAAGGATTTCCAGGAGGAGTTCTATTCTTCACTGAGTGCAAAGGCGTCAACCTTACAGGTATGTATATGTGTTTGTACTCGATATCCATTCCATCATGAATGAATGGACACATGTAGCAGTGGAGATGGGTTTAAGGAGTTATGATATGTTAACAGTCAATAGTTGTACCATGTGTGTAATGAATTATATTGGAATATATACAATAGTCTTAGCAGACAAAGGAAATTTGTATAAAGAGGGTTTTTCATGTGCAGTGTATAATACAGAATTCATATAGCTCGAGTTGAAAATATGGTGTTCTCTATATAAAAAAAATAAACCAAAGGTTTATTTCAGATAAAGGATTTTGATTTTTGTTGTAGACCAACTATAGGTGTTTAATTAAACACCTTTGCGGAAGGGGAGTGCAGTAACTGAATGTGTATGGTTAACACTGCACCAAAAATCAGATGTAACCCTAACACTCTTAGCTCAAGTAGTAATTAAATGCCCTACGGCTGTAATTGTCGGTCTTCGTGTTGTCGGCCACATGCTCCATCAACCATTTGAATTCAAATTCTTAACTTTAATTCTGCACCAAAGAGTTTACCTATCACTAAACGTAAGCTCAAACCTATGTGCAGCTCGTATCCAAATCCTATATATTTGACTAAATAAAGCCCAGATCATTTGTCACATGAGCATAGCCATAGATATATATGTATATCGGAGCATCCAATTATATTTGCAGTCATTCAATCAAAACATGTTCTCTCTGGTAATGATCTTGTATGAATCACTGTTTGTATACATGTAGGTCAAAACTATCGAGCTTTGGAAAGTAATTTTTCCGACATCAACCTCTACACGTCACTTCGTAGATGCTCTGTGTTCCATGCCAAACCTGACTGAACTGAGACTACGGGGAAAGGATTTCCAGGAGGAGTTTTATTCTTCACTGAGTGCAAAGGCGTCAACCTTACAGGTATGTATGTGTGTTTGTACTCGATATCCATTCCATCATGAATGAATGGACACATGTAGCAGTGGAGATTCGTTTAAGGAGTTATGATATGTTAACAGTCAATTGTTGTACCCTGTGTGTAATGAATTATATTGGAATATATACAATAGTCTTGGCAGACAAAGTAAATTTGTATAAAGAGGGTTTTTCATGTGCAGTGTATAATACAGAATTCATAAAGCTCGAGTTGAAAATATGGTGTTCTCTATATAAAAAAAATAAACCAAAGGTTTCTTTCAGATAAAGGATTTTGATTTTTGTTGTAGACTAACTGGAGGTGTTTAATGAAACACCTTTACGGAAGGGGAGTGCACTAACCGAATTTGTATGGTTTACACTGCACCAAAAATCAGATGTAACCCCAACACTCTTAGCTCAAGTAGTAATTAAATGCCCTACGGCTGTAATTGTCGGTCTTCGTGTTGTCGGACACATGCTCCGTCAACCATTTTAATTCAAATTCTTAACTTTAATTCTGCACCAAAGAGTATACCTATCACTAAACGTAAGCTCAAACCTATGTGCAGCTCGTATCCAAATCCTATATATTTGACTAAATCAAGCCCAGATCATTTGTCACATGAGCATAGCCATAGATATACATGTATATCGGAGCATCCAGTTATATTTGCAGTCATTCAATCAAAACATGTTCTCTCTGGTAATGATCTTGTATGAATCACTGTTTGTATACATATAGGTAAAAAATATCGGGCTTTCGGAAGTAATTTTTCCGACATCAACCTCTACACATCACTTCGTAGATGCTCTGTGTTCCATGCCAAACCCGACTGGACTGGTACTACATGGAAAGGATTTCCAGGAGGAGTTCTATTCTTCACTGAGTGCAAAGGCGTCAACCTTACAGGTATGTATGTGTGTTTGTACTTGATATCCATTCCATCATAAATGAATGGACACATGTAGCAGTGGAGATGGGTTTAAGGAGTTATGATATGTTAACAGTCAATAGTTGTACCATGTGTGTAATGAATTATATTGGAATATATACAATAGTCTTAGCAGACAAAGGAAATTTGTATAAAGAGGGTTTTTCATGTGCAGTGTATAATACAGAATTCATAAAGCTCGAGTTGACAATATGGTGTTCTCTATATAAAAAAAACTAAACCAAAGGTTTATTTCAGATAAAGGATTTTGATTTTTGTTGTAGACTAACTGGAGGTGTTTAATTAAACACCTTTACGAAAGAGGAGTGCAATAACTGAATTTGTATGGTTTACACTGCACCAAAAATCAGATGTAACCCTAACACTCTTAGCTCAAGTAGTAATTAAATGCCCTACAGCTGTAATTGTCGGTCCTCGTGTTGTCGGACACATGCTCCGTCAACCATTTGAATTCAAATTCTTAACTTTAATTCTGCACCAAAGAGTATACCTATCACTAAACGTAAGCTCAAACCTATGTGCAGCTCGTATCCAAATCCTATATATTTGACTAAATAAAGGCCAGATCATTTGTTACAAGAGCATAGCCATAGATATACATGTATATCGGAGCATCCAATTATATTTGCAGTCATTCAATCAAAACATGTTCTCTCTGGTAATGATCTTGTATGAATCACTGTTTGTATACATGTAGGTCAAAACTATCGAGCTTTGGGAAGTAATTTTTTCGACATCAACCTCTACACGTCACTTCGTAGATGCTCTGTGTTTCATGCCAAACCTGACTAAACTGAGACTACGGGGAAAGGATTTCCAGGAGGAGTTTTATTCTTCACTGAGTGCAAAGGCGTCAACCTTACAGGTATGTATGTGTGTTTGTACTCGATATCCATTCCATCATGAATGAATGGACACATGTAGCAGTGGAGGTGGGTTTAAGGAGTTATGATATGTTAACAGTCAATAGTTGTACCATGTGTGTAATGAATTATATTGGAATATATACAATAGTCTTAGCAGACAAAGGAAATTTGTATAAAGAGGGTTTTTCATGTGCAGTGTATAATACAGAATTCATATAGCTCGAGTTGAAAATATGGTGTTCTCTATATAAAAAAAATAAACCAAAGGTTTCTTTCAGATAAAGGATTTTGATTTTTGTTGTAGACTAACTGGAGGTGTTTAATTAAACACCTTTACGGAAGGGGAGTGCACTAACCGAATTTGTATGGTTTACACTGCACCAAAAATCAGATGTAACCCCAACACTCTTAGCTCAAGTAGTAATTAAATGCCCTACGGCTGTAATTGTCGGTCTTCGTGTTGTCGGACACATGCTCCGTCAACCATTTTAATTCAAATTCTTAACTTTAATTCTGCACCAAAGAGTATACCTATCACTAAACGTAAGCTCAAACCTATGTGCAGCTCGTATCCAAATCCTATATATTTGACTAAATCAAGCCCAGATCATTTGTCACATGAGCATAGCCATAGATATACATGTATATCGGAGCATCCAGTTATATTTGCAGTCATTCAATCAAAACATGTTCTCTCTGGTAATGATCTTGTATGAATCACTGTTTGTATACATATAGGTAAAAAATATCGGGCTTTCGGAAGTAATTTTTCCGACATCAACCTCTACACATCACTTCGTAGATGCTCTGTGTTCCATGCCAAACCCGACTGGACTGGTACTACATGGAAAGGATTTCCAGGAGGAGTTCTATTCTTCACTGAGTGCAAAGGCGTCAACCTTACAGGTATGTATGTGTGTTTGTACTTGATATCCATTCCATCATAAATGAATGGACACATGTAGCAGTGGAGATGGGTTTAAGGAGTTATGATATGTTAACAGTCAATAGTTGTACCATGTGTGTAATGAATTATATTGGAATATATACAATAGTCTTAGCAGACAAAGGAAATTTGTATAAAGAGGGTTTTTCATGTGCAGTGTATAATACAGAATTCATAAAGCTCGAGTTGACAATATGGTGTTCTCTATATAAAAAAAAACTAAACCAAAGGTTTATTTCAGATAAAGGATTTTGATTTTTGTTGTAGACTAACTGGAGGTGTTTAATTAAACACCTTTACGAAAGAGGAGTGCAATAACTGAATTTGTATGGTTTACACTGCACCAAAAATCAGATGTAACCCTAACACTCTTAGCTCAAGTAGTAATTAAATGCCCTACAGCTGTAATTGTCGGTCCTCGTGTTGTCGGACACATGCTCCGTCAACCATTTGAATTCAAATTCTTAACTTTAATTCTGCACCAAAGAGTATACCTATCACTAAACGTAAGCTCAAACCTATGTGCAGCTCGTATCCAAATCCTATATATTTGACTAAATAAAGGCCAGATCATTTGTTACAAGAGCATAGCCATAGATATACATGTATATCGGAGCATCCAATTATATTTGCAGTCATTCAATCAAAACATGTTCTCTCTGGTAATGATCTTGTATGAATCACTGTTTGTATACATGTAGGTCAAAACTATCGAGCTTTGGGAAGTAATTTTTTCGACATCAACCTCTACACGTCACTTCGTAGATGCTCTGTGTTTCATGCCAAACCTGACTAAACTGAGACTACGGGGAAAGGATTTCCAGGAGGAGTTTTATTCTTCACTGAGTGCAAAGGCGTCAACCTTACAGGTATGTATGTGTGTTTGTACTCGATATCCATTCCATCATGAATGAATGGACACATGTAGCAGTGGAGGTGGGTTTAAGGAGTTATGATATGTTAACAGTCAATAGTTGTACCATGTGTGTAATGAATTATATTGGAATATATACAATAGTCTTAGCAGACAAAGGAAATTTGTATAAAGAGGGTTTTTCATGTGCAGTGTATAATACAGAATTCATATAGCTCGAGTTGAAAATATGGTGTTCTCTATATAAAAAAAATAAACCAAAGGTTTCTTTCAGATAAAGGATTTTGATTTTTGTTGTAGACTAACTGGAGGTGTTTAATTAAACACCTTTACGGAAGGGGAGTGCAGTAACTGAATGTGTATGGTTAACACTGCACCAAAAATCAGATGTAACCCTAACACTCTTAGCTCAAGTAGTAATTAAATGCCCTACGGCTGTAATTGTCGGTCCTCGTGTTGTCGGACACATGCTCCGTCAACCATTTTAATTCAAATTCTTAACTTTAATTCTGCACCAAAGAGTATACCTATCACTAAGCATGAGCTCAAACCTATGTGCAGCTCGTATCCAAATCCTATATATTTGACTAAATAAAGCCCAGATCATTTGTCACATGTGCATAGCCATAGATATACATGTATATCGGAGCATCCAATTATATTTGCAGTCATTCAATCAAAACATGTTCTCTCTGGTAATGATCTTGTATGAATCACTGTTTGTATACATGTAGGTCAAAACTATCGAGCTTTGGGAAGTAATTTTTCCGACATCAACCTCTACACATCACTTCGTAGATGCTCTGTGTTCCATGCCAAACCTAACTAAACTGAGACTACGGGGAAAGGATTTCCAGGAGGAGTTCTATTCTTCACTGAGTGCAAAGGCGTCAACCTTACAGGTATGTATGTGTGTTTGTACTCGATATCCATTCCATCATGAATGAATGGACACATGTAGCAGTGGAGATGGGGTTAAGGAGTTATGATATGTTAACAGTCAATAGTTGTACCATGTGTGTAATGAATTATATTGGAATATATACAATAGTCTTAGCAGACAAAGGAAATTTGTATAAAGAGGGTTTTTCATATGCAGTGTATAATACAGAATTCATATAGCTCGAGTTGAAAATATGGTGTTCTCTATATAAAAAAACTAAACCAAAGGTTTATTTCAGATAAAGGATTTTGATTTTTGTTGTAGACTAACTGGAGGTGTTTTATTAAACACCTTTACGGAAGGGGAGTGCAGTAACTGAATGTGTATGGTTAACACTGCACCAAAAATCAGATGTAACCCTAGCACTCTTAGCTCAAGTAGTAATTAAATTCCCTACGGCTGTAATTGTCGGTCTTCGTGTTGTCGGACACATGCTCCGTCAACCATTTGAATTCAAATTCTTAACTTTAATTCTGCACCAAAGAGTATACCTATCACTAAACGTAAGCTCAAACCTATGTGCAGCTCGTATCCAAATCCTATATATTTGACTAAATAAAGCCCAGATCATTTGTCACATGAGCATAGCCATAGATATACATGTATATCGGAGCATCCAATTATATTTGCAGTCATTCAATCAAAACATGTTCTCTCTGGTAATGATCTTGTATGAATCACTGTTTGTATACATGTAGGTCAAAACTATCGAGCTTTGGGAAGTAATTTTTCCGACATCAACCTCTACACATCACTTCGTAGATGCTCTGTGTTCCATGCCAAACCTGACTAAACTGAGACTACGGGGAAAGGATTTCCAGGAGGAGTTCTATTCTTCACTGAGTGCAAAGGCGTCAACCTTACAGGTATGTATGTGTGTTTGTACTCGATATCCATTCCATCATGAATGAATGGACACATGTAGCAGTGGAGATGGGTTTAAGGAGTTATGATATGTTAACAGTCAATAGTTGTACCATGTGTGTAATGAATTATATTGGAATATATACAATAGTCTTAGCAGACAAAGGAAATTTGTATAAAGAGGGTTTTTCATGTGCAGTGTATAATACAGAATTCATATAGCTCGAGTTGAAAATATGGTGTTCTCTATATAAAAAAACTAAACCAAAGGTTTATTTCAGATAAAGGATTTTGATTTTTGTTGTAGACTAACTGGAGGTGTTTAATTAAACACCTTTACGGAAGGGGAGTGCAGTAACTGAATGTGTATGGTTAACACTGCACCAAAAATCAGATGTAACCCTAACACTCTTAGCTCAAGTAGTAATTAAATTCCCTACGGCTGTAATTGTCGGTCTTCGTGTTGTCGGACACATGCTCCTTCAACCATTTGAATTCAAATTCTTAACTTTAATTCTGCACCAAAGAGTATACCTATCACTAAACGTAAGCTCAAAACTATGTGCAGCTCGTATCCAAATCCTATATATTTGACTAAAAGAAGCCCAGAGCATTTGTCACCAGAGCATATACAGCCATGTATATTGGAGCACCCAGTTTTATTCCCAGCTATTTAATTAAAACATGTACTCTGGTAATGATCTTGTATGAATCACTGTTTGTATACATGTAGGTCAAAACTATCTTGCTTTGGGACATAGTTTTTCAGACATCAACCTCTACACATGACTTCGTAGATGCTCTGTGTTCCATGCCAAACCTGACTGAACTGAGACTACGGGGAAAGGATTTCCAGGAGGAGTTCTTTTCTACACTGAAAGCAAAGGCGCCAACCTTACAGGTATGTATGTGTGTTTATACTCGATATCCATTCCATCATGGATGAATGGACACATGTAGCAGTGGAGATAGGTTTAAGGAGTAATGATATATATTAACAGTAAAAAATAAAATAAACCAAAGGTTTATTTCATATAAAGGATTTTGATTTTTGTTGTAGACTAACTGGAGGTGTTTAATTAAACACCTTTACGGAAGGGGAGTGCAGTAACTGAATGTGTATGGTTAACACTGCACCAAAAATCAGATGTAACCCTAACACTCTTAGCTCAAGTAGTAATTAAATGCCCTACGGCTGTAATTGTCAGTCTTCGTGTTGTCGGACACATGCTCCGTCAACCATTTGAATTCAAATTCTTAACTTTAATTCTGCACCAAAGAGTATACCTATCACTAAACTCAGCTCAAACCTATGTGCAACTCGTTTTCAAATCCTATATATTTGACTAAATAAAGCCCAGATCATATCACCTGAGCATAGCCCTAGATATACATATCGGAGCATCCAGTTATATTTGCAGTCATTCAATTAAAACATGTTCTCTCTGGTAATGATCTTGTATGAATCACTGTTTGTATACATGTAGGTCAAAACTATCGAGCTTTGGGAAGTAATTTTTCCAACATCAACCTCTACACGTCACTTCGTAGATGCTCTGTGTTCCATGCCAAACCTGACTGAACTTAGACTACGGGGAAAGGATTTCCAGGAGGAGTTCTATTCTTCACTGAGTGCAAAGGCGTCAACCTTACAGGTATGTATGTGTGTTTGTACTCGATATCCATTCCATCATGAATGAATGGACACATGTAGCAGTGGAGATTGGTTTAAAGAGTTATGAAATGTTAACAGTCAATAGTTGTACCATGTGTGTAATGAATTATATTGGAATATATACAATAGTCTTAGCAGACAAAGGAAATTTGTATAAAGAGGGTTTTTCATGTGCAGTGTATAATACAGAATTCATAAAGCTCGAGTTGAAAATATGGTGTTCTCTATATAAAAAAAATAAACCAAAGGTTTATTTCAGATAAAGGATTTTGATTTTTGTTGTAGACTAACTGGAGGTGTTTAATTAAACACCTTTACGGAAGGGGAGTGCAGTAACTGAATGTGTATGGTTAACACTGCACCAACAATCAGATGTAACCCTAACACTCTTAGCTCAAGTAGTAATTAAATGCCCTACGGCTGTAATTGTCGGTCCTCGTGTTGTCGGACACATGCTCCGTCAACCATTTGAATTCAAATTCTTAACTTTAATTCTGCACCAAAGAGTATACCTATCACTAAACGTAAGCTCAAACCTATGTGCAGCTCGTATCCAAATCCTATATATTTGACTAAAAGAAGCCCAGAGCATTTGTCACCAGAGCATATACAGCCATGTATATTGGAGCACCCAGTTTTATTCCCAGCTATTTAATTAAAACATGTACTCTGGTAATGATCTTGTATGAATCACTGTTTGTATACATGTAGGTCAAAACTATCTTGCTTTGGGACATAGTTTTTCCGACATCAACCTCTACACATGACTTCGTAGATGCTCTGTGTTCCATGCCAAACCTGACTGAACTGAGACTACGGGGAAAGGATTTCCAGGAGGAGTTCTTTTCTACACTGAAAGCAAAGGCGCCAACCTTACAGGTATGTATGTGTGTTTATACTCGATATCCATTCCATCATGGATGAATGGACACATGTAGCAGTGGAGATAGGTTTAAGGAGTAATGATATATATTAACAGTAAAAAATAAAATAAACCAAAGGTTTATTTCATATAAAGGATTTTGATTTTTGTTGTAGACTAACTGGAGGTGTTTAATTAAACACCTTTATTGAAGGGGAGTGCAGTAACTGAATGTGTATGGTTAACACTGCACCAACAATCAGATGTAACCCTAACACTCTTAGCTCAAGTAGTAATTAAATGCCCTACGGCTGTAATTGTCGGTCTTCGTGTTGTCGGACACATGCTCCGTCAACCATTTGAATTCAAATTCTTAACTTTAATTCTGCACCAAAGAGTATACCTATCACTAAACTCAGCTCAAACCTATGTGCAACTCGTTTTCAAATCCTATATATTTGACTAAATAAAGCCCAGATCATATCACCTGAGCATAGCCCTAGATATACATATCGGAGCATCCAGTTATATTTGCAGTCATTCAATTAAAACATGTTCTCTCTGGTAATGATCTTGTATGAATCACTGTTTGTATACATGTAGGTCAAAACTATCGAGCTTTGGGAAGTAATTTTTCCAACATCAACCTCTACACGTCACTTCGTAGATGCTCTGTGTTCCATGCCAAACCTGACTGAACTGAGACTACGGGGAAAGGATTTCCAGGAGGAGTTCTATTCTTCACTGAGTGCAAAGGCGTCAACCTTACAGGTATGTATGTGTGTTTGTACTCGATATCCATTCCATCATGAATGAATGGACACATGTAGCAGTGGAGATTGGTTTAAAGAGTTATGAAATGTTAACAGTCAATAGTTGTACCATGTGTGTAATGAATTATATTGGAATATATACAATAGTCTTAGCAGACAAAGGAAATTTGTATAAAGAGGGTTTTTCATGTGCAGTGTATAATACAGAATTCATAAAGCTCAAGTTGAAAATATGGTGTTCTCTATATAAAAAAAATAAACCAAAGGTTTATTTCAGATAAAGGATTTTGATTTTTGTTGTAGACTAACTGGAGGTGTTTAATTAAACACCTTTACGGAAGGGGAGTGCAGTAACTGAATGTGTATGGTTAACACTGCACCAAAAATCAGATGTAACCCTAACACTCTTAGCTCAAGTAGTAATTAAATGCCCTACGGCTGTAATTGTCGGTCTTCGTGTTGTCGGACACATGCTCCGTCAACCATTTGAATTCAAATTCTTAACTTCAATTCTGCACCAAAGAGTATATCTATCACTAAACTCAGCTCAAACCTATGTGCAACTCGTTTTCAAATCCTATATATTTGACTAAAAGAAGCCCAGAGCATTTGTCACCAGAGCATATACAGCCATGTATATTGGAGCACCCAGTTTTATTCCCAGCTATTTAATTAAAACATGTACTCTGGTAATGATCTTGTATGAATCACTGTTTGTATACATGTAGGTCAAAACTATCTTGCATTGGGACATAGTTTTTCCGACATCAACCTCTACACATCACTTCGTAGATGCTCTGTGTTCCATGCCAAACCTGACTGAACTGAGACTACGGGGAAAGGATTTCCAGGAGGAGTTCTTTTCTACACTGAATGCAAAGGCGCCAACCTTACAGGTATGTATGTGTGTTTATACTCGATATCCATTCCATCATGGATGAATGGACACATGTAGCAGTGGAGATAGGTTTAAGGAGTAATGATATATATTAACAGTCAAAAAAAAAATAAACCCAAGGTTTATTTCAGATAAAGGATTTTGATTTTTGTTGTAGACTAACTGGAGGTGTTTAATTAAACACCTTTACGGAAGGGGAGTGCAGTAACTGAATGTGTATGGTTAACACTGCACCAAAAATCAGATGTAACCCTAACACTCTTAGCTCAAGTAGTAATTAAATGCCCTACGGCTGTAATTGTCGGTCTTCGTGTTGTCGGACACATGCTCCGTCAACCATTTGAATTCAAATTCTTAACTTTAATTCTGCACCAAAGAGTATACCTATCACTAAACGTAAGCTCAAACCTATGTGCAGCTCGTATCCAAATCCTATATGTTTGACTAAATAAAGCCCAGATCATATGTCACCTGAGCATAGCCCTAGATATACATATCGGAGCATCCAGTTATATTTGCAGTCATTCAATTAAAACATGTTCTCTCTGGTAATGATCTTGTATGAATCACTGTTTGTATACATGTAGGTCAAAACTATTGAGCTTTGGGAAGTAATTTTTCCGACATCAACCTCTACACGTCACTTCGTAGATGCTCTGTGTTCCATGCCAAACCTGACTGAACTGAGACTACGGGCAAAGGATTTCCAGGAGGAGTTCTATTCTTCACTGAGTGCAAAGGCGTCAACCTTACAGGTATGTATGTGTGTTTGTACTCGATATTCATTCCATCATGAATGAATGGACACATGTAGCAGTGGAGATTGGTTTAAGGAGTTATTATATGTTAACAGTCAATAGCTGTACCATGTGTGTAATGAATTATATTGGAATATATACAATAGTCTTAGCAGACAAAGGAAATTTGTATAAAGAGGGTTTTTCATGTGCAGTGTATAATACAGAATTCATAAAGCTCGAGTTGAAAATATGGTGTTCTCTATATAAAAAAACTAAACCAAAGGTTTATTTCAGATAAAGGATTTTGATTTTTGTTGTAGACTAACTGGAGGTGTTTAATTAAACACCTTTACGGAAGGGGAGTGCAGTAACTGAATGTGTATGGTTAACACTGCACCAAAAATCAGATGTAACCCTAACACTCTTAGCTCAAGTAGTAATTAAATGCCCTACGGCTGTAATTGTCGGTCTTCGTGTTGTCGGACAAATGCTCCGTCAACCATTTGAATTCAAATTCTTAACTTTAATTCTGCACCAAAGAGTATACCTATCCCTAAACGTAAGCTCAAACCTATGTGCAGCTCGTATCCAAATCCTATATATTTGACTAAATAAAGCCCAGATCATTTGTCACATGAGCATAGCCATAGATATACATGTATATCGGAGCATCCAATTATATTTGCAGTCATTCAATCAAAACATGTTCTCTCTGGTAATGATCTTGTATGAATCACTGTTTGTATACATGTAGGTCAAAACTATCGAGCTTTGGGAAGTAATTTTTCCGACATCAACCTCTACACGTCACTTCGTAGATGCTCTGTGTTCCATGCCAAACTTGACTGAACTGAGACTACGGGGAAAGGAATTCCAGGAGGAGTTCTATTCTTCACTGAGTGCAAAGGCGTCAACCTTACAGGTATGTATGTGTGTTTGTACTCGATATCCATTCCATCATGAATGAATAGACACGTGTAGCAGTGGAGATGGGTTTAAGGAGTTATGATATGTTAACAGTCAATAGTTGTACCATATGTGTAATGAATTATATTGGAATATATAAAATAGTCTTAGCAGACAAAGGAAATTTGTATAAAGAGGGTTTTTTATGTGCAGTGTATAATACAGAATTCATATAGCTCGAGTTGAAAATATGGTGTTCTCTATATAAAAAAAATAAACCAAAGGTTTATTTCAGATAAAGGATTTTGATATTTGTTGTAGACTAACTGGAGGTGTTTAATTAAACACCTTTACGGGAGGGGAGTGCAGTAACTGAATGTGTATGGTTAACACTGCACCAAAAATCAGATGTAACCCTAACACTCTTAGCTCAAGTAGTAATTAAATTCCCTACGGATGTAATTGTCGGTCTTCGTGTTGTCGGACACATGCTCCGTCAACCATTTGAATTCAAATTCTTAACTTTAATTCTGCACCAAAGAGTATACCTATCACTAAACGTAAGCTCAAACCTATGTGCAGCTCGTATCCAAATCCTATATATTTGACTAAATAAAGCCCAGATCATTTGTCACATGAGCATAGCCATAGATATATACATGTATATCGGAGCATCCAATTATATTTGCAGTCATTCAATCAAAACATGTTCTCTCTGGTAATGATCTTGTATGAATCACTGTTTGTATACATGTAGGTCAAAACTATCTTGCTTTGGGACATAGTTTTTCCGACATCAACCTCTACACATCACTTCGTAGATGCTCTGTGTTCCATGCCAAACCTGACTGAACTGAGACTACGGGGAAAGGATTTCCAGGAGGAGTTCTTTTCTACACTGAATGCAAAGGCGCCAACCTTACAGGTATATATGTGTGTTTATACTCGATATCCATTCCATCATGGATGAATGGACACATGTAGCAGTGGAGATAGGTTTAAGGAGTAATGATATATATTAACAGTGAAAAAAAAAATAAACCAAAGGTTCATTTCAGATAAAGGATTTTGATTTTTGTTGTAGACTAACTGGAGGAGTTTAATTAAACACCTTTACGGAAGGGGAGTGCAGTAACTGAATTTTTATGGTTAACACTGCACCAAAAATCAGATGTAACCCTAACACTCTTAGCTCAAGTAGTAATTAAATGCCCTACGGCTGTATTTGTCAGTCTTCGTGTTGTCGGACACATGCTCCGTCAACCATTTGAATTCAAATTCTTAACTTTAATTCTGCACCAAAGAGTATACCTATCACTAAACGTAAGCTCAAACCTATATGCAGCTCGTATCCAAATCCTATATATTTGACTAAAAGAAGCCCAGAGCATTTGTCACCAGAGCATATACAGCCATGTATATTGGAGCACCCAGTTTTATTCCCAGCTATTTAATTAAAACATGTACTCTGGTAATGATCTTGTATGAATCACTGTTTGTATACATGTAGGTCAAAACTATCTTGCTTTGGGACATAGTTTTTCCGACATCAACCTCTACACATCACTTCGTAGATGCTCTGTGTTCCATGCCAAACCTGACTGAACTGAGACTACGGGGAAAGGATTTCCAGGAGGAGTTCTTTTCTACACTGAATGCAAAGGCGCCAACCTTACAGGTATATATGTGTGTTTATACTCGATATCCATTCCATGATGGATGAATGGACACATGTAGCAGTGGAGATAGGTTTAAGGAGTAATGATATATATTAACAGTGAAAAAAAAAATAAACCAAAGGTTCATTTCAGATAAAGGATTTTGATTTTTGTTGTAGACTAACTGGAGGTGTTTAATTAAACACCTTTACGGAAGGGGAGTGCAGTAACTGAATGTGTATGATTAACACTGCACCAAAAATCAGATGTAACCCTAACATTCTTAGCTCAAGTAGTAATTAAATGCCCTACGGCTGTAATTGTCGGTCCTCGTGTTGTCGGACACATGCTCCGTCAACCATTTGAATTCAAATTCTTAACTTTAATTCTGCACCAAAGAGTATACCTATCACTAAACGTAGGCTCAAACCTATGTGCAGCTCGTATCCAAATCCAAATCCTATATATTTGACTAAATAAAGCCCAGATCATATCACCTGAGCATAGCCCTAGATATACATATCGGAGCATCCAGTTATATTTGCAGTCATTCAATTAAAACATGTTCTCTCTGGTAATGATCTTGTATGAATCACTGTTTGTATCCATTTAGGTCAAAACTATCGAGCTTTGGGAAGTAATTTTTCCGACATCAACCTCTACACGTCACTTCGTAGATGCTCTGTGTTCCATGCCAAACCTGACTGAACTGAGACTACGGGCAAAGGATTTCCAGGAGGAGTTCTATTCTTCACTGAGTGCAAAGGCGTCAACCTTACAGGTATGTATGTGTGTTTGTACTCGATATCCATTCCATCATGAATGAATGGACACATGCAGCAGTGGAGATTGGTTTAAGGAGTTATGATATGTTAACAGTCAATAGTTGTACCATGTGTGTAATGAATTATATTGGAATATATACAATAGTCTTAGCAGACAAAGGAAATTTGTATAAAGAGGGTTTTTCATGTGCAGTGTATAATACAGAATTCATATAGCTCGAGTTGAAAATATGATGTTCTCTATATAAAAAAAAATAAACAAAGGTTTATTTCAGATAAAGGATTTTGATTTTTGTTGTAGACTAAACGGAGGTGTTTAATTAAACACCTTTACGGAAGGGGAGTGCAGTAACTGAATGTGTATGGTTAACACTGCACCAAAAATCAGATGTAACCCTAACACTCTTAGCTCAAGTAGTAATTAAATGCCCTACGGCTGTATTTGTCAGTCTTCGTGTTGTCGGACACATGCTCCGTCAACCATTTGAATTCAAATTCTTAACTTTAATTCTGCACCAAAGAGTATACCTATCACTAAACGTAAGCTCAAACCTATGTGCAACTCGTATCCAAATCCTATATATTTGACTAAAAGAAGCCCAGAGCATTTGTCACCAGAGCATATACAGCCATGTATATTGGAGCACCCAGTTTTATTCCCAGCTATTTAATTAAAACATGTACTCTGGTAATGATCTTGTATGAATCACTGTTTGTATACATGTAGGTCAAAACTATCTTGCTTTGGGACATAGTTTTTCCGACATCAACCTCTACACATCACTTCGTAGATGCTCTGTGTTCCATGCCAAACCTGACTGAACTGAGACTACGGGGAAAGGATTTCCAGGAGGAGTTCTTTTCTACACTGAATGCAAAGGCGCCAACCTTACAGGTATATATGTGTGTTTATACTCGATATCCATTCCATCATGGATGAATGGACACATGTAGCAGTGGAGATAGGTTTAAGGAGTAATGATATATATTAACAGTAAAAAAAAAAATAAACCAAAGGTTTATTTCATATAAAGGATTTTGATTTTTGTTGTAGACTAACTGGAGGTGTTTAATTAAACACCTTTACGGAAGGGGAGTGCAGTAACTGAATGTGTATGATTAACACTGCACCAAAAATCAGATGTAACCCTAACACTCTTAGCTCAAGTAGTAATTAAATGCCCTACGGCTGTAATTGTCGGTCCTCGTGTTGTCGGACACATGCTCCGTCAACCATTTGAATTCAAATTCTTAACTTTAATTCTGCACCAAAGAGTATACCTATCACTAAACGTAAGCTCAAACCTATGTGCAGCTCCTTATACTTTTATATTGTTGTTTTGTTGTATTCTGTATTTTTTCTATTATTAAGCTATGTTTGTATTCTTTATTATGTATCATTATCATGACATGTACATGTGTTGTACTCTCATACCCCAGAAGGGGGTCGAATGAGTCAATAAATTCTATTCTATTCTATTCTATTCTATCCAAATCCAAATCCTATATATTTGACTAAATGAAGCCCAGATCATATCACCTGAGCATAGCCCTAGAGCGCGTTTATCTAGGCTTGCCACTAGATATGTACATATCGTACCCCACTATCGAACCCCACTATCATACCCCACTATACGATCGTGATTTGCGGGATGTCGCGTTTATCTACTCTTCACGATTCAAAATAAAGGCCTTGTGTCTGCCCAGCTGTTTTGACCCGGGAAGCAGACAGTTTCTCGGAGGTCAAATTCACACACATGCTTGTACACAACACCTGTGTGGTCCTATTTGTATGTGACGTTCAAAACAGCTTTGCGTTTATCGACCTCTCAGAAACGTGATTCTGGCTGTATGTCACATACAAAACGCACCTTTTTGCGTCTTTTGATATGCCCATATCTAAAGACGTTTGAAAAAGGCTTTGCGTTTATCTACTTCTAAATTTGCCTGAAAGACGTTTGAGAAACCTGATTCTAGCCAAAAATTTCCTAGATAAACGCAACCCTAGATATACATATCGGAGCATCCAGTTATATTTGCAGTCATTCATTTAAAACATGTTCTCTCTGGTAATGATCTTGTATGAATCACTGTTTGTATACATGTAGGTCAAAACTATCGAGCTTTGGGAAGTAATTTTTCCGACATCAACCTCTACACGTCACTTCGTAGATGCTCTGTGTTCCATGCCAAACCTGACTGAACTGAGACTACGGGGAAAGGATTTCCAGGAGGAGTTCTATTCTTCACTGAGTGCAAAGGCGTCAACCTTACAGGTATGTATGTGTGTTTGTACTCGATATCCATTCCATCATGAATGAATGGACACATGTAGCAGTGGAGATTGGTTTAAGGAGTTATGATATGTTAACAGTCAATAGTTGTACCATGTGTGTAATGAATTATATTGGAATATATACAATAGTCTTAGCAGACAAAGGAAATTTGTATAAAGAGGGTTTTTCATGTGCAGTGTATAATACAGAATTCATAAAGCTCGAGTTGAAAATATGGTGTTCTCTATATAAAAAAAATAAACCAAAGGTTTATTTCAGATAAAGGATTTTGATTTTTGTTGTAGACTAACTGGAGGTGTTTAATTAAACACCTTTACGGAAGGGGAGTGCAGTAACTGAATGTGTATGGTTAACACTGCACCAAAAATCAGATGTAACCCTAACACTCTTAGCTCAAGTAGTAATTAAATGCCCTACGGCTGTAATTGTCGGTCTTCGTGTTGTCGGACACATCCTCCGTCAACCATTTGAATTCAAATTCTTAACTTTAATTCTGCACCAAAGAGTATACCTATCACTAAACGTAAGCTCAAACCTATGTGCAGCTCGTGTCCAAATCCTATATATTTGACTAAAAGAAGCCCAGAGCATTTGTCACCAGAGCATATACAGCCATGTATATTGGAGCACCCAGTTTTATTCCCAGCTATTTAATTAAAACATGTACTCTGGTAATGATCTTGTATGAATCACTGTTTGTATACATGTAGGTCAAAACTATCTTGCTTTGGGACATAGTTTTTCCGACATCAACCTCTACACATCACTTCGTAGATGCTCTGTGTTCCATGCCAAACCTGACTGAACTGAGACTACGGGCAAAGGATTTCCAGGAGGAGTTCTTTTCTACACTGAATGCAAAGGCGCCAACCTTACAGGTACATATGTATGTATGTGTGTTTATACTCGGTATCCATTCCATCATGGATGAATGGACACATGTAGCAGTGGAGATAGGTTTAAGGATTAATGATATATATTAACAGTAAAAAAAAAAATAAACCAAAGGTTTATTTCATATAAAGGATTTTGATTTTTGTTGTAGACTAACTGGAGGTGTTTAATTAAACACCTTTACGGAAGGGGAGTGCAGTAACTGAATGTGTATGATTAACACTGCACCAAAAATCAGATGTAACCCTAACACTCTTAGCTCAAGTAGTAATTAAATGCCCTACGGCTGTAATTGTCGGTCCTCGTGTTGTTGGACACATGCTCCGTCAACCATTTGAATTCAAATTCTTAACTTTAATTCTGCACCAAAGAGTATACCTATCACTAAACGTAAGCTCAAACCTATGTGCAGCTCGTTATACTTTTATATTGTTGTTTTGTTGTATTCTGTATTTTTTCTATTATTAAGCTATGTTTGTATTCTTTATTATGTATCATTATCATGACATGTACATGTGTTGTACTCTCATACCCCAGAAGGGGGTCGAATGAGTCAATAAATTCTATTCTATTCTATTCTATTCTATCCAAATCCAAATCCTATATATTTGACTAAATGAAGCCCAGATCATATCACCTGAGCATAGCCCTAGATATACATATCGGAGCATCCAGTTATATTTGCAGTCATTCATTTAAAACATGTTCTCTCTGGTAATGATCTTGTATGAATCACTGTTTGTATACATGTAGGTCAAAACTATCGAGCTTTGGGAAGTAATTTTTCCGACATCAACCTCTACACGTCACTTCGTAGATGCTCTGTGTTCCATGCCAAACCTGACTGAACTGAGACTACGGGGAAAGGATTTCCAGGAGGAGTTCTATTCTTCACTGAGTGCAAAGGCGTCAACCTTACAGGTATGTATGTGTGTTTGTACTCGATATCCATTCCATCATGAATGAATGGACACATGTAGCAGTGGAGATTGGTTTAAGGAGTTATGATATGTTAACAGTCAATAGTTGTACCATGTGTGTAATGAATTATATTGGAATATATACAATAGTCTTAGCAGACAAAGGAAATTTGTATAAAGAGGGTTTTTCATGTGCAGTGTATAATACAGAATTCATAAAGCTCGAGTTGAAAATATGGTGTTCTCTATATAAAAAAACTAAACCAAAGGTTTATTTCAGATAAAGGATTTTGATTTTTGTTGTAGACTAACTGGAGGTGTTTAATTAAACACCTTTACGGAAGGGGAGTGCAGTAACTGAATGTGTATGGTTAACACTGCACCAAAATCAGATGTAACCCTAACACTCTTAGCTCAAGTAGTAATTAAATGCCCTACGGCTGTAATTGTCGGTCCTCGTGTTGTCGGACACATGCTCCGTCAACCATTTGAATTCAAATTCTTAACTTTAATTCTGCACCAAAGAGTATACCTATCACTAAACGTAAGCTCAAACCTATGTGCAGCTCGTTATACTTTTATATTGTTGTTTTGTTGTATTCTGTATTTTTTCTATTATTAAGCTATGTTTGTATTCTTTATTATGTATCATTATCATGACATGTACATGTGTTGTACTCTCATACCCCAGAAGGGGGTCGAATGAGTCAATAAATTCTATTCTATTCTATTCTATTCTATCCAAATCCAAATCCTATATATTTGACTAAATGAAGCCCAGATCATATCACCTGAGCATAGCCCTAGATATACATATCGGAGCATCCAGTTATATTTGCAGTCATTCATTTAAAACATGTTCTCTCTGGTAATGATCTTGTATGAATCACTGTTTGTATACATGTAGGTCAAAACTATCGAGCTTTGGGAAGTAATTTTTCCGACATCAACCTCTACACCTCACTTCGTAGATGCTCTGTGTTCCATGCCAAACCTGACTGAACTGAGACTACGGGGAAAGGATTTCCAGGAGGAGTTCTATTCTTCACTGAGTGCAAAGGCGTCAACCTTACAGGTATGTATGTGTGTTTGTACTCGATATCCATTCCATCATGAATGAATGGACACATGTAGCAGTGGAGATTGGTTTAAGGAGTTATGATATGTTAACAGTCAATAGTTGTACCATGTGTGTAATGAATTATATTGGAATATATACAATAGTCTTAGCAGACAAAGGAAATTTGTATAAAGAGGGTTTTTCATGTGCAGTGTATAATACAGAATTCATAAAGCTCGAGTTGAAAATATGGTGTTCTCTATATAAAAAAAATAAACCAAAGGTTTATTTCAGATAAAGGATTTTGATTTTTGTTGTAGACTAACTGGAGGTGTTTAATTAAACACCTTTACGGAAGGGGAGTGCAGTAACTGAATGTGTATGGTTAACACTGCACCAAAAATCAGATGTAACCCTAACACTCTTAGCTCAAGTAGTAATTAAATGCCCTACGGCTGTAATTGTCGGTCTTCGTGTTGTCGGACACATCCTCCGTCAACCATTTGAATTCAAATTCTTAACTTTAATTCTGCACCAAAGAGTATACCTATCACTAAACGTAAGCTCAAACCTATGTGCAGCTCGTGTCCAAATCCTATATATTTGACTAAAAGAAGCCCAGAGCATTTGTCACCAGAGCATATACAGCCATGTATATTGGAGCACCCAGTTTTATTCCCAGCTATTTAATTAAAACATGTACTCTGGTAATGATCTTGTATGAATCACTGTTTGTATACATGTAGGTCAAAACTATCTTGCTTTGGGACATAGTTTTTCCGACATCAACCTCTACACATCACTTCGTAGATGCTCTGTGTTCCATGCCAAACCTGACTGAACTGAGACTACGGGCAAAGGATTTCCAGGAGGAGTTCTTTTCTACACTGAATGCAAAGGCGCCAACCTTACAGGTATGTATGTGTGTTTATACTCGGTATCCATTCCATCATGGATGAATGGACACATGTAGCAGTGGAGATAGGTTTAAGGAGTAATGATATATATTAACAGTCAAAAAAAAAATAAACCAAAGGTTTATTTCAGATAAAGGATTTTGATTTTTGTTGTAGACTAACTGGAGGTGTTTAATTAAACACCTTTACGGAAGGGGAGTGCAGTAACTGAATGTGTATGGTTAACACTGCACCAAAAATCAGATGTAACCCTAACACTCTTAGCTCAAGTAGTAATTAAATGCCCTACGGCTGTAATTGTCGGTCCTCGTGTTGTCGGACACATGCTCCGTCAACCATTTGAATTCAAATTCTTAACTTTAATTCTGCACCAAAGAGTATACCTATCACTAAACGTAAGCTCAAACCTATGTGCAGCTCGTATCCAAATCCTATATGTTTGACTAAATAAAGCCCAGATCATATGTCACCTGAGCATAGCCCTAGATATACATATCGCGGAGCATCCAGTTATATTTGCAGTCATTCAATTAAAACATGTTCTCTCTGGTAATGATCTTGTATGAATCACTGTTTGTATACATGTAGGTCAAAACTATCGAGCTTTGGGAAGTAATTTTTCCGACATCAACCTCTACACGTCACTTCGTAGATGCTCTGTGTTCCATGCCAAACCTGACTGAACTGAGACTACGGGGAAAGGATTTCCAGGAGGAGTTCTATTCTTCACTGAGTGCAAAGGCGTCAACCTTACAGGTATGTATGTGTGTTTGTACTCGATATCCATTCCATCATGAATGAATGGACACATGTAGCAGTGGAGATTGGTTTAAGGAGTTATGATATGTTAACAGTCAATAGTTGTACCATGTGTGTAATGAATTATATTGGAATATATACAATAGTCTTAGCAGACAAAGGAAATTTGTATAAAGAGGGTTTTTCATGTGCAGTGTATAATACAGAATTCATAAAGCTCGAGTTGAAAATATGGTGTTCTCTATATAAAAAAAATAAACCAAAGGTTTATTTCAGATAAAGGATTTTGATTTTTGTTGTAGACTAACTGGAGGTGTTTAATTAAACACCTTTACGGAAGGGGAGTGCAGTAACTGAATGTGTATGATTAACACTGCACCAAAAATCAGATGTAACCCTAACACTCTTAGCTCAAGTAGTAATTAAATGCCCTACGGCTGTAATTGTCGGTCTTCGTGTTGTCGGACACATCCTCCGTCAACCATTTGAATTCAAATTCTTAACTTTAATTCTGCACCAAAGAGTATACCTATCACTAAACGTAAGCTCAAACCTATGTGCAGCTCGTGTCCAAATCCTATATATTTGACTAAAAGAAGCCCAGAGCATTTGTCACCAGAGCATATACAGCCATGTATATTGGAGCACCCAGTTTTATTCCCAGCTATTTAATTAAAACATGTACTCTGGTAATGATCTTGTATGAATCACTGTTTGTATACATGTAGGTCAAAACTATCTTGCTTTGGGACATAGTTTTTCCGACATCAACCTCTACACATCACTTCGTAGATGCTCTGTGTTCCATGCCAAACCTGACTGAACTGAGACTACGGGCAAAGGATTTCCAGGAGGAGTTCTTTTCTACACTGAATGCAAAGGCGCCAACCTTACAGGTACATATGTATGTATGTGTGTTTATACTCGGTATCCATTCCATCATGGATGAATGGACACATGTAGCAGTGGAGATAGGTTTAAGGATTAATGATATATATTAACAGTAAAAAAAAAAATAAACCAAAGGTTTATTTCATATAAAGGATTTTGATTTTTGTTGTAGACTAACTGGAGGTGTTTAATTAAACACCTTTACGGAAGGGGAGTGCAGTAACTGAATGTGTATGATTAACACTGCACCAAAAATCAGATGTAACCCTAACACTCTTAGCTCAAGTAGTAATTAAATGCCCTACGGCTGTAATTGTCGGTCCTCGTGTTGTTGGACACATGCTCCGTCAACCATTTGAATTCAAATTCTTAACTTTAATTCTGCACCAAAGAGTATACCTATCACTAAACGTAAGCTCAAACCTATGTGCAGCTCGTTATACTTTTATATTGTTGTTTTGTTGTATTCTGTATTTTTTCTATTATTAAGCTATGTTTGTATTCTTTATTATGTATCATTATCATGACATGTACATGTGTTGTACTCTCATACCCCAGAAGGGGGTCGAATGAGTCAATAAATTCTATTCTATTCTATTCTATTCTATCCAAATCCAAATCCTATATATTTGACTAAATGAAGCCCAGATCATATCACCTGAGCATAGCCCTAGATATACATATCGGAGCATCCAGTTATATTTGCAGTCATTCATTTAAAACATGTTCTCTCTGGTAATGATCTTGTATGAATCACTGTTTGTATACATGTAGGTCAAAACTATCGAGCTTTGGGAAGTAATTTTTCCGACATCAACCTCTACACGTCACTTCGTAGATGCTCTGTGTTCCATGCCAAACCTGACTGAACTGAGACTACGGGGAAAGGATTTCCAGGAGGAGTTCTATTCTTCACTGAGTGCAAAGGCGTCAACCTTACAGGTATGTATGTGTGTTTGTACTCGATATCCATTCCATCATGAATGAATGGACACATGTAGCAGTGGAGATTGGTTTAAGGAGTTATGATATGTTAACAGTCAATAGTTGTACCATGTGTGTAATGAATTATATTGGAATATATACAATAGTCTTAGCAGACAAAGGAAATTTGTATAAAGAGGGTTTTTCATGTGCAGTGTATAATACAGAATTCATAAAGCTCGAGTTGAAAATATGGTGTTCTCTATATAAAAAAACTAAACCAAAGGTTTATTTCAGATAAAGGATTTTGATTTTTGTTGTAGACTAACTGGAGGTGTTTAATTAAACACCTTTACGGAAGGGGAGTGCAGTAACTGAATGTGTATGGTTAACACTGCACCAAAAATCAGATGTAACCCTAACACTCTTAGCTCAAGTAGTAATTAAATGCCCTACGGCTGTAATTGTCGGTCCTCGTGTTGTCGGACACATGCTCCGTCAACCATTTGAATTCAAATTCTTAACTTTAATTCTGCACCAAAGAGTATACCTATCACTAAACGTAAGCTCAAACCTATGTGCAGCTCGTTATACTTTTATATTGTTGTTTTGTTGTATTCTGTATTTTTTCTATTATTAAGCTATGTTTGTATTCTTTATTATGTATCATTATCATGACATGTACATGTGTTGTACTCTCATACCCCAGAAGGGGGTCGAATGAGTCAATAAATTCTATTCTATTCTATTCTATTCTATCCAAATCCAAATCCTATATATTTGACTAAATGAAGCCCAGATCATATCACCTGAGCATAGCCCTAGATATACATATCGGAGCATCCAGTTATATTTGCAGTCATTCATTTAAAACATGTTCTCTCTGGTAATGATCTTGTATGAATCACTGTTTGTATACATGTAGGTCAAAACTATCGAGCTTTGGGAAGTAATTTTTCCGACATCAACCTCTACACCTCACTTCGTAGATGCTCTGTGTTCCATGCCAAACCTGACTGAACTGAGACTACGGGGAAAGGATTTCCAGGAGGAGTTCTATTCTTCACTGAGTGCAAAGGCGTCAACCTTACAGGTATGTATGTGTGTTTGTACTCGATATCCATTCCATCATGAATGAATGGACACATGTAGCAGTGGAGATTGGTTTAAGGAGTTATGATATGTTAACAGTCAATAGTTGTACCATGTGTGTAATGAATTATATTGGAATATATACAATAGTCTTAGCAGACAAAGGAAATTTGTATAAAGAGGGTTTTTCATGTGCAGTGTATAATACAGAATTCATAAAGCTCGAGTTGAAAATATGGTGTTCTCTATATAAAAAAAATAAACCAAAGGTTTATTTCAGATAAAGGATTTTGATTTTTGTTGTAGACTAACTGGAGGTGTTTAATTAAACACCTTTACGGAAGGGGAGTGCAGTAACTGAATGTGTATGGTTAACACTGCACCAAAAATCAGATGTAACCCTAACACTCTTAGCTCAAGTAGTAATTAAATGCCCTACGGCTGTAATTGTCGGTCTTCGTGTTGTCGGACACATCCTCCGTCAACCATTTGAATTCAAATTCTTAACTTTAATTCTGCACCAAAGAGTATACCTATCACTAAACGTAAGCTCAAACCTATGTGCAGCTCGTGTCCAAATCCTATATATTTGACTAAAAGAAGCCCAGAGCATTTGTCACCAGAGCATATACAGCCATGTATATTGGAGCACCCAGTTTTATTCCCAGCTATTTAATTAAAACATGTACTCTGGTAATGATCTTGTATGAATCACTGTTTGTATACATGTAGGTCAAAACTATCTTGCTTTGGGACATAGTTTTTCCGACATCAACCTCTACACATCACTTCGTAGATGCTCTGTGTTCCATGCCAAACCTGACTGAACTGAGACTACGGGCAAAGGATTTCCAGGAGGAGTTCTTTTCTACACTGAATGCAAAGGCGCCAACCTTACAGGTATGTATGTGTGTTTATACTCGGTATCCATTCCATCATGGATGAATGGACACATGTAGCAGTGGAGATAGGTTTAAGGAGTAATGATATATATTAACAGTCAAAAAAAAAATAAACCAAAGGTTTATTTCAGATAAAGGATTTTGATTTTTGTTGTAGACTAACTGGAGGTGTTTAATTAAACACCTTTACGGAAGGGGAGTGCAGTAACTGAATGTGTATGGTTAACACTGCACCAAAAATCAGATGTAACCCTAACACTCTTAGCTCAAGTAGTAATTAAATGCCCTACGGCTGTAATTGTCGGTCCTCGTGTTGTCGGACACATGCTCCGTCAACCATTTGAATTCAAATTCTTAACTTTAATTCTGCACCAAAGAGTATACCTATCACTAAACGTAAGCTCAAACCTATGTGCAGCTCGTATCCAAATCCTATATGTTTGACTAAATAAAGCCCAGATCATATGTCACCTGAGCATAGCCCTAGATATACATATCGCGGAGCATCCAGTTATATTTGCAGTCATTCAATTAAAACATGTTCTCTCTGGTAATGATCTTGTATGAATCACTGTTTGTATACATGTAGGTCAAAACTATCGAGCTTTGGGAAGTAATTTTTCCGACATCAACCTCTACACGTCACTTCCTAGATGCTCTGTGTTCCATGCCAAACCTGACTGAACTGAGACTACGGGCAAAGGATTTCCAGGAGGAGTTCTATTCTTCACTGAGTGCAAAGGCGTCAACCTTACAGGTATGTATGTGTGTTTGTACTCGATATTCATTCCATCATGAATGAATGGACACATGCAGCAGTGGAGATTGGTTTAAGGAGTTATGATATGTTAACAGTCAATAGTTGTACCATGTGTGTAATGAATTATATTGGAATATATACAATAGTCTTAGCAGACAAAGGAAATTTGTATAAAGAGGGTTTTTCATGTGCAGTGTATAATACAGAATTCATAAAGCGCGAGTTGAAAATATGGTGTTCTCCATATAAAAAAAATAAACCAAAGGTTTATTTCAGATAAAGGATTTTGATTTTTGTTGTAGACTAACTGGAGGTGTTTAATTAAACACCTTTACGGAAGGGGAGTGCAGTAACTGAATGTGTATGGTTAACACTGCACCAAAAATCAGATGTAACCCTAACACTCTTAGCTCAAGTAGTAATTAAATGCCCTACGGCTGTAATTGTCGGTCTTCGTGTTGTCGGACACATGCTCCGTCAACCATTTGAATTCAAATTCTTAACTTTAATTCTGCACCAAAGAGTATACCTATCACTAAACGTAAGCTCAAACCTATCTGCAGCTCGTATCCAAATCCTATATATTTGACTAAATAAAGCCCAGATCATTTGTCACATGAGCATAGCCATAGATATACGTGTATATCGGAGCATCCAATTATATTTGCAGTCATTCAATCAAAACATGTTCTCTCTGGTAATGATCTTGTATGAATCACTGTTTGTATACATGTAGGTCAAAACTATCGAGCTTTGGGAAGTAATTTTTCCGACATCAACCTCTACACGTCACTTCGTAGATGCTCTGTGTTCCATGCCAAACCTGACTGAACTGAGACTACGGGCAAAGGATTTCCAGGAGGAGTTCTATTCTTCACTGAGTGCAAAGGCGTCAACCTTACAGGTATGTATGTGTGTTTGTACTCGATATTCATTCCATCATGAATGAATGGACACATGCAGCAGTGGAGATTGGTTTAAGGAGTTATGATATGTTAACAGTCAATAGTTGTACCATGTGTGTAATGAATTATATTGGAATATATACAATAGTCTTAGCAGACAAAGGAAATTTGTATAAAGAGGGTTTTTCATGTGCAGTGTATAATACAGAATTTATAAAGCTCGAGTTGAAAATATGGTGTTCTCTATATAAAAAAACTAAACCAAAGGTTTATTTCAGATAAAGGATTTTGATTTTTGTTGTAGACTAACTGGAGGTGTTTAATTAAACACCTTTACGGAAGGGGAGTGCAGTAACTGAATGTGTATGGTTAACACTGCACCAAAAATCAGATGTAACCCTAACACTCTTAGCTCAAGTAGTAATTAAATGCCCTACGGCTGTAATTGTCGGTCTTCGTGTTGTCGGACACATGCTCCGTCAACCATTTGAATTCAAATTCTTAACTTTAATTCTGCACCAAAGAGTATACCTATCACTAAACGTAAGCTCAAACCTATCTGCAGCTCGTATCCAAATCCTATATATTTGACTAAATAAAGCCCAGATCATTTGTCACATGAGCATAGCCATAGATATACGTGTATATCGGAGCATCCAATTATATTTGCAGTCATTCAATCAAAACATGTTCTCTCTGGTAATGATCTTGTATGAATCACTGTTTGTATACATGTAGGTCAAAACTATCGAGCTTTGGGAAGTAATTTTTCCGACATCAACCTCTACACGTCACTTCGTAGATGCTCTGTGTTCCATGCCAAACCTGACTGAACTGAGACTACGGGCAAAGGATTTCCAGGAAGAGTTCTATTCTTCACTGAGTGCAAAGGCGTCAACCTTACAGGTATGTATGTGTGTTTGTACTCGAAATCCATTCCATCATGAATGAATGGACACATGTAGCAGTGGAGATTGGTTTAAGGAGATATGATATGTTAACAGTCAATAGTTGTACCATGTGTGTAATGAATTATATTGGAATATATACAATAGTCTTAGCAGACAAAGGAAATTTGTATAAAGAGGGTTTTTCATGTGCAGTGTATAATACAGAATTCATAAAGCGCGAGTTGAAAATATGGTGTTCTCCATATAAAAAAAATAAACCAAAGGTTTATTTCAGATAAAGGATTTTGATTTTTGTTGTAGACTAACTGGAGGTGTTTAATTAAACACCTTTACGGAAGGGGAGTGCAGTAACTGAATGTGTATGGTTAACACTGCACCAAAAATCAGATGTAACCCTAACACTCTTAGCTCAAGTAGTAATTAAATGCCCTACGGCTGTAATTGTCGGTCTTCGTGTTGTCGGACACATGCTCCGTCAACCATTTGAATTCAAATTCTTAACTTTAATTCTGCACCAAAGAGTATACCTATCACTAAACCCAGCTCAAACCTATGTGCAACTCGTATCCAAATCCTATATATTTGACTAAAAGAAGCCCAGAGCATTTGTCACCAGAGCATATACAGCCATGTATATTGGAGCACCCAGTTTTATTCCCAGCTATTTAATTTAAACATGTACTCTGGTAATGATCTTGTATGAATCACTGTTTGTATACATGTAGGTCAAAACTATCTTGCTTTGGGACATAGTTTTTCCGACATCAACCTCTACACATCACTTCGTAGATGCTCTGTGTTCCATGCCACACCTGACTGAACTGAGACTACGGGGAAAGGATTTCCAGGAGGAGTTATTTTCTACACTGAATGCAAAGGCGCCAACCTTACAGGTATGTATGTGTGTTTATACTCGATATCCATTCCATCATGAATGAATGGACACATGTAGCAGTGGAGATGGGTTTAAGGAGTTATGATATGTTAACAGTCAATAGTTGTACCATGTGTGTAATGAATTATATTGGAATATATACAATAGTCTTAGCAGACAAAGGAAATTTGTATAAAGAGGGTTTTTCATGTGCAGTGTATAATACAGAATTCATATAGCTCGAGTTGAAAATATGGTGTTCTCTATATAAAAAAAATAAACCAAAGGTTTATTTCAGATAAAGGATTTTGATTTTTGTTGTAGACCAACTGGAGGTGTTTAATTAAACACCTTTGCGGAAGGGGAGTGCAGTAACTGAATGTGTATGGTTAACACTGCACCAAAAATCAGATGTAACCCTAACACTCTTAGCTCAAGTAGTAATTAAATGCCCTACGGCTGTAATTGTCGGTCCTCGTGTTGTCGGACACATGCTCCGTCAACCATTTGAATTCAAATTCTTAACTTTAATTCTGCACCAAAGACTATACCTATCACTAAATGTAAGCTCAAACCTATGTGCAGCTCGTATCCAAATCCTATATATTTGACTAAATAAAGCCCAGATCATATGTCACCTGAGCATAGCCCTAGATATACATATCGGAGCATCCAGTTATATTTGCAGTCATTCAATTAAAACATGTTCTCTCTGGTAATGATCTTGTATGAATCACTGTTTGTATACCTGTAGGTCAAAACTATCGGGCTTTCGGAAGTAATTTTTCCGACATCAACCTCTACACATCACTTCGTAGATGCTCTGTGTTCCATGCCAAACCTGACTCAACTGGTACTACGGGGAAAGGATTTCCAGGAGGAGTTCTATTCTTCACTGAATGCAAAGGCGTCAACCTTACAGGTATGTATGTGTGTTTGTACTCGATATCCATTCCATCATGAATGAATGGACACATGTAGCAGTGGAGATGGGTTTAAGGAGTTATGATATGTTAACAGTCAATAGTTGTTCCATGTGTGTAATGAATTATATTGGAATATATACAATAGTCTTAGCAGACAAAGGAAATTTGTATAAAGAGGGTTTTTCATGTGCAGTGTATAATACAGAATTCATATAGCTCGAGTTGAAAATATGGTGTTCTCTATATAAAAAAACTAAACCAAAGGTTTATTTCAGATAAAGGATTTTGATTTTTGTTGTAGACTAATTGGAGGTGTTTAATTAAACACGTTTTGGGAAGGGGAGTGCTCTAACTGAATTTGTATGGTTAACACTGCACCAAAAACTAGATGTAACCCTAACACTCTTAACTCAAGTTTTAATTAAAAGCCCTATGGCTTTAATTGTCGGTCCTCGTGTTGTCAGACATATGCTCCATTAACCATTTGTTGTGCCTCCTATCCTGCACTAATCAAATTCTTAACTTTAATTCTGCACCAAAAAGTATACCTATCACTAAACCTTAGTTCAAACCTATGTGCAACTCGTATCCAAATCCTATATATTTGACTAAAAGAAGCCCAGAGCATTTGTCACCAGAGCATATACAACCATGTATATTGGAGCACCCAGTTTTATTCCCAGCTATTTAATTAAAACATGTACTCTGGTAATGATCTTGTATTAATCACTGTTTGTATACATGTAGGTCAAAACTATCTGGCTTCGTGAAGTAGTTTTTCCGACATCAACCTCTACACATCACTTCGTAGATGCTCTGTGTTCCATGCCAAACCTGACTGAACTGAGACTACGGGGAAAGGATTTCCAGGAGGAGTTCTTTTCTACACTGAATGCAAAGGCGCCAACCTTACAGGTATGTATGTTTGTTTATACTCGATATCCATTCCATCATGAATGAATGGACACATGCAGCAGTGGAGATTGGTTTAAGGAGTTATGATATGTTAACAGTCAATAGTTGTTCCATGTGTGTAATGAATTATATTGGAATATATACAATAGTCTTAGCAGACAAAGGAAATTTGTATAAAGAGGGTTTTTCATGTGCAGTGTATAATACAGAATTCATATAGCTCGAGTTGAAAATATGGTGTTCTCTATATAAAAAAACTAAACCAAAGGTTTATTTCAGATAAAGGATTTTGATTTTTGTTGTAGACTAACTGGAGGTGTTTAATTAAACACGTTTTGGGAAGGGGAGTGCTCTAACTGAATTTGTATGGTTAACACTGCACCAAAAACTAGATGTAACCCTAACACTCTTAACTCAAGTTTTAATTAAAAGCCCTACGGCTTTAATTGTCGGTCCTCGTGTTGTCAGACATATGCTCCATTAACCATTTGTTGTGCCTCCTATCCTGCACTAATCAAATTCTTAACTTTAATTCTGCACCAAAAAGTATACCTATCACTAAACCTTAGTTCAAACCTATGTGCAACTCGTATCCAAATCCTATATATTTGACTAAAAGAAGCCCAGAGCATTTGTCACCAGAGCATATACAGCCATGTATATTGGAGCACCCAGTTGTATTCCCAGCTATTTAATTAAAACATGTACTCTGGTAATGATCTTGTTTATAATCACTGTTTGTATACATGTAGGTCAAAACTATCTGGCTTCGGGAAGTAATTTTTCCGACATCAACCTCTACACATCACTTCGTAGATGCTCTGTGTTCCATGCCAAACTTGACTCAACTGAGACTACAGGGAAAGGATTTCCAGGAGGAGTTCTATTCTACACTGAATACAAAGGCTTCAACATTACAGGTATGTATGTGTGTCTGTTCTCGATACCCATTCCATGATGAATTAATGGACACATGTAGCAGTGGAGATGAGTTTAAGGAGTTATGATATTATAGCAACAGTCAATATTATGTTCAATGTGTGTAATGAATAATATTTAAATATATACAATAGTCTTAGCAGACAAAGGAAATCATTATGAAGAGGGTTTATCATGTGCAGTGTATATTACAGAATTCATATAGCTTGAGTTGAAAATATGATGAATTAAACCAAAGGTTTATTTCGGATAAGGGATTTTGATTTTTGTTGTAGACTAACGGGAGATGTTAAATTAAACACGTTTTTTCGGGAGGGAGTGTACTAACTGAATTCTTAACACTGCACCAAAAACTAGATGTAACCTAACACTCTTAGCTCAAACCTATGTGCAGCTCGTATCCAAATCGTATATATTTGACTAAATGAAGTCCAGAATATCTGTCACCAGAAGCATAGCCATACACATACATGTATATCAGAGCACCCAGTTATATGTGCAGTCTCTCAAATAAAACATGTAGTCTGGTAATGTACTTTCTGAATCACTGTTTGTATACATGTAGGTCCAAACATTCTGACTTCGGGAGGTCAGGTTTCTAACATCAGCCTTTTCACATCACGTAGTAGATGCTTAACAGACCGAACTGATACTAGGGGGAAACCTTTTCAAGGAGGAGTTCCATTCTACACTAATATGCAAAGGCATCAACTTTACAGGTATGTACCGGTATGTGTGTTTGTACACTATGTCCATGCCATCATGATATTTTAGCTTCAGTCAGCATTTTGTTTAATATATATATATGTTGTGTTTTATATGAAAATATATGATTGTCTTAGCAAAGGAACAATATTATAAAGAGTGTCTTTCATGTACAGAAATCCATATAGCTTGAAAAGAAAACATAATGTTTGTCAACTCTAGGTACTGTACAAGCATTGTAAAATTCATTCTCATGAAAGCATAATAATCCATTATCCAGCTTTTGAGAGTAAGGTTATGATAACTGTTGAAAATTATTAAATAAATTGAAGGGAAAAAAATGGTGGCACAGAAATGTTACATATAATCTATCCTTCATAGGCAACACAGAACGCAACCGAAAGCTTTTAAATATAACTTCGTGCATGCAGTTATCATAATGGCCTCTTTAAGCTTAAAGTGCCCATATGGGTAATTATGAAATTGGAACCAATGCTGATATCTTTTTGGTCCATCAACCTTAACCCTTACTGTACTGAAGGGGGTGGGGCCTGGGAGGCACCCCACCCCCTCCACATTTTCGGTGATTGAATTTGAAATGAAAGAAACATTTATTCAATACATTTTCAAGATTCTTAACAAGTCTAGAGACAAGAGTTTTCTGTAAAATGCATAAAATTATCATTTTGCATAATTAATTAGATTATAACAATAACAATTTACATATTAGGAAAAAAATAAATATACCATCTTGTTTCGTACATGAATAACTACAAACATGCAAATGTTCGTGTTCTTCAGAAATTCGACAGCCAAGATCATTTATTTATGTATTTCTTCTAATAGAAGTATCATTTTTAATTCTCCTCAATGAAGTTGTGATGACAGGTATTGGTCAACCTGCTCTGCTCACCTGTCCTTTCTCCTCAACAACTGGAGACTTCGCGCGGGCCTCTTGGGCAAGAGAAGTGGGGCTGAGTCGGCAAATTTAGTTGGAATATGATTCTGAAAGCCTTGCCAGTCCATACAGACTCCCTAAAAGGGGGAGGTAAGAGGGGCAGGAGATGGAGAGGGGGTAGTAATAGGGGCCAGGCTGGAGGAAAAGGGGCTCATGGGTAGTACAGTAGCAGTTTGAAATATCAATCCATAATATGTATATTAATCTGCACTAATTCCAATACAATTCTTTATAGAACAGTTCAAATGTTTATATAACTATTATCTGAATGAATTCTCAATATACATCCTCTCACTGTCAATAGTCTTCTACTTGCAAATATAAAATACAGTAATGTATGTTTACTTGATAAATCACTTCTTGTTTTCTTTTTTTTTAAATGTCAGATTTAACTATACCAATTAACCAGATACTGATCATCTTTCTGCCATAATATATTAAATATAACAGTATTATAATTGCAGCAGAACTACCTGTAAGTGAATCATTTTGTTAACTTGCAAAAATATATACATTTTAGTAAACATAGGTTGACATGAAACTTTTGAACTAAATGAACAGCATGAGTCCTTGCCATATTTGTGTGCTTTCCATTGTATTAAAGTGTGCACATATATTTAATTTTTCAGCTACCTTGTGAACAATCAAAATGTATTACATGTGCAATAATCATCGTTAAATATATCCAATGTAAATATGTACAGAGCAACTTTGATCTCCCGTGTGTTAGGCTATACCGGATGATATACATGTACATTTTTGTCGTTGCTTATGATCTTTTAAATCGATGAGAGGCTATCTTCTCTTGTTGATTTATTTTCATTATTTTTATGTTTGTAAGAATGCCTGAAAATCTCATGACTATCAAGCATCTGATTTACAACCTATTACTGTCTGTACATACAATAAGATATTAAAAATATGCAACTGTATTGTTGTGATATACAGTGCGAGTCAAAAAAAAGTTTACACCTAGAAAATTGCTATTTATTTTAAAAATCATCTATGAAAAATAAATTGACTTACTAAGTCAAGTCTAAGTAAGATTTGTGCGCGTGTGTGTGGGTGTATGTGACTTTGCCCTTTGCAAAAAGCATATGCAATGCATTTCATTTGATACATTCAATTCATTCTCTCACTCCGCTAATCCCAACGTAATACATACTGTAGGCATCACTTTGGCGCAAGTCGATTTTCGCACTCTCACAAACAATGCCTCCTGTTCATCCAAGTGTGAACACATACCACACAAAAATGATACCAAATGATCTGGGATAAAACACTCTTTCATAAGATGTATAATGATTTTCTGTTCATAGATGATTTTAAAAATAATTAGCAATTTTCTAGGTGTAAACTCTTTTTTGACTCATACGGTATGTAACCATGTGTGTATTTTTAAAAAAATATTTTTTGTTGTTGCTGTTATCTAATTTCATTGATGATTGTTATTGATTAGCATTGTTACCACACAGGGCCTCATGGAAGACCACCATAATTGGTGACATGTGCCACCCTGTATAAATATCAGAAATAAATGAATATATATAGAACACATTCATGAATGAGCTATTGAGCAAGCCATCATCAATATGTAAAGAATATAGTCTGTATTATTCTCATATTTGTATGTTTTGCCATATAATTTGTTTTGTACATTTGTCATGTATTTATATGTACATGGAATTAGAAGTCAATTTTTGATTAAATGTACATACACTACATAAGAAGAAGCAGCCATAAGGTCTTTCATTTCACATTTTGAAATTTATTTGTAATCACCATCTCCAAAATAAGAATACTGGAGAAAGATAACAAAACATATAAACACCTTTTCAGTCAAACAGAAGACCAATGAAGATCAATGGAATGATAAAATATATAAAGTTATATGTAGTTTATATACAGTTCACAACTTATTCATTCATACCCTTACCAAGTTTTGTAACTGTTTAAGTATATGAACAAATTGATTTGTCTTGATTTACATTTCTTTATAATGTGAGGTTTTAAGGCTTACATCCAAAAGTATTTTACATATTATGTACATAAGTACTTTGAGATCAAATGACAAATAATAATTGGATTTAAAAGTTGCAGCAAATCACTCTCTTTTTCTCAAAGTTAAACAAAATATGGCACAAAATCTTTATAATAACATCCTCCGATAATGTGGTGATGACCATCAAATAATTTTCCACAATGAAGTGTGCAATGAAATTATAATTGATAAAAATTCAAACTGGAAACAAAAACTGAGAAATAGAAAAGTGAATTCAAATCCAGTATTGACTGGTGGACGGACATAAAGATCCATTTCAATACTCAATATGATATTGTTTCAAGGTGATTAATGATATGTGGATTATAAAGGCATTGAAAGATGAGGAAAGCTAAAGATTTCGATGGTTGTTAAATTCATGATGATATGTACATGTAATTGTTATTTGTTTTACTTGTTGTTTATAGCTTAAATTAAATCATGACACTTTTTATGTTTGATTATTTGGTCAGCCACCTTTCTGGCTGCTACCAGCCTAAGCAATTTCCCTTGTGATTTAAACAATTTTGATTCATGTTTGTAAATTTGATTCTGTGCGTTTCTGTGTGTATATGTTAGTAATTGTAATTGTGTGATACTTTGTATACTGCTTTTTTTTAAAACCCTGTATGTTATTTTTATTACTTGGCAAAATAAATTGAATTGAGAGAAAAGTTTGGTTGAACATGAAAATAAAGTTAGACATACCATTTGAGTACCAAAGAATAAGTAGTCACGTTTTTCTTAACGTACTCTGGACGGAGTTCTGCAAAGTCTTGTGAAGTAAATATTTTATCTTGGAATTATTTTTCTGTTTTTCCTACTACTATTCATGATGAACCTAAACACAACTGCTTGCTATTCGATATCTCCAATTATAGAGAATGTAGTAATTATCTCTTATTCACAAACGGCAACTTCATTCAATTTATATGAATTCATATATGCATATAAATATATACATTAAGCACAATCTATTCAACATATATACACACTAGATATTTCATTACCATTTCATTAATTCAGATGCTTTAGTCATTCAAATTCATGTCAGATTCGTGGAATAATATTGCTTCAATACTTCTCTTATAGTAAACTCCTTCCTTCCAGCCATACTTCCAAACTATACACATTTAGAAGTTGGAAAATACAGAGCACACAGCAAGGCTTGACACTAGCAGGTCCCCTGGACAACTTGGAGGCCAAAAATAAAATCCAGACTTAAAAAATGTCAACATTTTCACATACGGTATGTGCATACTGACTCTCCGAAGTTCATTCTGGACCCCCTTAAATATGTTTAGAGTGGAGCCCTGCCTAAGGTCTATTTTGACGTATAAACCACAGCAATAGAACACAAAGTGAGCATTCATAGATTTTGTGTGAAAGAAGAGTTCAATAAAATTATTTCAGGAAAAAAAAAGCATGATCACACCCAAATACAGGCTTACAATTTGAATAACATTAATAATGATTACAGATTTCATACTATCCCTGTTGAGATTTTATAAGGCGGTCAATGCTTTGAAAATATATAAGAGTTTCACTTCAAGCCAAGTGATTTTATAATGAAAAGAACTTGGTTACGTCGTAACAGATCATAAAAAGATTATGAAGAGTAACACAAACAAAACAACAAAAAACAACACACACTTAGTTATGAAGTTGCATAGCCATTTCATACTTGCAAGTTCATGTACATGCGCTATTGTCATCAACTGCATTTAAGCAATAGACAATCTATTGTTAGACTATGCTTCGCTCAAATCATAGTTACATATCTAAAAATCAGTACGATCCTTTAAAACATACTTCTTCCCTCAGTAACGTATTATACAAATAATACATGTTTGCGAGTGCATTAGTGAATATGCACTGCACGCAGGTTAAGTCACATTAGGATAATGACTGAGACTTGTCGAATTGATTGTCCGTCTCATTGTAACCAAGTTAACCACTGAGGGAAGAAGTATGTTTTAAAGGATCGTTTAAAAGAGGCAAGACAGGTTAATTCTGTGATGGAAAGTAGGATATTATTCGACGTTTTTCCGCCTGAAACTGCTTTTCATTGACCCAACGAAGACTGATACTGGCCTATTATTCCCATAGGCTTAATAATTATAGGAACTACCCAGTTTCTATTGGCAATGGATTAAAAAGAAGGCAGGCTCTGCTCTTTTTTCCTTCAAATTCAAATTAATATTTTATCCGTGTCCGATATAAAAACAACGTTTAACAGGATAGTACATGCAA